TCTGCCCCCATGAAAAGTCCTTCTGTCTGGAAAGCATTTTGCTTACATTTCATTATAATTTGTTTGTTTTATTGAATTTATATAGTTGTCTGTCTCATGCATGTGACTCTGGGTGATGCAAATTAAGTTGGGACTGTTTTTTTCAGACTATACATATGGATAAGGTAACATTTAGCTGCCCCAGAGGCTTTGCTAGCCTTGGGAAATGGAGGGAGAGGAACAAATGTGCCGCATCGCAGCCTCTCAGCCCTGTGTGACCCCTTCTACCTAATTTTGAAAATGTATTAAGGCAGTTCAAAAGTTTAATTATCATTTATTCGGTTTTCTGAAGAATTGCATAATCCTTTACAGAACAAAAGCTAATTTGCACAGAGGAGGAGAAAACCACAGAAGAACATCAGAGCTGCCCCATCAGTAATTCTAAGGTACAAAGCTCCGTTTTCTTCTCCAACACCTCTGCTTTCTCCACGGGATAAAATAAGAAAACGGGTTCAGCTACTCGAAGCTGAGGATTGTATCGCAAAAGGGAGAGGAAGCAAGCCTTTTTATGGAGAAAAAAAATCTGTGACACCTGTTCTTAAAGAGGGTGTGGTACGTGACTCTTCAGCCAGAAAAAAAGCAGAAATGTGGTCTGTTAAAGTTTAGCCAGTAACCATTTGGTAGTTTAACTCTTTTTAGGTGGATCATTTAATAAGCAAGACATCAGAACTTGAAGTCACCGAGAGCAGAACCCGAAGCGGAAAGAAATTTCAGCGAAACACAGTAAGCGTTTTATTCTTAAACATGCATTCTTTTAAAAGATCAAGCTGATAGTCACGCAGGCACGACAGTGATTGTTAGTACTAACCGTTCTTAATTTATTGTCCTAAATTACTTTCCTGGTATCTCCATTTTCTTACTGTTCCCATAACTGGGTTGACTTTGTTATGTTTGTTGTTAATGAAAATATTAATTCCTATAACAGATTTTCCTGCAATCCATGATATTATCTTATCCTCTCGCTGATCTTTTCTTCTGAATGTCTTAAGACCGCATGCTAAGTTGCTTAGGCTATTAGGCTGACTTTAAATTTGGACAGCTAGGATCCGAGACGGAAAATTTGAGCATAGCTAAGTAGCAGCCCTCAGTGTCTCTTCTGGTCTCCACACCAACTGTTTAATGAAAAAGTATGAAGTCAAATCAGACCCAGGAAGGCTTCCAGCTTGTCTGCAAGGTGAAGAGAAAAGGGTGCTGATTAAGAGATTAAATAACTGGAGTGAAAGCAGGTTGGGGGGTGGGTTTTATAAAAACTCCCTCCCCGAATTCCCAGTTTCCAGCAGAAAGTGTTCCAGAAAGAACCTTTAGGTCAGTTTGAATCTTTGCAAGCCCTCCCATCCATCATACAAAGTGCTACTAAAAAAAAAAAAAACCTCTTTGCACCAGCCAAATGCCTGATTGATATAAAATTGTCCACCTATAAGCATTGTGGGAAAGATTCTGCCAGAATCAGCAACTTAAGAAGTGCCCTTTAGCATGTACAGCAGGGGAAGTAAATCACATGTCATCAGGACCAAGCTACGGCTTGCCCTCACTGTCGCCACTCGTAGAGAGCCCCTCATTAATTTTTTAGCACGAGCTGAGGAAGAGTAACAGCCTGCAGATGCCTCGCAAGCTGCTTAATAGCCGTCTGCAGGCTCTTCTTCTAGAGTAACAGTTCCTCTGTCTCTGTCAAGGGTGCCGTGGAAAACACAATGCAGAGACCATCAAAGGGTGCCGAAGCTCAGAAGAGAAGGAGCTCAGAACTGGAGAAGCCTGTAAGTGCTTCTGTGGTGCACTTAGACCACCCTCCTTTCCTCCGAGCAGGACTTTTGTGGAACAAATAGAACGTTTGACCTCTGGAAATATTAGTTTTGTAAAGGAGGGGTGGCTTGTGGGACAGTAGAGGCTCACTGTTGCCCATCCATTTAATGTCTCTGCACATTTGCCTTGCAGTTCTTTACTCACACTTGCTCCCAGGTAAGTGTGCCTTGGAGCGCAGCCACAGTCAGAAACACACTCGGCAAAATAAGCGAGCAAAGTTGGAGCTGCTGAAATGAATCCAGCCAGGGATGTGACAAGCTCAAATCCATGGCACTGAGCACAGCTCTGGCTCTGCTTGAAGCTCTGGAGCCATCTCAGAATAGTTGTTCTGGAGGTGAACAGCCACACATTTATGCATGTAATAGGTGTGACACCAAAGATAGCCAGGCCTTCTTAGGAGCCTGCAGGTGTCTCTTTTTGGGCCGTGTAAAGTTTGGGACTTTACAAGGATTCTCTGACAATTCCCTCTGCTACAACCACTTGTTTTTTTTTTAATAGAATAATCTGTATTTTTGCCTAATAATAAACTTCCCCACCCTTCTCACTTCCCCATTGATGGAGGATCAACCTACTTTGGATAGTGGTATCCACCTTATTACTTATATTCCAAGCTACTTCCCGCAACGTTAGCAAGGCTTAATTCTCAATTAAATCCACATACATTCATTGAAACGATACCCTAAATCTTAAACAAGTTGGCTGGAGAAGGCCAATCTTGCATTTTTCGGCCGAATCCTCCATTTAATCTCCATCGATGTTTTTATTGACGTTATGCCACATTCTTCATGTTTACCGAAGAATAAGTCCTCTAAAGTTCAGCCACGCTTGCATGATGTGAAACGCAGGCCAGATTGCAGCCAAATACACCTTTCCCCCCCACCACCTTTTTTTGCAGCAGTGGCTGAGAATTTACAGACCTTTTCTCATCACCTCCAGCCTAAGTAAAGAATTACATGTTCTGGCATTTCCCTTGTATAAATGAGTGGCTGTTAATGCTCATGGCGCTTTCAGATCTAATGGCAAACAGAGGACAAAAGAAAAAAAAAGAAAGAAGTAATAGAACATACTGGCTGGAATAGATTAGCTCCAAAGGGAAGCTGAGTTGCGATTGCAGTTGTGATTGTGTATTAAATGGGCAAACATTTTCCCAGGCTCTTTGGGCGCCCCGTCCTCTGCAAAGAGAAGCAGGGTTTAAAATGTGTATTTGATTTCACTTCATTAAACCTCAGAGAGGGAAAGATTTGCCTGTTAGTAGCATCAAGACCTTCCCTTAAAACGAGGGAGGGGTATTAGGTATGTTTGCCGCCTTGATTTATTTATCAAAATAATAAAGGTGGGATCTAAAGAAATGAGTAGAATAAATAAAAACCATTCACAGACCCGCTGGCTTAAAAACGCCTCCGCTCAGCAATTCAGCCAAGACCAAATAATTTATCTGCAATCAATGAAAGCGAAAACAATAAAAGGGAGGAGAAGGAAGAGGGAATTCTCACGAAACAATTCATATTCTGCAGACGATACATCTGTTTTTGGCTCCCCCCCCCACCTCCAGGTTCATCCTCTGGATTTCTCTTCTAGCCAAGAGCTCAGTCCCAAGCGGAGAAAAATCAGCCAGCCCACGGAAGCATTCTAGAGAGGCGCTTTTCGTTTTCCTTTCCGCTGTTTTTCTCCCAGCTGCTGGTCTTCCGAGGCTTTAAAGGAGGTGTTTTGAAAAGATTAAAGCCACTGACATTGACGGGGCTCCTGTTTTTATTCTGTTTGAAGGCGCGCGCCTTTCACAGGGAGAGATTTCCCACCAGGCTGGGAAAATAAAGGGGTCGCAGGTGGTCCTCGAGTTACAGCCATAACGGAGCCCAACATTTTTGCTGCTAAACGAGACAGCAGTTCAGTGATTTTTGCCCCATTTTATAACCACAGTGGTTAAGTGAGTTGTTAACTTGGGAACACGGTCATTAAGTGAATCGGGCTTCCTCCCTTGACTTGGTCAGAAGGTCGCAAAGGAGAACCCCTCGACCTCTGGATTCTGTGACCATCGCAAAGACGAGTCAGTTGCCAAGTGTCCGAGCTTTGATCCGGCGGCCACAGGGATGCCGGGATGGCCCCTTTTTTCAGTCCGGTTGTAACTGCGGATGGTCCCTAAACGAACCGCTGTAAGTCGAGGACTGAGCTGCATTGTCCTGACCAGGCCTGGGACCCCTTCCTGCCACCAGGGCCCCCTTTGGCCCCTCAAAGCCAGGCCGGGGAATGGGGCGGTGGAGGGGAAAAAACTTTGGGTCCCCCAAGATGGCGGGCAGGGTGGAGACCCCCCAAGTAAGTGCGCCAGGGAGGGGCTCTGTGGGGGGAGAGAGAGCGGGGCGCCCCTCCCAGGGCTTCTTCTGGAGCCCCTCCCTCCCCCCGCTTTCCCGCCTTTTTCTCCTCAGCTCCCCCCCAGGCCTCTCTTCTGGCCAAGCCCTGTTGGAATCAGCACCTCCAGACCCCACTGGCCAAGCCAGGATTTAACCAGGGTCTGTTCAGCGCAAGGCCCCTGCTGGAGCCACCCACTAGGCCTCCCTGGGGCTTGTGGAGGCCTGGAAGACTGCCCCTGCAGCTGGAGGCTCCCCCGGGCCCTCAGGAACCCAGGGCCGGCCTTTCCTGGGCCGGGGTCTCCCTCAGGCGGGTCTGTGTGGGGGGAGGGGAGGGCGAAGGGGGGTCTCCTGAGCCCCTCTGCGCCTTTTGGTGGGAAGGGAAAAAAAGGCCCTTTCAGAAACAGATGAGGTTTATTTATTTGTTTTTATTTCATTTATTTACATTTGTTTGCTTATTGTATGTTTTAAACCGTCGCCTCCCCTTCACGGTGGGGCACTCTGCCGCCCCCTCCCCTTCGCAAGCCCCCACCGACCCATTCCCCCCCCCTTGATTTCCCCTCAGCTCTGCCTGGCCGGCCAGAGAGCCACTCTCCGCGGCCCCATTGGCTGCCGCGCCCGTCCATCAGGCGGGCTGGTCCCACCCCCTCCCGGACCATCCATCCTGCCCCCTTGGCACGTTTGCGAGTGGCCCGCGGGGGAGGGGGAAGAGGGGGAGAAGGGAGGGAGGGAGAGGGAAGCCCTGCCTCCCCCGGCAGCCGATTGGCGCTTTCCGTGGCTGCCGCTGCTCCCATTGGCCCTCGGCGCGGCTACTGGGATATGTTTCCCGGGGACACCAGGAAGCGATGGGGGAGAAGCCTTTGGGGCTTTTCTTCTCAGCTCCTTCCTCCCCGTAGGTGAACCCGGAAGTCGGCTACCGGGGCTGCCGCTGCCCCAGGCGGAGAAGGGCGAGGAGGGAGGTTGAGCAGCGGCTGGGAAGGCAGAGCCAGGAGTGCGGGTAAGGGTTGGTGGGGGAGGGAGGGAAGCAAAGCAGCCATAGCATGGGAAGGGGGAACAATTTCTTCCATTGGCAGGTGCAGTTGGAAGGGGGGGTGGCGGGCTTCTCTTCTGCGCCCCCCAAATGGGGAGCCAGCCCTGCCTGTGACTTGCAAATGAGGAGGGTGTTGTGCAAAAGGGGCTGGGGTAGGCCGTGCAGTCCCCTCGATCTTTGTAGTGTAGGGAAAACCCAGGTCTCTATCTGGGGAGAGAGAAAGAGAGAGAGAGAGAGAAAAAACCCACGTGTATTCAAGCCCTTTTCCCTTGGAAGCTTTGCTTCTTGTGAAACTGGAGTTGGGATGGCTTGTTTCTCCTTTCCGCCTCCACCTCTCAAGGGGTCACCTTTTAAACTGACATTTGCTATGATTTATTTCCACAGGAGAGGCTCAGGAATACAGCCAAGCCACCTTTTCAAACCCTTTTCTTTTCTGCCCTGTGGCTGCCACATATACAGTTCCTCTTTCATAACATGCAAGGGGATGTTCTCACCTGAGGCAGCCAGGTTCTTGTTTGCTCAAGCTTGGGCCCTTTTTCATGGACTAAGCACTCCCTGAATTTTTTATAAAGACATTTTTTATCTTTGCTCTCAAAACCTGGCTGGGGAAAAAAGTGAGAGTCTTTATATCAGGTTCTTTGGCAAAATGGTTACTCAATAAGGACTATCATCCTGTAGTTCTTTCTGACTTTAACTTGTTGCCTTTATAAGATGGGTGAAATGTTATCCTTTCTGTGGATAGCATTTAGAAAAAGGACATGGGGGGGGGGAAATAGCTTTTGGATTATATTGGTACTACAGGTCCCTGAATTCTCACTGAGGTAGGAATTCTCGGAACTCTGGTCCAACACATCTGGATCCCAAGGAAACCGAGTTTAGAACTTGCTTGCAATCCACCCTTGCTAAGCTAATAAGCAAAACTTGTATGTTGTTTTATAAAATGATTAGCCTGTTGTTTTCAAGCCCCTGTGGTCATTATTCGATACTTCACTTACTTGTGGTTGATTCATTAAATCATGATTGAGCAAACTGTGGCTTGGCGTAATAGATGAGCTGTTTTTTGAAGGTTGTGGAATTCACTCAGAAGGAATCGTGTCTTCGAAGCGTGGATCTGTTCCTCACTTCCCTACAGAGAATGCATTCTAGGTTGTGGGGATTGGGTCAAGTGTGGGGCAGGGAGTTGCTGTGGTTTCTTCACTCAGGCCTTTGAGAGTGGTAGGTGAGCTCAGATGGCACAGTCGGCAGCTGCTTACACAATTACATTTCCGTTAGGCTTACAGACCAGCAGAGAAGCCATGACAACTTTGATCCACCGAGGAAAACGTGTGGAAGTTGGAAGGAACGCAGACAAGCGGGTGGAGGATGAAGAACATGCCATGGTCAACCAGATTGTGGGCGAAGAGGACTCCGGAGACTCCAAAGACATCCGCCTCACCCTCATGGAAGAGATCTTGCTTTTGGGTCTGAAGGACAAAGAGGTAGGATCCGACTGGATCTCTCGCGTTTGGGGTCCTTTCCTACTCATGGTAATTCCGGCAGTTATCGATCTGTGCCATCTCTTTTCCCAAGAAGGCTCCTGACAACATACAAAATTTAGATTTGTAAACAACAAAACATACTCAGAAATAACCTCCAGAGTGATACAATATGGTAACAACTGGGCACAACTAAAACAACTTTCCTAAACAAGGCAGGTTTCAACAGCAACATTAAGAAAAACAACAGAGCAGCTTTGCACCATTATGTGAAGGAGCAGAGAAAAATTCTGTCAAGTTAAGTTAGAAAATTCAAATTCAGGGTTGGGTTCTGCTTCCTCTTTGACAAGGTCCCTGGAGATTCATTTGGGATTTTAGCAATGCTTTTACCAAGGAGTGGAGTTCATTATGATGGGTGGTTTACATTTTAAACCAGCGGTAAACTGATCCCTCTGATTTTTTTTTTAACCAGCAAACCAGTTTGCCAAGGTTTTTTTTGCCAACACCAAGGCTCATAACCTTCCCCTAATTAGAAAAGTTTGATGAGACTAAGAAGCAGTATGAGAGAAATAAAACTTCCCAAGGATCTCCTTGGCCATTGCTGATCCAGTTATCAGTACTAATGTATTCCTGGCTTGATCAGTCAACAATGTCAGGCTACGTCCTGAAATTTAATTTAATTTAACGCCATTGGCAGGAGAAGAGAAGCTTTCTCTTGATCCAGTTCTCAACAAACAGAACTTGATTTAATGAAAAAACCAGGAAACAGCAGTACGTGTCTGCTTGGCTGTCTTCCTTCAGGGCGGAACAAGGGAAAATTGCTACATATTTTTGCTACTCAAGTAGGTGTGCAGAAACTACCGTAATTTTGGGCATCACAGATGGAAAACGCTTCTCTCTAAGACAGTGGTTCTCAACCTGTGGGTCGGGACCCCATTTGGGGTCGAATGACCATTTCAGGGGGTCACCAAACCATGCTGTCTGCCATTTTTTTCCCTTTTCCCTAGCTGTCCTACTCCCTCTTATTGGTGGCCACACCCACTTGGGGGTCACCACAACATGGGGACCTGTATTATGGGGTCACGGCATTAGAAAGGTTGAGAATCACTGCTCTAAGAAGTTGCATTTGGAGGCTGTTCATAACAAAGCAGCATTTAACCTTGGTGTGTTGTGTACGTAACTCCTTGACCTGGGGGGACACCATTTAAATTACAGCGTCCTAATTCCAGCTGCACCTGTTCTGTGACTTTCTCTCAGGAGCTTCATGGGGATGGAAGTTCCACGTGGCAAGTTTGCTCAGGGAGAAACTGGTCCTGCCTTTCCATGATTAGCGTATAGTAGCCAGATGTAGCTTCCATCCTGGATTTCCTAACCTTGCAGACCTGGAAGCTAATTGTAATAGACTGAATGGGGGGGGGAACCCCAAAAACGTTGCTGCAGGATTGTAGAAGAATGCCTGGTCTTTTTTTTTTTTTTTTTTTTTACAGTAGGGGATACCAGATTAAATCACTAAATAAAAGAATTGATGGGATAAACTTCTTTTTTTTACTGTACTTTAAGGACAGGATTCCCAAGACCTGTAGCTGGGATGTGCTTCTCTCGGTTGTAAAAAGGTGCAGCAAAATCCTTTGTCTTGTGTTGTTTTTGACTGTCAGAAATCCTACAGGACAGATGGACAGTAAAATTGTGTTTGGCTTGAAATGGGAGTCAAAAGGAATTAAATTCCAATTTAATTCAAAGATAAGCTAGAATCGCTTTGCATCTGAACAGAGCTGAAAGGGACCTTGGAGGTCTTCTAGTCCAACCCCCTACTCAAGCAGGAGACCACATTCCATATATACCATTTGCTTTGTTGCAATGGTGATAGAAAAGTCCACTTCCTTTTCTTTTTATTACGATTTGTTATCAACCCTTTAGGAGAAAGAAGAGATGCAAAATGAGAGAAAGAAAAAAAAAAGTAGGAAGAGCACAGACTAAAATGCCAAGAGATTTATAAGCATCATAAAACTGAATGAATGGAGGGCAGATTTTCAAAGGAACACTGAGTTCTACATATTCAATTATTTTGTGTTATTTAAAAACTACAGATGGTTGTTAAAATCCCATTTTTCCTCCATTACTTTCACAAAATATGTAACGATTTAATTGGATGTTGAGAAGGAGAGGGAAGTTGGTGTTGTAGGAGTATTTGCGTATTTGAGAGATTGGTAATTGGTGTGTGTGTTCTGGACATACAGGAACCGTGAAATCTCTGTTTGCTTTTCTATTTGAGTTGACATTTCAGCCAAAAGTTCTCTGCCAGAATTGTTTCCGGTATAACCTTCCCATCTGCTGTCAAACGTGGCAATGTAATCTAAGGAAATATATTATTAATCTAGCTGAGATTTTTTTTTTTTTAAAAAAAGCAGTTAATCATGGCTAGCATGCCTGGTTATTAGGCATAGTTACCAAGTTTGCAATCCTTATCCTAATTGACTTACAATTATATAATCTTGGAATCACCAGGCAAAAGAAAAAAAAATGAACAGACTGGATACGATACAACTGATTTTTTTTTTCCACGCTTGCCTGACGCAAGAATGCAGGTGGTAAAAATATGACACTGAATTCAGCCTATCTAAATGCCGAGGATTAATATCTTGAATTTAAACTCTGCACCTACGTCTTCCTACTTGATGCACATTTTCTGAAAACCTGAATTGAATGCTAGTTTTGCTGCTACTTTCATACCCTTTTGTCGGGACTTTTCCTCACATTATTAAATCGACAAGTAAGGGAGGACCTAGGGCTGATGTTTTGTATATCAGGATGTATAACAGTTTTGTTACATATGCTGTGGAGTTAGTCTGCTGGTCAAGTCTGGCGGGACCAGGGTGGTTTGTGGCAAACCTGTGTGTGCACTTTTGGGACGGCTGAGCTCCCTCGGTTGACTTCTGCTTTCTGCTCCTCTCAGGGCTACACATCTTTCTGGAACGACTGCATTTCCTCGGGACTGCGCGGGGGAATCCTCATTGAGCTCGCCATGCGAGGCAGGATACAGCTGGAGCCCCAGTCCATGAGGAAAAAACGGCTGCTGGATCGAAAAGTAAGCTTTGGCCTTCCTGGTTTGCCCGGGCACTGCAGGGCTGCTGGGTCTCCACCTCTTCAGCACCTGGACCCCGTTTTCTTCGCCCACTCAGGTCCTCATGAAATCAGATGCCCCGACTGGAGATGTCCTCCTGGACGAGACGCTCCGCCATCTGAAGGCCACGGAGACAGCCGAGACGGTGCAGACCTGGATTGAACTGCTCACAGGTGAGAGAGATTGGACAGCTGCCTTGTGTGGCTGCGGTCCTCGCCTCTCTGACGGCAGCCCCTGGCCCCATGCAGAGCGCTTGCCTTGTCCTGCAGCTGCTTCTGAAGCAGCTCTGGGGGTGACACCCTTCACTGGGCCGGGGTCACGCCTTGCAGTGAGTCTGGGTTTCATGGAAACAGTTGAAATTTGGCTCAGTTGCAACTCACGGTTTCAAGCCATCACAGCCCAAAGTTTTGTTTTTTTTTTAAAAAAAAGAGAATCGAATAACTGCTGTACTTTTATAGCTCAGTTGCAACGCGTAGATTTCGACAGAAGGAAAATGAATGAATTGTTAAATTGGTGAAGAAACCAGCATTAGGGACACATTCAGCCATCAACCATTGTCTAGAAATGGCAGTGATCATCAATCCCAAGGAAGAAATCAAATTAGGTTTTCCAAGAGTTGGGATTCTGCCCATTGTCTCATTTTCATGAGCTTTTTTCACTTTGTCCAAAGTGTTGGATGTAACGTTACCTAGAGGTAAATAGGGAATCCGTTTTAGTCACCCCGGAATAGAAAACCATATATTTTGGAGGTTGTCTTCAAAACCTAGGATTGAAGAGAATAAAGGGGAGAGAGAAGTTTCAGGCAGGCCTGTCCAAAAGCTGTTGGGGGCTTCCTTCATAATTTGCCCACAGAGGGAACTTTTGGAAGATTCAGACAGTCCTGACTCCGAACGGTTCCCTCCCTCGCAGGTGAAACCTGGAATCCCTTCAAGCTGCAGTACCAGCTGCGCAACGTCCGCGAGCGGATTGCCAAGAACCTGGTGGAGAAGGGCATCTTGACCACCGAGAAGCAGAACTTCCTCCTCTTCGACATGACCACCCACCCGGTCACCAACACCACGGAGAAGCAGCGGCTGGTGAAGAGGCTGCAGGAGAGCGTCCTGGACAGGTGGGTCAACGACCCCCACCGCATGGACAGGAGGACTTTGGCGCTGCTGGTCCTGGCCCACGCCTCGGACGTGCTGGAGAACGTCTTCGCCAGCCTGGTGGATGAGAAGTACGATGTGGCTATGAATAGGTCCAAGGATCTGATGGATAGGGACCCTGAGGTGGAGGCCGCCAAGGCAGCGGGCGCCGAGATGATCTGGGCTGTGTTGGCGGCCTTCAATAAATCCTAAGCCCTCCCGGCGAGCAAAGTGGTTCCAAGCGGCTTCGGCCCTTTGTCCTCCAGGAGGCTTGGTGGTGTCCTCCCACCTTCCTGGGCCGGAGCTTTTGGCGACCGTGGCTAGCCAGGCCCACCATCGGCCTCTGAAGCTGGGCCTGGGGAGCTCATTCTGTTACAGGGACAGCCCTGCCTTCACCGCCAGCCCCACCGTCACACCTTCTTCGAGGGATCCGGGGATCAGCCAAGACGTTTGTGCATTGCTCTTCCTCCCCCTGGTTCATTTTTTTCTGAGACCCCAACTTAAAACAGAGGAGGGGCTGTGTCTGGAACAAAAAGACAGTTCTTTCTCTCTGGCCCCCTCCTCTTTCCCTTCAATTCCTCCTCTCTTTTTTTGCCGTATTGAGGAGGGGGATTCCTTTTGGCGGGTGTGCTTGTTCCCTTCCCCTTTTTTAATTTCAGGATCTCAACCTCCTTTTTTTGTCTTGCCAGTTTTTTTCTTCTTCTCCTTCTCCCCCTCCTCCTCCTCCTCCTCCTTCTTCTTCTTCTGGAATCCAAGTTCCTTTGCTTTTTTTTTTTCCCTTGTGCTGTCCTTGCATTTGTTGAATTACAGCACAAGTTTCTATGCAATCTCGGCCATGTTTGGTTTCTGCTTTTTGAGACTAAAGGTTGCTCAGAGAGTCCTGGCAAGGAGCAGGTTGTCTCCTCCTGGTATAGCCGTTCAGATGCACCCCGGTTACATTGAAGTGCATCTAATTTAAGAGTTCAACCCCCAAATACTTGTGCTGACAGCAACCGAAGCCAGGACACATTGTACAAAACTGGTTAGGCTTGCATAGTTCCCAACCAGGTTTTTCCTGGAAGGGGCCGGGATTAAAACCCATTCTATTTTATTCAACTATATTGTGAGACTTTTAAGAGGTCCATTGGCCTCGGGGGGGGGGGGACAGGACACTTTAGAGCCTCTTTTCAGAACCATGAGATCTAGAAACTTGACGCTACGTAAAATTGTACCTTAATGCTTGTGGTTCTGCTTGCAACTCTGTGTCCTTTAGTTTAGTGCCTTACCGTGAGTTCACAGTTCACAGAGGTGTATTTGGGCTGCCTGAGCCACCAGTTAGAGCCGACCCTTTGAACCCAGTTGATGCCCTCGACGTTCAGGGCCGAGCCTACAGTGTTTCAGGATCTTGAGAAACATGGTTTCTGTGGGTTTGTAGTCTCTAGAGGCCACTGCCTTGTTATTAAACTCTTTCCTTTCCTTTGAAAGTTGTCATTGTGTTCCCTTGCCATTTTTTTTTATTTTTTATTTTTGCTTAAGTTAGAAAATTGCGGGAGGTTTAAGACCGTTTAAAGCAGATTTTAAAGCCCGCTCAACATTTCCTCCAGTGTCGTAGATGGAGGAAGAAATATGGATTGGAAAATTCAGAAGAATCTTCAGGCTGGATGGGAAGAGTAAAAAGGTTGCAGAAGCTAGGTAAGTCGGTCGAGAATCCCTACTAATGCGTGGAATTGGTTTACTAATTTGGCGCAGCAGAACCCGTTTCGTTGACTCACTTCCCAGGTACCCTTGACCTCGGACTTGGCTTTAAAAAAAATCACCCCACTTCCCCATAACCTCCCCCCCATCCCTGCCCGTAAAGCAGAGCGCTCCGTTGTGCTTCAGTTTAAGGACAGTTTACTTTCTCTGAATAACATTTGACCACAAACAGCTACAGGATGAGGTATTCAAGAAGAAAAAACTTTGGTATAAAATGTACAGCTTTTGTTCAACTTTTTTTTTTTTTTTTTGGTCTTTTCATTTTCTTGTTTACAGGCAAAAAAAAAAGAAGAAAGACTTTGGTTTTTCTTTTTAAGTTAGCACGGTTGACAAACAAAGGAGAAACATTCAATTCATTAATAGATAGTAATGCACTGCTTTGATTTAAAAACATGAGCACACCACTCAGCTTACACTGGCCAGGGGGTGAAGACACCTTTTACGGGGAAGAGATCCACTTTTGAATGACAGGGTAATCTCTTTTTTAAATGATCTTTCATTCCGGTGGTTCTCAACGTTTCCTTTGAATACCCTTTGTAGCCACGGACCCCCCCCTCCAAGACTTAAGATTTAAATCATAACATTTCTTCAAGCCTTTGAGGACCCCCTGGGATGACCTCATAGCCTCCCAGGGGTCCGCAGACCACAGGTTGAGAACCACTGTTTTTATTCTATAGAAAAGTTTGCCTATTTATCTCTGCCCGTCAAGCTGTACATAAAGCACAGGAAGAACCATATGTTTTCCAAGTTAGCAACCTGACCTTCCAGGAAGGGGGAAAGCCACGGAACATATTTTTGAGCTGCTGTTACTATTGAGGTCTGAATTTGGCAATATGATGGGTCTCCAGGGTTAAAACATTTAAGCAAGGTGGGAACATGTCAGGATTGACGGAAAAGCACCCAACCCAAAGAAGTGCCTCTTGCTGGCGTGAGCTCAAAACGTCATCAGGGCTTGGTCTGAGCCCAGGTGTTGTGCACAAATTGTGTAACAAGCAAACAAAAATTGTGATAAGGCAGCTGCTTCAGACTCGGGAATCAGAGCTGAATTGTACGTACATAGCGTATTGGTGGTTGGTATCCGATGGATTCCTTGCAGAACCAGATTCATCGGACTTTGGAACTAAAATCCTGGATTTAGCAAACTTTATTTTTTTAAAGCCATCTGTTAATCCTCCTTTGCCACACCTTGTTAGAGGTCACCAACTAGGATGTGTGTTTAGGCAGGTAAAAAAAAAAAAATACAAAATTTCCCAAGAGCTTAACAGGTTTGGCAAAAAAGGCCATCCCAGAAATTGGTTCATATGCATTCGCCTGATTTATAAACTCTTAAAGATTTTATAAGCAGCCCACTTTTAAAACACGTTTTAAATGCCAGGGTAAGAAATACACCTATTTTAGGCCTTCCTCTTTCAATTTGATAGTTGAGGCCACATTGACACCTGTTAATATTTTTTTTCTTCGTTTTGTTCAGACATAGTTGATGGGACCAAGGATTCATTTCTTTTTAAGAGTGAATGAGTCCTATTGTGCTAAAAGTGAATGCTCAGCTAAGATTTATCTTCGTGGTTTATTACAGAAGCCTCAATTGCCTGGTTTGCATAGAGATTTAAGTCGTTATGGATGGGTTCACACAGCCCAAAAGAAACAATATTAGGGTTTATAAACCCAGGGGAAGTGAGGCAAGAGCTGCCTTGTTTTTCCTACAGAGAGATTGATATCCTGTATATTTTGGTTTATCAGAATTTCACGAGCGGTGCAGATATTGGAGTTGTGAGGAGATAGATTTTTTATAAAAATGAGATTGTTCAAAATGGCAGCACTTCAACTAACAACTTTGAAAAATGAGTGGGCTCCAATCAAACATTCATTTAGAAAATGTATTAATTAGAAGCTGGATGATTCGTCCTGGTAGGGACTTCTTACACCTCTGTTTTTTGGCCTGCCTACTTTACTTTGAACAGTATTTCCTCACTGTGAGTCACCTTAAAAATTTGAGTTTTTGAGACCTGGTTAATTGGCCAGAGCGTTTTTTAAAAAAAGAAACCAGACAATTTTAAAAAGAGGGTCAGCGGTGAAAAGGAGCAAAGAAAGGGAGCCTCTATCAGCCTCTCAAGAAGGCAGGAGTGTAATGTATACCTTTTTTTCCTCCAGTTCCATACATTTCTGCACCCCTCCCCCCTTTATTTATTTATTTATTTTTAATCCTGTGTGTTCATTTTGCGGCTCAGGGCACATTCAGAAAGGACCTTCCCAAGTCCTTTCCCAGCAGCTCGGTCCCTAAAGTGCATTATCTTAGCTTCCACGGAGAATGGGGTGGGGGTGGGGGGGGAAGCAGGTTGGGAGAAATTGGGGTTCAGGTTTCTCCCCCCCTCCCCAAAAAAGAGAAAAAGGCCAGTGCCCTCTCTGTCCAGGGCAAGCTGAGCGTCTTGACGCAAACCAAGTACCATACTTAGAGAAGCCATGCAGGAAAGAAAAAATAAGAACTACCGCCTTACGACACACGCACCCATCCACCCTTGCTCCAGTGACACACTCGCCCCGACACACGCACACACACACAAAAGACTTTGTTTGCAAAAGGAAAACAAAACCATCTTTGGTATCTTTTGGTGCAAGAGACAAAGTGAGGTAGAATTTTTTTTTTCCTTTTTTTTTTTCTGGTAATTTGGAGAACCTTTGGGACCAGGGGAACACCCAACAGGCCTGGAAGGGGGGGAGGAGGAGGAGGAGGAGGAGGCAGTAGCAGCAGTGGTGGGGAGAGGGACCCAAAGGGGGGGGGATAGCCAAGGTAGTTCTGGTGCCCTCTGCATGGATCATGGCTTTGACCTCTGATCAGATAAAACGAAAGGCAGCTTTCCAAGATGCAGCAGAGAATAACCTGCGTTTGTCCAGCCCTTCTCTGACCCAGGAGGGCCACTTTGCTTCCTGACCCCTTTCAAACGAGGTCCGGGAGGGGAGTCGTGAAAGAGGCTGGGGAAGGGAGGGGAGGTCAAGGAGGGGCAGCAGGGGGATATTCCGGATGCAAAATTAGCCATGGGTGGACCTCTGGGGGGGGCAAGGGGGGACAGAGATTTGTGCTCATCTCGGATTGCTGCCTGTCCTGCAGTGGCTTAGAAAATAGATGGAGGAGGAGGAGGAGGAGGAATTGTGGTTTAAAACTGGCTCTGCTTTGTCTAACTCAGAAACTGGCTTGGAACCTTGAGAGAGTAAGGGGGGGGGTCTCTGTCATTAGGCTTCATGCATCAAATTGTGGGGTGGGGAGATTGGGCCGAGCCCACCTGCGTTGGGGGGGGGGATATTTAGCGCCAAGGGTTTTTTAGAAGGAAATGACTTGCTTTGGGATATCTGCTCCCAAGGGTAGGGGTCTTTCCCTTCCTCTTCGGTGGACGGTAACTCCATTCTGGTCCTTCGCCCCCCTCCCCACTTCCACCCCCCCCCCCCGGTTTGAACCACTAGATGGCGTTGCCTCCTCGTTGGGGACCCACACAGGAGAGTTTGTAGGATGAAACAAAGGAACCACAGCTTCTTGGAGGCAGCCTTGACCGTCCTTCTCAAGGTCCTTCAGGGAGTCCGGTCGAAGAAGGGGCTCACCCTCACTTTGACCCCCTCCCCTGGGCGAAAATTACAGGAGGGTGGTGACTCCTCCAGAGCAGGATTCAGACACGGCGTCCCTTCTTCTCCTTTGGCCAGTTTAGTGCCTGCCTGGCTGAAGTGCTCGTCTTCCATCTTTGGTGCAAGAAAGGGGACCGTCCGGCGCCTCGGCGGTCACGCTTTGGTGCAGGTGACCGCCGAGGACGGGGTCGAGCCGGCGGAGGGGGACCTCCCTTCCTCCATCCATTTGTCCAGACTCCTCCGCCGGGCGTTCATGAAGAAGTTGCTAACGGTGGACAGCTCCAGGCCCAGCTGTTGGGCGATGGTGATCTGAAGGTCCTTGGAAGGCCTTTGGTTCTCGTGAAAAATGGCGTGGAGGGTCCGGCGCTGGATGTCCGTGAAGACCAGCCGGTGGCGCTTGGGGACGTGGTTGCGGTCAACTTTGCTTTGGTCTTGCTCTTTTCTTTTGCAGGCTGGGCGGGGAGGGGGAGATGGGCAGGTTGGAAGGACAAGAAGCCGTTAGTTACGCACCGTATAAAAACAAAAAATAAATAAATACCAATTGCTGTTCACCTTGGCAGCGGATCAGCTCTGCTCCACCCTCTGTTGCTATTATTATCCTTGGCTCTGTCACCGCCGCCATTCTGATAGACTGCCCCTCTCCGTGGAGGTTTCGTGGAACCAAAGAGGCACCCAGAGATCATCTCTCCCAGCCTTCACCCTGTCTCCTAGCTAAACTGATTTAAGATCGAGGGCAGGGTTGCCATCTGGGTTAAAGGACAGGCATGAAATTATAACATGTGCAGCCAGAGAGAATATTTCTGCGTTGGTGGGGGGGGGGATTAACGTGACTGGGCTCCGGTTAATTTTTGCAGCAGAATGTGGAGCAGCTGAGTTTGGGGTCCGATGCAAAGAGGCTACCACTTCGTGGGTATAGCATATAAGAACTTTTTTTTACTTTATTTTTCAAAACTTGAGAAGCTTGGCCCTTTAGGCAGATTTGAGGACAGCCCAAATTTCCTAGGCTGTTTAGTTGTAATTGCCAGCTGGTGAGTTTTTGACTTTCCGGAACAAAATATTGGGGCTCATTCCCTGCGTCCTGGGCTCTTTGGGGAGATGGAGAGTCAGGCAAAAGAGAGAAGGTCATTCTGTCCCCCAAACCCTCGGATTTAGGCTGTGAAAACCCGTATAATTTATAATTTTATAGGCTGGGATGTGGCGAGAACAACCCTTGAATCAACCGCAGCTTAGGGCAGACTCTGGTTGCAAGGTCTGTGTTGTGTGTGTGTGTTGCTGTTTTGCTTCCCTCCCTTGGAATCAAAAATAAAAGTTTGCTCTTTAGCCCGAGGATGACCTTAAAGCACACAACTGCACCTCTCTGTGCTTTTATGCCTTCATTTAATGGCAGGGAGGGAGGAAGAGAAAGAGGGGAGCTGGAAATTTAATGCTAAATCAATAGCTCTGGTGACTGAAATCTTCTGCCTCCTTTCTTGCTTCCCCAGCCCTTCCTCCGGCTCCTTGCAATTGTTTTCCCCAGCAAGAAACCCTTGAGGGCCTCTGGAGGCAGCCCAGCTGGCTGACCGGGCAGGGTGGCCCTGTCCTTCGCAGGGGAGCCCCAAATTCGGCTTAGGGAGAAATACACTTTTTTAACCCATCCACAATTCTCTCCCTACAGCAAATTCGGACGCTTGCAGAAGAAGATTGAGGAACAGACCCTTCTGACATGCCGGCCAGCCCCAAAGCTTGTCTCGCTACCCTATCCTGGGTGCCATTTTTAACCTTATTGACCCCGGTTCAGGGGTGCCTTTTAGAAGCCTGCTTGACGGGTTGGTAAAAGACATCAGAATAGCAGCTTTCCTGACGGAACATTTGATTAGCAGACTGGCTACCTTCTGAGAGCTTTTTCAGGAGGAAAAGCAGGTTTTCTCCAATTAACAAATACTGTGATTAATTGGATAAATGGCCTAGAGATGGAGATTCTCAGTCATCCAGGTTGTCCCAAAGGTGCTTTTTCACCAGACAACTGGACTTTCTTGTTTTTCTTTGAAGAGGTCTCGCTTCTCGTAACTAAGGAGCTTCCTCAGGTTCTGGCTGAATGGCGGAGGATGGATTTATGTTCCTTGCAGTCATCTGGTTGTTGTTACTCTCAGAGTCCTTGAGGCCGCTTGGAGGTTTTTCTTTGCCCTCAGGGTCACCTCCAAGTGGCCTCAATGACTCTCAGAGACAGTGCAAGTGACCTGATGTCTGCAAGGAATACATATCCTCCCTCCTTCCGCCATTCAGTCAGAACCTGAAGAAGCTTCCTGGATGGGAAGCAAAACGCCTTCCAAGAAAAAACAAGAAAGTCTTGTTGCCTCTTGAAAAAAGCACCTTTGGGAGTCTAGAACACTTATTCTATTCTTATGAATCAACAGATTTTAAAATGTATAATTTCTTGAATTTCCCCAAACCTTGCAACAATGACTACATATTTCTATAACACAGGTGCACTAGTATTATATGCTCCTATATCGTTCCAAAAAGACATCTACTTAATGGCTGTTTTAATTGTCTTAACTGCGGGCAGAGGAAACCTGTCCGACGATAGCCTAGGTTAGAAGGAAGTGGCTGCCCATAATCCACAGCAGAAAGGAACAGGAAAATACAGATTTTTTTACAAGTAAGAGCCACAAACACACTATAATGGATATTCCCCCCCCAAAAAAAAAAATCCTGATCTTTGCTCCTGTCTTGTGGCCGTGAAACGTGACAAGCTTGTTTTGCTCTTCAGCTCTTCCCAAATAGACCCCCCCCCACGCATATACACACACACAGAGTCTTTGCTACGCTGCTCTGGCTGCACGCTGATAGAAAATATTGATCAGATCCCAACTATATGGCTGCAAAGAACAGCCAGTTTCGCGTTAACCCTTGCAAAACGGGATTGATGGTGGGCTGGTGTTCAGAGAAGAGGGGGGAGAGCAGGATCAGGAACGGGGAGACTCCCTTCAGCTGCAGAAATTGGGGTGCAATTTCCCCCCCCCCCAATATCCCTGGGCTGGCTCTCTTTTAATGTGTTATTGGTGTCTTTCCTATTCTGGAAACATCCGATTGAGTCTCTTTCTCTCTCTGCGTGGGCCCCGACCGAATAGGTGATTGCAGAAAAGATAGAAATCTTAGCTAGGGATCCACGGCTGCTTAATTCAGAACAGAAAGTCCTGCATCATCAGCTTTTTCCTGGACTTCAGAGCTTACCTAAAATCTGGTAAATTATATATTAGGATTTTTTTTTAGCAGCCATAAGCCAAAAGGCGGTGCTAGGAAATTCTTCTACTTTCATTTAGGGATTGCTTGGACCAGTCTCTGGCCTTGCATCTTTCAACTCCTGAAGATGCATTGAGTCACCAGCACTAAAAATCAAGGTATCTCCCATTTATTAACAGTTTAGATTCATCCCTCAGGCTCCTGGCTCAGTTTTAAACTCTGTCTGGACCAGGTTTGGCTCCTCTAATTCAGTAGATGCTTTGCCCTTATTTGTGGAATGGAAATAGAGCTGAATTCTGAGTTAAAGAACAAAAAAAAAAATCACCTACAAATCAAAGCCCTTCACTCATCCCCAGCTCAGTTTGGGTTTTTTTTTAAAGGTTTTTTTTTTATGAGCAAGGTGCAGTTTGGGAATTTAAGATGATCGGTTGCTTTTTCTCCCCTTTGTGTGTGTGTGTGTGGGGGGGAAACGATTGGGCAAGCAGGGTTAAAACCTGGAAGGGGCACTTTGGGGGCCAACTGAAACCTCATCTCTTTCCCCCCCCTCCTAAAAGCCCCCCAATGTTCTGTTTGAAACGGAAAGCCGAAGAGCAGAAGGGATTCGGGGGAGTTGTCCGTTCAGTAGCTGGTGGCTGGTTGTGCCTGAGAAAAATCAATGAAGATCTTTTCACGAGAAGATCCTCTATAGGTTGAGGGACATCTAGAAGAAGGGGGGGGGGAAATCTTCCCTTCCTTCCACTTCCCCCCCCCCCCCCCCGCACGTTGCCAGGGAGAGGGGAACAAAAGAAATCCCTGGAAAGGGAGGAGGTGGTTATCATGAGCAGGGCAATTTCCATCCTCCGACTCCAAGTTGGCTTCTGCTAACCTGGCTGACCCTGGGCTGTTTGCACATTTGCAGGCTGGTTGAGAAGGTCGCCCTTGGGCCTGGATGAGCCCAGGGGTCTGGAGCAGAGTGTTTCCCTCCCACCCACCCACCGACCCCAACCCAATTCATTTCATTAATGACGCTCTTAGCCTCTTCTGAGCCTTCCTGCCCTTTGGTTACGACCCCGCCTTTTTATCCCTGGAAATTTTAAAACACTCCTTCATAGAATTGGGACTGCATAAATTAAACTCCAATCGTTCCCCAACTCATTAGCCCAAATACAAGGCCGTTTTCCCAGAAAGCAAGCCCGGTCAAAATCACGGCAAAGTAAAGTATTCGTAGCATTCACAGGTTTAAATTTCAAGAGACGATTTGAGCCATTTTAATCCGTGCAAGGTGACCTTCCCAGGCTCTGATTCTCACCCCAGAGGCTGGCTGTCTTTGGGGTGTAGGGGCGAGCAATAATTAAAAATGGAAGCAAGGGCCACTCTGGAGATTTTGGGGAGAGGCCCATTGAATTTACATTTTACGTTCAGTCCAGTGGATTGGTTTGGAAGTGGTCCCTGAGCTAACAATGCTCAGGTTTTATTGCAATGTTTTTGTGGATGCATAACAAGTGTGTGGTTGTTTTTTTCCCCCCTTCCAGATTCAGGGTTTTTGGAACAGAAAATCAGCCATGCTTGTTAGTTTACGCTGTCCGTTTCTAGAGTAAATCAAGCCCAAAGTGCTAGGCTTCCCCTCTTTCATATCGGGGACGCTGAACCCCAAAATAACCCAAGCCAAACGTGAGGATGCTCCTCTTGGAAGGAAAACAATTGAACGTAACTGCACAGCTCCCTGGATCGTGGTTTGAGCTGTATTCCAAGTTAAAAGCCTCGTCTTTCGGACTTCCATTTGACCTGCACCAGATGGTGGATCCTTCAGGGATCGTTTCAAAGCTTGAAATGAATTGTTCCCAGCGTTGGAGGAGGCAAAAGGGAGAATCAAAAGGGGGAAATGGACATTTTACATAAAAAGCAAACGTGACTTGTTGGGGGAAAGAGGCTCAAATATATCTACAATTCCCGGCGTTTTAAAACCCCGGCAGAAGTTTTGCAGAGAGAGAACTGGGCACTTTTTCAAGCAATTCCTTTTGCTTCAAAGCAGAAAAGGTTGCCTCGGTTTGCTCCCCGTTAGCCAAGGGATGCCATTACCTTAATGCAAATTTGGAAATAGATGCTACAGAAGTGAATTTTTGGGAGAGGGAAAAAAAGAGGCAAGCTTTTTTCAGAAAACACAGAAATGTTCTCAAAAGCATCTCAGGCCATTTCTTTTTTGGGAAAAGCCAGAGCGACTTAAGATTAAAACTTCCCTCATCAGAAGCCAGCTCACTGAATTCAGTGGGTCTCCCCCCAAGTCAGCCTGCTAGGAGATTCCCCCCCACCTCCCTGGGATCGATTGCTGCCAGGTCACACAACCGCACCTCTTGAATTTCAGTGGTGTGATTCCATTGCTTTTTCTAGCCCATGTTGGTGGGATTCATCGGAAGGAAATCTCTTCCCAGGGGAACTGTGGAACTCCCAGCTGCATGAAAGTGGGTGGGATTGTAATCTAGTGGACCACCTGACAGATTCTCTGTCTAGCTTTTTGCAAGGTGGTGATTCCAGTCCATGCGACGTGATCTCTGGAGAGACCACTTGGCCTGGCCTAATCTCAGGGACACGAACAGGGAAGAGCCTGGAGAAGAGGACAAACGGGGTTGGACTAGAAGACCTCCAAGGTCCCTTCCAACTCTTGTTATTCTGTTATTTTTCAAATCAGCTTTCTCTACCTTGGCCACTTTTAAGATGGACGGACTTCCAATTCCCAGAGTTCCCCTGCCAGCATGCTTGGACTTCAATTCCCAGAATTCTCTATTCAGCACAGAATTCTAGGAATTCAGTTCAAATGCACTCTTGGCTGTAAGGCTAACACTAACTAACTTGGCTCCTTCTGCTGGCCGTAAAACAATATTTCTTTTTTTTTTCTTCAAAAAAAAGAGTGTTTTTTTAAAATTTCAATTTCCCCTTTTGCAGGAACGAATCAGAGTTTTCGTAATCCTTCATCAGAGAAGAGTTGATCCTTCCTCAGTCAAGTCAACATCTCTTTGCCTGTTTTGGAAAGTTAAGGTACCTGAACCAAACGGTAGCCTAATTTTTGCCCACAAACATCCGAATAATATTTCACAGTCTTAACTTTTCCCTTCTTATATCAACAGTTAAATATCATCCTTTAGAAACGCTGCGAGAAACTTAAACCCAACAGCCTCTCCATCATTAGGAACATAAAAGGAAAAAAAAATCTTAAATATTGCTATGGAACCAAGTATCTTTGCAACACACACAGTGTAAAAAAAAAATCAGCAGAAGAAAAGCCGAAGAAACATTCGGATGGGGTGGAAAAGGATAAATTTAACGGAGGGTATTTTGGTCAGGAAAATAGATGGTGGAACAAGACAAGGAAAACCTGAACAGACACGTCTATAAATAACTCCCAGAGAAATGCTTTTCGCAGGCAGCATTAGGAGATACTTCTCTATTTCAAAAACCCCGATCAATCGAGATCCATATAACGGGAGCAAAATGCACCCAAGGAAAGGATTCCACCAGATTCAACCGTTTCAAGAAATTATCTTGAAGCCTCTTTCCCTTTAGACTTTTTTGTTTTTTTAATTCAATTTTCAAATGTAAAAAAAACAAAACAACCCAAACTCAAATCTTCCCCTCTCGTTGTTGTTTCCCCGTTTGTTAGTGAAGAAGGGGGGGGGGACTTTTTCACATAGGACCAACAGAGATGCTGGAATTGTGGCAGGGTGAGGAGACCACAATTATTATTATTTTTTGGGCCAGCTTGCAAAAAAAAAAAAAAAAAAAGCCATTGGGAATTGCCTGGGAATCGGGTGAAGTTGAATGTGAGCATGGGCGTGAAGAGGCTGACCTGAACATAAAGATACAGCACTTGTGAATGCTGAAACGTGGAAAGGCAGGCTAACAGCACCTACCCCTCCGAGCTGAAAAGCACAATTGGAGAAGTCCCTTCACCCCAGGAGGGATGGTGCTACACAAGGAGACTTTTTGATCTGGGATGGGGTCCACCTGGACAGTCCAAGGTGTTGTCGTGTTTCTGGCTGCGCAGGACGTGTTTTCCCTGACCTTGGCCGAAGGTGGCTGGACGGGGGGGGGGGGGGCTTGCGGGAGGCTGGTGTGAGCTGGCCGTGTGTGTGTGCAGAAGGGATTCACAGAAGGGGAGGACGGGTTAGAGATCTGCCCACCCCATTATAGACTTGTCCCTGACCCACAAGGTTGTGCAAAGGACAAAACTGGGTTAGGCCTTGGAGGGGACATTGGCCTAGATTTGAGCCCGGTTGCACTAATGCTGGCCGACTAATGTTGAGTATTGATCGGAGGCTGGAGGGAAACCAAATGTGGGCTTGTGTAAACCCCTGAGAAATTCAACTGGGGGGGGGCTTAAGAAATCCTTTCCTGGCCCCCCAATCCTTTGCATCGCCCTCGGTTAGAAGCACACCTAGTCCTCAACATACAGCGGTCCATTTCATGGCCGTTCGAAGTTACAACGGCATTGAAAAAAGTTAATTTTTTCACAGTTAACGGCCGTTGAAGCGTCCACCGTGGTCACGGGATCGAAATTCAGACGCTCGGCAACTGACTCGTATTTACGACGGTCGCAGCGTCCCGGGAGACGTGTGTCACGTGATTCCACTTTTGCAACCTTCTGAACAGCCAAGTCGAGAGGGAAGCACAGATCTGCTTAGCGACCAGGTTACTAACTTAACAACTGCACTTAACGGTGGGAAGAAAGGTTGTAAAACGGGGCCAAGCTCGCTTAACGGATGTCTCGCTTAGCAACAGGCTCAGTCCTGGTTGTCACTCAAGGAGTGCCTGTATTGGAGAGCAGAGTATCGCCTATTGGCTGTCGTTCGAGTGGCGCCATTGGTCTACTCAGAAGGCAGCCTTGGTGCCTGCAGTGGGCCTTACTCCTAGGGAAGCGGGTCCGGGTCCCAGGCCTCAGATACCCTCCTTGGCGCCTGACGTTCCTTGTCTTGTTCCTGCCTCCCCCTCCCCCCCAGATCTCGGCTACGGAAATAGTATCTTACCTTCTAACCTTAAAGCTGCCATCCTCTGAAATTCGGGCTCTTGAAGCCACCGCCACATTCTCTTGAAGGTCTCCCTCCCGGACTTCAGCTTGCTCCAGGGCTTGGGGTTCCTCAGGAGATCGGACAGGGTCCCCTGGGACCGGCAGAGGACCCTCTCTGCGAAGATGGCCTGCGGGATGCTGTAGCGCTTGAGCTCGGCGATGATGCGCTGGGCCACTTCCTTGGTGTTGATCTCCTCCAGCTGGCTGGAGAGGACCGTGGTCTGGGTGGCGATGGGCGGGTTGGGCCGAGCGTTCATCTCTGGCCGGGGGTGGCCGTAGCCGGTTTGACCCATGGGGTTGGGAGAGGCCATGGTGGAGTTTTGGGTGGGAGACATCTCTCTTTGGAAGTGCTGGTCCATGCGGCCAAACATGGCGGCGGAGTGGCCTTCAAAGCCGTTGCCGAGCACCATCTTCTCGTTGGCCAGGGGAGCGACCGAGTGTCCCGCGTAATTGTGCATGGGGACCAGTTGCGGACTAGGCAGCGAAGACAGGCTCTGGCCCATGCCCAGGTCCTTGTGGTGGTAGGGGCTGTAGAAATGCCCGCCGGCGCCCAGCCCTCGGTCTTCCCTCATGAGGGTGAAGCTCCCGATGACATTGCCCATCGGCAGACATTGGTGGTGATGGTGGTGGTGGTGGTTCTGGTGGTGGAACTTCTCGTGAAGGGGCTGCAGGGGAGTCAAGGTGGTGTAGCTGTTCCCTGCGCCGGAGGTGGGCGAGTCCCCGCCGAAGCCAAGTCCGGGGTGGAGGGTGGTGGCCAAGGTGTGCTCTGCCCGGTGGCATTCGCCCCCTTCCAGCACGGAGGCCACCAGCGAGGACCTCTGCAGTGCTGAGTGCAGAGGACGCGCGTCGCCCGGCATGAAGTCCTGCTCTGGAACGGCCATCTCCCCACCATTCTCCAAGCTCAGCTGGACGTTCATGGTTCCACCTCCTAGGCTGTCATCTTCTCGGTGGGGCAGTCCAGCCTGAATCGGGGTTAGATGTTGGGTGAGTGGAGGAAGAGGCCGAGAGGGAGATGTCGGCTCCGGTTGGGAAGCTAATCCGCCTTCAGTTCCTTGGGGAGGCTTTGGGGACAAAGGGAGAGAGATAAGAAAGAGAAAAAGACACCCAATCTTCCTCCTCCTCCTCCTCCTCTTCCTCGTTGTCTTTTCATGCATTGAAATTTCATCCGGCCAAATTAAACGTGCAGAGACCAAACTTCCATGTGTGCAAATGCCCTCATCAGACAGGGAAATATACCCCCTCCGTCCCCAAGACCGGTGGGCTCCAAAGACTCCTTGATCCTGCCCCTCAACCCCCGGGGTGGGGGGGTCTCCCTCTCCCCTCCCTCGCATGCCAAACATTCCCCTCCCCAGGAGAGGAGAGGAAACCTTAACGAAAGAGGCAAGAAATTTTGCTCTTTTCCTTGCCAAAGTCCAAACAGTTTCCCCTAGGCTCACAGACACCCCCACCCACCCCACACAAGAAATTCCCCACCCACCGAAAAAAGAAGGCAGCTTACCTATTGTTGGATGTTATCCTTTGAGAGGCAGGTAGGACTGTTGGATGAGAGAGGGAGGGAGGGAGGGAGGGAGGGAAGGAAGGAAGGAAAGAAAGAAAGAAAAAGAGAGGAGAAAGATTATTTTGACTCTCCGGCACCACAGCAGCCGTAGCTGCCGTGTCTCTTCCACCTGCCTCGCCGGCAGCAGCTTTGAGAAAGGGACGAAGGAGACCAACCCCAGCTCCCTCCCTGGGGGCCAGCACGAAGCAGAAAGAAGCTTGTCCCCCCTCCCAGCCCTAAAACAGTCCCACTTTTGAGACCTTCCCACCACAAGCAGCAGCAGCATCCCTGCCTCTTCCTCCCAGCAGCTGCTCATAATTTGGATTTCTTGAAGTCTGTCCAGCTTGAACTAACCTCCTCTTTGTGTGTGTGTGTGTGTGTGTGTGTGTGTGTGTGTCCCAGTGGGTCAGTCTCAGCCCTCTCCTTCCCCCCCCCCAGTGGGTCTGCTCTCCAGTCCAGCCTCCCCCCACCCCACTTCCCAACCTTGCTTCTTCCAAGCCCTAAAGGCACTGGTATTGATTCCACCAGCCTAAACCCTTTGCTCGCCTGCCTTTTTTCCACGTCACCAGCCTAAAAAATATGCCGGATTGCAATCAGGAGCCAATTGGATTTAACCCAGTCGGGCCTGGAGCCAGGGGGGTGGGTGGGAAAGGCATCAGGGGGCTGGGGCGGGGGTGGGGGGGGGAGAGAGCAAGCAGGCTGTGGTGTGTGCAAAGAAAGGGTAACAGACCTCTTTCAGATATGCCATTAGGGATCCATCATCTCTCTGGACTTGCCTTGGAAGCTTCCTCTGCCGGTCCGAAACTGGACACGGATATTAAAAAGCCCCCAAAGGTTTTTAATTGAGTGTGTGTGTGGGGGGGGGTCTTTGTAGCAGAGAAGGCAGAGGTTGACTGGGTTTTTATTAGCTATTTCGATCCATCTATCCAGATTTAGTGGGCCATTGTATCATCTTTTAAAATGTCTCCTTGCTCAGCTACACCGGTGGGATCACCTTGTGGTCTCCCATCCAAGGAGTCACCCGTTTTAGGGAAGCAGCCTCATTTTTTTCATCATGTCTGCCCTGGGGGGTGGGGTGGGGTGTTGCCTGTTGAATCCCAATTTCAATGTTAGCTTGTCCTGATCCATCCTTGCTTTTGGGAATTGGCTGCAGAGGCTAACCGTCATTCTGTTAGTTATACCTGCACTTTTTAAATTCTGAATTTCATTTATTCTGAGACTTGCACCGTTCTCCGTAGTCTCCTTCACAGCAGGCAACAATGGACGCTGAAGAAGGTTTGGAAAAAAAAGGGGGGGGGAATCAAAGACTTTTTTTTTTAAAAAAAAAAGGAACAACTGACTAATATTGATTTTATTTCTCAGGATTCTGTAGTAATTTATTTTCCTTCCCCGATTTTTATTTATTTATTTCTAGGCCATTCACCTGCGTCCCAGACTGGGTGTTGTTTGTACATAAACAGGAACTTAAGCGGAAAACATATTTAAATTGGAAAGTTTGCCTTGTTTGGTTTGGATGAAGACGGTCTGCAGGAATGATGCATCAAGAGTCAAAGAATTCAAGAAAAAACAGGCCAGTGAGAGAAATGAGAAAAACTGACATCTTCTACTTGAATTCCTACTTAAAATCACTAAGTGATTTCATGAGGGTGTTTGCGAGGGATAAAAAAGATCTTTTTTCTGAGGTCTTCTTTGTCGTGACCCTCCACAAAACCCTTGCAAACGCCTTAACAAATAATATTGCCCATTAACGTCATCAAAACTTTGTTGGACCCAGAACATCTTCCATAAACAAGATTGGCACCTACAGCCCACGACCTCTTTCCTTCCCCCCTAGCCCCAATTTTCTTGGCCCAATAATGATTCTGGCATCAAAGCTGTTTGGGACTCCCTTCTTGGTGAATGGCTACATTTCTAGATCCCCCCCCCCCAAAAGGCAGAGGAGTTGCGTAAGAAATGGGGAGACCGCCACCATCTTCCCTGTTGATAATCCCATATGGATAATTTAAGATCTGATGAACAGAAGCAGCATCTGAGAAGCCCAGGTCTTCCTTCCAATTTTTGCCAGCAACAGATCCCACACAAAGTGGATTTCAGACCTGGCTTTTTTTTTTTTTTTTTTTTTTGCAAAAGGGGTCTCTCTCTCCAACTGCTGGAGGATCTGGGCAGGATTGAGGCCTCCATGGACACTTAGAGAGGTCTAAGGCAGGTCTCTCTTAGTTTTTGGACACAGTTCAAAGGCCTGGATGTTCACAGTTAGAGAAAACAGCAGCCTCTGAAGTTCCTTGTGGCCTGCAGGTGCCCGTGGTCACACAGGTAGGCACAGGTGAGCTTGCTCACAAGTCTTTTTTTGCACTTTGTTAATTGCACAAAACTGGAAAAATGGGGTGCCACTAGAGGGGAAAGGACAGCTAGACAGTCTTTGTGAAACAAGGAGTTGGTGAGAACCCCCAGCTTTTGAGAACAAAATCATAAGGAGAACATAGCCACTTCCTTCTCAAGCTGCAGTCTGCAGGCTTACACAAAACACCGAGTCAGAATGAATTCCCCATCTCTTTTGCAAAGCTGCAGCTGTCTGTCTGAATTTCAGAACTTCTATCAAGATAGCCAATGAATAATCACTAATTTTGTCAGCTCTCCTCTTAACACCCCCTCCTTAGGAACACACAGACACACACAGACACACAGACACACACACACACACACACACACACAAAATAGCCGAACAATGGGAGGTTGGCAACTTTCTGGTTATTCAAAAACTGGGGGGCAGTTAATATTTGGTGTGATTTCATGAGGGTGTTTTGTTAAGGTCCAAGTTAATGGTTAATAATGGTTTCCAAATTAATTATGTATTTTGAGGTGGCTTAGACATGAAAAAAGGTCCTTTTTGTGTAGCCCATCGAGGTAAGCCTCTCCTTCTGAAACCCAGGTACTATCTCTGCCTTGCAAAAAAAAAAGCAGTGATTTGAGAAGGTTGGTTAAATTCTGCTCATTTTATATATTTTCAGAATTTATATGGTGCCCTCTTAAGGTGGCTCCAGCCCAGGGATGGAGTAAGTTTATGGCTATCTAGTAGCAAAAAAATACAGAAAACCACAGAAACATAATAGCTAAATCAAAGTGGAAAAACAAGCACAAACTCTTTAAATATTCATCATGTGAATTTCTGAGCCATTAAATCCTAAAAGCAGATATTTAAAAAAATCGCTTTTGGACGAGATGGGCCAAATAAAAACAATGCACAGATATCTCCTCAATTAAATTCAAATGCATTATAAAGAGAGAAATGGAGGCACTTGGAATTGCTCCAGGATTTGGTGGCGTCAACATTTGTTGATGGTTAAACTGAGGACTAGCTGCTTAACAAAGCAACACCCAGTCTAAACATGGCTATTTTTGTAACCAGCTTCCTGAGGCTTCCTCTTTGCAACTGTCCTTAGTTATATAGAAAAGCTTGTGACTAAGAGGCATTAAAGGTTAAGAGCCCTCAGCTTTGAGGCTTGTTTAGGCCCAAATCACTAAGACGTTGTGAACTCTACGTTAAAATATTGGCCAACATTCAAAGCTTGATGTTCAAGTTTTATTAATGTACCGTCACCTCACTGCCCACTTAATTATTGTTAGGTCAGCTTAGCAAGATCCTATTTGTTGAGTTAAAAGACTTTGCATATTAAACATGAACTTATTTTCTTCTAAGCTGATTCCATAGGTGGTAAAGGGTGTTGTTTCTGTGTATGTACATGTAGGGGTTAACTTCAATTTTTTTTTTTTAAAAAAAAAAGAATCTTAAGAAAGAGCATTTCACATCAGTAACCCAAATGTTGGCTCCTGATTCAGAGACCAAAGACATCCCCCTTGCTTTTCTTTCATTGCCTTCTGCATCTTTTAATTAATTTGTAAACATCTTGGCACAAGAACTATAGGAACTGAGTCTTATTCTGGCTACAGAGGATCAAAATTGAGTTCTGACTGTTGCAATATTCATTAAATATATAAAACCCTCTGTGAGCAAGGAAACTGCTGGAGCTTTTACGGAAATCTGATCAGAAGTGGAGACCCCCTTTGAATAAAAACAATAATAGTGATAAAAAGGGTGATCAGTCTGAAATGGGAAGGAAGTTGGAGGTAGAAAGTCCATTCAATTCTAAATTAACTGAGATTTTAGAAAAAAAAGGACTTTCAGGGGTGAGCAATAATTAAACACACAAGTTGGCTTTCTTTTAGAGGTCTTTTGATCACAAACGGCTCTCAACAGCTTGCTCCATGCCAATTAATCAATATTTCGCAGAAATCTGCTAGAAATTCAAGAAGAGGGAGAGAAGAAGAAGAAGAAAAAGACCTTAGAAATCTTTTTTTTCAAGTGCTGTGAAAAACATTGGGTTCCCCCCTTTTTTTTCCAAAGGAGCTGTCCGGGCATCTAGGTGCTGAAATGGCTCCGTTTGATCGCCTCTTAAAATATGTAGAATTTAATAGGAAAAAAAATAATAGAAGTCATCTCTTTCTCTGCTAGGGATCTGAATTGTCAGAACCTGAAATAAAATTCTGCAAGGATTTAAAACAAATTACAGCATATTAGAGAATATTTTTACACTTTCCTAATATGCCAACCCTAGCAAACTGACTTTTCTGCTGGAATGGAAGCAAAACGTTAATTCTCCAGTGTTAAACGCCACTCAGACAAACCCTGCTTTTCCCAAAACATTCTCCACTGTTAACTTCAACCCAAGTAGGAACTATATGTTTTTCTTGAATATACTGCCTTCTTTCAAACCAAAATAAGATTCAGTTCTACCGCTGATCACTTGCAGGAAATTCACGCAGAAAACAACAACACACACACACACAAAAACCCCTCTTTTGTTTCCATTCTTAATAAACTGCATCTCCGAAGGAAGAAGACATTAAAAAAAATTTAAAAACCCTTCCCATCTAAAAATATTCAGTTAGGAGTTTTTAAAAATCCAGATTTTTTTTTTTAAAAAAAGTTTTTGGCAGATGCCAAGAGCATCCGCTTGTTGTGAAAATCTGTGCGTTTTAGCGGTGTCTGTGTACGTTTTAGCTAGCCACCCTAAGGATTCCCCCTTGTTTATTTTCGGCGGCAGCAAACTTTACGCATAATGCTGTTAAACAACTTGTGAATAATGTTGTTGTACTCCCTATTCTGCTTTAACAATTATGGAAAAGCCTTTGATTTGGAATTGTTATGCCTTCTTTCCCCCCCCCCCATAAGTCTCTCAACACACTTGTCACATCAATGAGCTATTTTATCTACATACACCCACAGAGAAACACACACACATCTCCCCTTGGAAAGAGTTTAAAACACCATTTGGTTGATTAATTGTCTTTTATTGATCATTTTCCTATTTGGCAGAAGCCGTGGACCTTTGGCTGCATAGATTTCAATATGTTTCCTAACCTTAAAAGGTAAAAAAAAAAATACTCTTGATTTTTTTAAAAAAACAACACACAGAGAGAGAGAGAGACGCAGGAGCTGAATTTGTTTCTATTCTAGAAAGCTAAGAAATATGGATTTCCCCCCCACGCCCATCTTTCATAGTGAGGAAATAAAGACACCTTTAATGCAATACTGGAGGATGGGACCTTTTTAACAACATGGAAATTACATTATATAAATTTAATCTTTTCTCTCTTTAGGGAAGAAAAGTGAAGGGGCTCGCTAATGAAACACCAGGCAGGCAACCTTCAAACTTACCTTATTTCATTTCTGCGGCTCCTTTGAAGGTGGGGGTAGGGAATATGATTTATTATTTATTAAAATTATTAAGATGGGGTAGTCATATCTCTCTTTCTCCCCCGCCCCCCCTTTCTCAGGGATGGAGGAGTTTTGGCAAGCCCGGAGATGACAACGAAGATGTAGAGAGGAGGAGATTAAACGCCTCAATTCTTGCAAGCCTTTCTTCAGCTTAAGGTGAGGAGGAAGCTGGCAAAATTATTTTGAGGGTTATTAATATTATCTCCCGGTTTAGGAGCCTTGCCACTTCTCACCTCACTTGAGTTGCCCCCTCCCCACCAGAGAAACAACCTCAAATTTCCAGAATATCCAGAGAAAAGGATTTAAAAATTAAGGGCTCCCCCCTCCACACATGCCTGGTTATAACTCTTGTTTTGCAACATATTTATGAAGTTGTGCAAATGGTATCTATTCCCCCCCACCCCCCATTACTCGGGAGGAGCTCTGGCAAGACCTCTTTTTGAAAAGGAGACCTGTTTTGTAAAATAATAATAATAATAATAACAAAATAATAATAATAATAACAATAATAATAATAATAATAGTCAGATATAAATAAAGACAAAGAATAAACCCAGAAGGGGGGAGGGATATCCTCCGGGGCTTCCTTCGAAGTCGACGGCGGGGAGGGGGGTCTCGGTTTGCGGCTCCTGGGCCGGTGGGGTGATTTAGGAGCAATGCAGAGATGTGGGGAAAGGCCAGGAGGAGGTTCAGTCTGCGTGGAAAAATCTCTTGCGTGCTTGTATGTTTTACTTCATTCCACTGACGCAGCCGCCTCTCTCACGGAGGGGAGCCCAAGTGGCATACAAAGATTTTGTCTCTGCGCGCGCGCGCGCGCGCGCGCGTGTGTGTGTGTGTGAGAGAGAGAGAGAGAGAGAGAGAGACTCACGCGCGCACACAGACACATAGAAGTCACGCACACAAGCCCACACATACAGACATATGTGTATGTATAAATAGGTATATACACCACCCATAAATCCAGGAAGAAGCTACATAGCCCCCGTTATGTTGATCCTCATTGTAAATTCCGATTTTTTTCTCTGAGGCTGGGGGGGGGGAACGCGCGACTCTTTTGTCTCGGGGAAAAAACTTGCTGGCCCCCAAAGGCTCCCTCCACACCCCATTATAAATATATATATATATTGCGTTTCCGAGGGGGTGTGCGCGGGTGGGGGTCACTGGGAACCACCGCAGCAGGTCTCCCCTTAGGGGCCGGGGGGGGGATGCTGGAGTGGGGATGCTGGAGTGGAGGGGATGCTGGAGTGGGGGGGGCGGAGGGGGGGTGGAAAACGGGCAGGGTCTTTTTCCAACTTTCTCCCCGCGCGGGAAAGGCCCGGCTGGCCACATCTGCTTTGCCTGCGCCCGGCAGACAGGAAAGCAACAGGTGGGCAGCTTCCTCCCGCCGCTGCGGGGGATGGAGGGACGTGACGACCCCCTTCCCTCTCGCCGGCCGGGCCCCCGGGGTCTCCCCCGCAGAGGGAGCCCCGACATTTCCCGGTAATTGACAGCATTCTTTTCATAAAAAGAAGCAGGCGGGAAAGGCCCGGCTGCCCTTGCAGAAGACCTGACACTTCGCTAGGAAAGCGGCTGCAAGCCTAAGGCCGACCCCCCCCCACCTTGTCCCCCCCCCATTGACAGACTCTGCCCCGAGGGGAACGCCGGAGGACGGGGAAGCCCGGCTGACCTCAGCAGCCCCATTTGGGACCTGATCTCGGGGGTGCAGGAATCAAAGGGGGCGAATTGGGCTCCCCAGAGACTCCCCTTTCACTAGAATAATTGGATTTCTTTCTTTCTTTCTTTCTTTCTTTCTTTCTTTCTTTCTTTCTTTCTTTCTTTCTTTCTTTCTTTCTTCCTTCCTTCCTTCCTTCCTTCCTTCCTTCCTTCCTTCCTTCCTTCTCTCTCTCCCTCCCTCTGCCTTTTTCTTCCTTCTTTCCCTCCCTCCTTACCTTCCTTCCTTCCTTCCTTCCTTCCTTCCTTCCTTCCTTCCTTCCCTCAAACGGGGGGGGGGGTATGGATGTCACAGAGCTGGCCCCCTGCCTTCATTCCAACCCCGATTTTTGCCCCAAGGCTGCCTTCTCCAAAGTTGTTCCTTCCTTTTACTTTCCCCTAATTCCCCCCCCCCCCGCCTGCCCAGCTCCATTGCATTAGGAAAATGAAAAGCAAATCGCGGGCGCGGACAGGAGGGATTTTTCACGAGCCCCCCCCCTCCATTAACCTTTGAAGAACTATAAAGAGGGCTGTAAAACACACGCGCAACATACCCGCACACAGCAGCAGCCGCAACCCGGGTGGGCGAAGGGGGGAGAGAGAGAGAGAGAGAGAGAGAGAAATTTTTTAACTTGATTAACGTTATTTAAAGTATTCCCAGGAGACTGCCCCCAATGAAGTTTACTTTACAGATAAAGGGAAGCGGAAGAGAGTGAAATTGAATTAAATTCCTGTATTTGCCATTGCTTGACAGGTGGAAAGGAGAGGGCGGGGGATTGGGAAGAAAACAGCGAGAAAGAGAAAACTAGAGGAATCTGGGAATTATTCTGCATTTAAATATACCTGGATAAATAATTTGTATCTCTGCATCTTTGGGGTTTGGGGTTTTTTTTTTTCTCTGCACAAAAAAAACGTTTTGTTTTGTTTTGTTTTGTTGTTCTGCAGCTTTGGCTGAAACTGAGATATTTAATCTCAATGTCAGGAATTATTTTTTCCTTCTTTGCTTCTTCCTATTTCTAGCCTTCCCCAAACACCCCAAGATTTTTGTGGTTCCATCACCTTTTAGCAAAGCCATAAATTTTGTGGACTTGTCACTATGGACCTATAAAAATTCCATTCCTTTTTTTTTTTTACCTTTTCTTTCTCAGTTGACATTGCAAGCACTGCTTTATTATTATGTATGGTAGCAAGAAGTGTCTGTGTGTGTGAGTGTGTGTGTGTGTTTGTGTGTGTGTAAGTAAGAGTGTGTGTGTGTATTTGTGTGCACATGAGAGACCAGCCCTTATAAAACCCAAAGCCAGGTTAAATTTATTCTAGTGCATTCAGGTTTTTTTTTAAAAAAAAAAAAAACACGCATGCACTCAAATATCTAGCAGACTCTATACGCTCAATTTATTTTATTTTATTTGTAAAGATCAGGGCTCAGAGGAGGAAACCAAATTATAATCTTAAACCCAGAGCTGGAGAATGAAGACTCCTTAAATTTATAAAATTTAGTTCAGAGTAAGTATGTATAATGCATGAACAGGCAGCGATCAAAACATCTGAGTATTATTGTGAATAATTTTTCTAATTGATGCATGGAAAGGAGGAGTCAGATGGGCTTTTCAATGCAACTTGCTTTAAAATAAAAAATTCTTTGATTAACTGGCAAGCAAGGAAGTCTCTCCCCCTCCCTTCAACCCCCAATAGCTTCTTTTTCCTTTATTGATCTGTCTTTCTCTTTATTGATCGCTATATAAAAGGAATCCTAATCTTTGTCCACAAGAATCCATATTCGAGGGATTGTTAAACGCGTCTGATGCCTTTCTCTTTCTTTTCACCATCACACTGAAAACACCCCTGTATTTTTTTTTCCCCCTTGATTGGGCTCAGAAACATGGATATTGTTGTGTGTACAAGAAAGAGGCCCTCTGTTTATTTAACAAACCATACGAGAAGCAATATATTAGCATTTGAGGCTTTTTAAAAAAAGATAAATCTCTCTGGATGCATTATTCTCTTCTTTTAATTCTCCAGAGGCCAGAAGTTAAAATCTTCCTAAGGTGGCTGGTATCTTTATCAAGGAACAAAGCATTAAACAAACCTAACACGATGCAAATATTAAGACACACTTCCAAAGCAAAGAAGAAGCTAATAAAATCACACGAGATTCCAAAGAGAGTACAGTTATCTATCTGCATGCAACACTGTTTTTTTCCCTCCCTCTCTTCCAAATGCCAAATTCAAATGTGGGTATCAGAACAAAGAAACGGCCTATGTTTCAACTTGCCATAGCTGAAAACCACTTTCCTGCAATCTCCCACCTTCAATCATTAAACAACCGGCTTTTATAAAAAAAACAATCTCAAGATTCTTGTCCTTCCTGATTCCACTTGAGCTACAGGCATGGACAATAAAAATGTTACCCCGATCCTCGTTTTGAGAAAAAAAAGTTGAGGATGAAGAAGAAAGTTTAAAACAGGTTGGATGCATGGAAAGAAATTACCTTTACTCTGATACTAAAATGGTTTTTTTTATGTTCGTGTTTTGTTCTAGGCACAAGGTTCCATGCTCCTAAGAAAAATCCTGGGAAAAAAAGGCATTTCGTATCTTTGGGGGTTACGTTTTCTCCGCTTTTTGAGGAATCAAAGAGGTAATTTTAAATGCCAAGCAAGAGATACTTTTAATATTAGGAAGTTGGCTCTTCATTTCTGAAGTCTGCTTGATAGAGAGGCTTCTGCAAAGGTTTATAATTGTGGCAGGGAAAAAGGAGACCTGTCTTTCTGCGTTTCAAAGGAGATTAAAGTTGGGCCTCAGTATATCCACGGCTGGATGCAGAATGCAGCAATTATTCTCTAATTTTAGACTTCAGCTGCCTGAGAGATGGGAGGCAGAAAGAAAGTCTTCCCAAATCAAAATCAGCTCCCAAATCAGTCAGGATTGTTACCTCTCCCCCTTACCAATTGACTCTCAATCTGAAGGGATTGCGAACGCCAGGAAATTACGTGTAAAATACCCTTTGTCTTTGGTTAGGGAAGAGGCGCGCCAACACTCTCCAGCTTGGCTGCCGAAATAGAGCATCAAAGGAAATCAATGCGATGCATTTTCCATATTTTATGAGCCCTGGACAAGGGTTTTGGAGACTTCATTGTCTGAAGGCCTCTTCCACCCTTCCTTGGCTGGAGACATTGGAAAGCCAAGAGAGGTTAGAGTTGCCAAATTAAGCCAGTGTGAATCCCAACTCAACACTTTCAGATGTGTCATGCGAGTCAGAAATGGCATTTTGAGTCAAGGTGGAAATAAATCCATTTTCAGGGGCTGCAGCACCCAGCTGCTGCTGGAAAACGGACATTTCTGCTGGACCCCATCTAGCCTCGACCTCTGGATCGGAAATTTGTGGGGTTTGCACCTCCAGCCTCAAGGATGGAGATGTTTTGAAGCCAGTTTCCTGAGTTGGAACCTCCTTCAATGGCAGGTCACTTCGTCACCGTCCGCTAAAAGTTGGTAAGTTGAAAAGAAACTTGGTGGGGAAGGGATTATGAGAGGGACAATGCAGAGGGGGGGAATCATGAAACCTTTCCTGTTTGCCCTACCCCCATTTCCTGCCGGTGCCCCCTAAAAAGCTTCCCCAAGCTAGGCCTTTGCAAAGTAACAAGCCATCTTTAACTCCAAAGGGTTCAACCGTGGGGTGTCAATGGAAGCGGACTCGTGGCCGGGCTGCAAAGTTGGAAATCAGAACAAAAAAATTCATTTCACCAGCTCAGAGACCTGTGTGTGTGTGTGTGTGTTTCACATTTTCCCCGTGGCCTCTTTATCCACCCTCTTCCCATCATCCCCAGCTAGCATAGACGGGACTTTAGCCCTGAAGCCATTTTCTCTCTAGACATCACCTGTGTACTTAGTCCTTGGTTTAACAACCACAGTCGGGACCAGAATGTCTGTGACTAAACAAGCGGCCGCCGTTAAAGTGAATCATGCAGCCCACCCCTTGCATTTTCTTCTCCAGAGTTGGGAAGATCACAAAAAAGACGATCAGACGAAGCTGCAATTGTCAAAAATAGATGCTGGTCACCAGGTGCCCGAATTCTATTCATGAGGGATGCTACAACGGTCACCGTGCGAGGACCCTCCGTCCCCTTTTTTTCCCCATGGAAAAAAAGCCACAGCTTCCAGCCCCCCCCCCCCCCCGTGGTCCAGTCCATGTGTGGCTCCTATTAATGGGAAGCTGCCTAATTAATAGATTCCATCAAGAGAGGCAGGCGAAAAGGATCCGCTCGGCCCTGGGAATGCAGCGGCGTTTCCCTCCCTTCGCCCCATGATCAGCTAATGAAAACAAATCCCCCAGACCAGTTAATCTGACAATTCAATTTAATTATTCCCTAAACCAGATATGAGCATTTCCAGAGTGGAAACTGAGGAAGATTCATGGTGTCTGCCTCCCTCTCTCTCTCTCTTTTTTTTTTTCACCCTTCTCCTGAAATTCAACCCCCAAGAGACCCTTGAATTTCAGTCCGTTTCCTTCCCTTCGGGGACATCTTTTCAGAGGCCCCGGAGGAGGGGTGGCCCTCTTCAGCCCTGCTCTGACTCCGACAGGCACACAGGCCTATTCGTTTATTTTGCTTTTCACCGGCATCATTTTTCATATCGGCTGTCCTAGGGTTGACGTAGGAAAGCAGCGGAATTGAAGTTGCCTTCAGAAGTTGTAGGGACTTCATCCCTGGAGGCTTTTAAGAAGACTGGACAGCCCCTTGTCTGACATCGTATAGGGTCTCCTGCTTGAAGGGGGGGGGTTGGACTAGATGACCTCTAAGGTTCCTTCCAGATTCTATTCTATTCTATTCTGTTCGGTAATTCTATTCTATTCTATTCTATTCTATTCTATTCTATTCTATTCTATTCTTCATTATTTTATTCTATTCTTCATTATTTTATTCTATTCTTCATTATTCTATTCTATATTCAGTTTAAGAACTGAGTGCATTTAGGTCTCAGGAGACTCTGGAATATCTGACAAGTGTGCACCAAGTTCCATCTGTGCCAGCTGCCGCACCCCAAAAGTTGGGCTTTTTTGCCAGCCTCACCAGCCCTCCTCCTCCTCCTCCTCCTCCTCCTCCTCCTCCTCCTCCTCCTCCTCCTCCTCAACTTCTGGATTCCTGGACTTCACGTTTGGCACTTTCTGGGGGGGGGGCTCCTCCCACCCACCTGCCTCTCTTTCCCTCCCAAAATCCCCGCTGGGGTGACCTCTCTTCCTCCCACCTGCCGCCCAGTCAGCTGGCCTGCGATGCTGCGGTATCCAAGGCAACCACACCTGACCCCCGGCTCCGAGGACCAGCCTTATCGATTGCCAAGATAATAAATGGACAGCCGAGGCCACGGGCCCATTTCCATATCAAGCCCGGGGGAGGGGGAACTGAGTTCAGGTCCTCCCGCAGGGGAGGGAGAAGGGCTGGGCCCCATGGAGCCAGCCAGAAGATCAGTGGGTGGGGAGGTGAGGATGTTTTGCTGCACAGGGTCACCGGAGGCCATCCAGATGGGCCTACAGCCAGGCTCTCATCTGTGCCACAACGGCCTTGCGGAGCGGGCCGGTGGTTGCAGGTGTTTTGAAGACAGCTGTCTTTGTGGGCCAGGCGGAGACGGAGATTTGAGCCATAAGGGGCGAAATGTCATTTCTCCTCCTTTACAGCCCTCTCTTGGGCCATGTAACGGGTGACTAGCAGGCTCACCATTCGAATCTGGAGCCTCTGCAGACCTTTCCGTTGTCTTTCTACCCGCTCTGGGATTCCGCTAAATCTTCCAAGTCTTCTCCTTGCTGAGCCTTTCCCCCCGCCTCGCTCCCAAAGCTGCCTAGAGATCTTTGCCATCCAGTGAAACAATCAAGAGGCTAGTCCCTGCTGCAACGGCTCTACTCCGCAGGGCCGGCTGCGTAGTAGAGCATCTGCATGACAGCCCAGCCTGGAGCATTTCTTGAGCTTTGGCCTGGCGTAAGATGGGACTTGTATCCCGGGATACACGGCACTATGTTGGTTTAATCCAAACCACAATGGTTTATGGGAGGCTGTGGCTTAGTCTGCTGACGGGGAGCCCTCCTTTCGAGGGGCTGGGTGCTGGATAATCTGCTTTCCCAGATTTATTTCAAGTTCGAAGAGGAGAAGGAGATCGTCCAAGGCGGCAGGCAGGCCCTCTGTGGTGCATTTCTTGGGTATCTTTTGAAAAATGCAGCACCTTGAAGTCTGAGGCTCGGATCGATGCCTCTGCCAGTGATCTATGCGTCTTTCCCCGTCAGCTCTCCATCTCCCCCCCCTCTCTGGCGGCCAGGAAGATGGGGAGGGTCATCCGCTTCCTGCAGCCCCCCCCCAAACCGTCTTTTGTCCTCCGCTTTCCAGAAGCCGCCTTTGCAAAGGGCCATTTCTCCTGCTGGTTTGTGAGTGGGGGGGGGCTCACAAGGCTGCTTCCACCCCACCCCACCCGATTCTTTTTTGTTTTTTAAATTGCACTGTTGTTTACTTCTGGGTCAAAGGGGCTGGGATGAGCCAGTGGTGGAAGCTTGGGGCTTCCCGGAACAGCCGGAAGAATTTTCTCGTGGTGGGGGGGCAACGAAGAGAAAATGGAGAACTCCTCCTCCTCCTCTTGTTTTAATTCTAACTTCCTCCAGGTTTTTCCATTCCAGGGTTTAATCCAGCGGGCTGAAGATTTGCAGGGGGCAAATAATGCCGGAGCCCAGTTTCTGCGGTCAAGGAAACTGGACCCCCCCCAAAAGTCTTGTTCGGGGTATTTTGTTTCTACATAACCCCCCCCACATCTCCCCACTGGGCGAGGAGCCAGCCCTGTGCCTTTAAGGCTCCTGATCGATCCGCAGAGTGACCTCTGGGGCTGTCCGAGGGGTTAAAGGTCAGCGGTCCCATCCAGGCCTCAGGGACTGGCCGAGGGGCTAATTAGAGTCCAGCCAGGAGGGGGTCAGAGAGGCCAGGCAGCCCATCTGTGCCCAGCCAAGTTTGGGGAGCCCCTGCACCCCAAAGGTCCTCCAGGTCACTTCTCCCTCCTGACCTGAGATCTTCGCTCAAGGGGCTGAAGGGGGTCCTCAAATTACGACCACATGTTGTTAAGTGAGACCTTGGCTAAATCAGCTTTGCCCCACTTTACCACCTTTCTTGCCACTGTCGTTAAGCAAATCCTATGGCTGGTAACTTAGCAGCACGGTCATTAAGCGAGTCTAGCCCCTCCCGGGTCGACTTTGCTTGTCGGAAGGTCCCAAAATGGATCACGTGACCCCCTTCCTGGGACCCTGCGACCGTCGTAAATACGAGTCAGGTGCCATCTGAATTTGGATCACATGACCGCAGGGAGGCTGCGACGGTCATTAAGTGTGGAAAACAGCCCCGAGTCCCCTTTTTTTCCAGTGCCGTCGTAACTGTGAACAGTCACGAAATGAACTGTCGCAAACCGAGGACTCGTGGTAACATTATGCCTTCCCCTCCATGGCCGGCCATCCTGCCGTCTTTTCCTCAGCACATCTACCTTCCAAGGGACTAGGAACTTGAAAACCTCTCCGGGCGCTCCACTTCTGCTGCTGACTTTGGTTGCAAAAGGGAGCAGGTGAAAAACAAAAAAAAATCCAGTCCTGGCTTCCCTGCCCTTTTGGTTAACCCCCCCCCCAACAGGACTGGGGGGGGAGGGAAGTGGGGAAGAGAGCGGCTCTAAAAGAGGAGAAGGCAAAAGGAAGACTCGTCCGGAATAAACAGGGCCCAATATTGATTTAGGCCTATGGTTAGAGAGGAGGAATTGCAACCGGGCGCTGCGTGGACAGCCGGCTTCGGCTGCGCTGATCAATAGCCCAATACATCAGGCGTAACCATGGAAACCCTGGGTTGCAAATGATGGGGTGTGGGCCGCGGAGGTGAGTGAAATGCGCCGGGGGAAGGCGGAGGAGGGCTGAGGGGCTGGAGACAAGGAGGCCTCTTATCTGGGGAGAAGCCCTCCTCCAACCGCAGGGGGGGGGCATTGCAGCCCCCACTGCTTAGAAATAAATAAAACTCTGGCCTTTCTCCCCCCCTCCCTCCCCCCCCACTGCAAGCAGAAGACAGAGCAAGACAGTTTTCCATTAGGCGGCCAAGTTGCCCCTTTCCGGGTTTCACAGCACGCTTCGCGGCACAGGCGTTCTGTGAACTTGGGAGGCTTGCACACTTTGAGCTGGTGGGTGCTGGAGAAGATGAGCAGATGCAGACAGCCGATTGGCGGCTCTGGAACCGCCCTGGGCTTTGAGAGTCAAAAGGGAGACGGGTTGAGCAGGGGCCGGTCTAGATATTAGGGACTACAGCTCCCAGCATCCTCTCTTGCAACCTGGTGGGTGGTGGGAGGGGGTCCCCCAGTGGCCAGGCGCAACAGCCTCCTTTGGAAAAGGTGTTGTCCCCAAGACGCTCCAAGGGGGCTTAGAAGGATCGTCCTCTCGGGCACCACGCAAAAACCAGGAAAGTCTCCTTTTTGGCCATGGATTAAACACAAGCAGCTTTTTCTCATTTATCTGCAAAACCAGAGGCTGGCACTGCCAGGGCCCCACGGCCTAAAGAGGCCACAACTTGAAATGACAAACACACCACCTCAAAATTGTGCCCACGAGGCTAAGTCGATTACAAGTTTGCAGAGGGCATCTCTCGCCCCCTGGCTAGGAAGCCATCGGCTCTCGGATTCCTGCCCTTTTTATTTTTAACCTATTGATTTATATTTATTTCTAAAATTCGTTTTATTTTATCGGCCAATGAGATTTGCGTGCTGCCCGTCTCATCTGCTTTTGGAGCCGGGCAGCCAGCTGGGTCCGTAAACCTGCCAGGTGGGACCCTCCGCTTAGCCACCCTTCTGCCTTGCACCACCAAGGTGCCCCTCCTGGCTGTGCCCAGAATGGCCCGGATTACCGGGCCTGTGCATGGTGGCCCAGCTGCTGCCAGGGGAAAGGAGCATGGGTCCCTCGACTCACCCCTGAAGCAGCCTCTGTGATGCCAGTCCTGGAGGGGGCACTTCGGTAGCGGAGTCTCCAGCTTAAGTGTGATGCCCCTGGGCCGAGTGGTCTTCCCCAGGCCCGATACGAGGCCGGCCTGTCCCTTGGATGCCACGGGAGTCAAAAAAGGCCCTAAAAACCACAGTCGAATGTGGCACAGGCTCCTACGCGTGCGTTACAGACTCACTTTGTCCTGGCAAATTAAAAAACGGCTCCTACAACGTGGCACAGCCTGCTAGCGAGCGCATCCCAGGGAGCGAGAAACATATTGCCGCGTGGCTATTGATTTTCCTCCCCCCCTCCACCCTCTGGCCCCTTCCAGCAGATCAATGCGGCCCCAATCAATAAGCCGGGCGGGAGATTCGCCCATGTGGCACGCACTCCCAACATGGACACCTTTCTCTCTCGCACACGGAAAGACACATTTGCACGGAGAGAGCTGCAGGGCCGGTTTTTGGTTTTTTAAAACCAAAGGAAATGCTGCAAAATCCCCTAAGATGGGAGTTGCGGGCAGGTGGGAAGCCAAGAGGCTTTCCCTCAAGAAGAGACCTCTAATGCCCTCACAACAGCCCTGCCGGGTAGGTTGGGGGAGGGAGAGAAAATAACCGATCACTCAGGCCTTTTCTTCGCATCTCCTTAATCAGAATTTAACACCGGCTTATTTAATACGATGCGAGCAGGGTCAGTCAACCCCACGGCAACCAACCCTTCTTGCGCTCCTCTTTATTTTCTCTCCCTTTCAAACTCCGATTCCTGGCTTGTTGTCAGGAAAAGATGGAGCCGCCTGTAAAGATGAGAAGGTGAAAAAGAGAGAAAGAGAAGGGAAATGGCTTAATAAGAGCCACGGCTGCCCCTTTCAAGAGATTCCCCAGTGTTTCCTCGCTGAGATCATCAGGCAATTGAGGTGGGGGATCCCAAGCCAGAATCGGTTGGTCCCTGAGCCTCGTGGTTTTGGGGACCATCTTGGCAAAGTGTTGGGGGGGGTCACAGGAAAGAGGCACCTTCCTTCCTTCCTTCTTTCTTTCCTTCCTTCTTTCCTTCCCTTCCTTGCAGTCCTATTGATTTTTCAAAGCCATTTCGTGTAAATCTACCCACCGACTCGGCCCCAAGGAGCTTAAAAGCCTTGACAGTTTTTATTCGGCCCCTCAATCTATTTTAAAATGTGTCGGTCTCTGTGCCGCCTGGCCTTTTGTGGGGAGGAAAACAAACGATGGGGAGAGATCCGCCGAAGGGCTGTGGACGGATACAGATGGGAGATTTCAGTCTCAGAGATATTTCAAAAGTCATTTCTTGGGGGGGGGGAAGGAAGATGCACACCCAGCTACCAAACGGAGCTCTTTTATCTCCTTGCTGTCTCCTACAAGGCAAAAAAAAAAAAAAAAAAAAAGCAAATTTTCTCTGTTTCAGCCTCGCCAGAATCCAGGGAGCTTTTGTTGAAGTGTGGAGACAAGTTTTAAACAATGCAATTTTTGTGCTTTTTGTTTGCTGATATTTATTTCCAGAGAAAACCCCAAACTTTGGGTATTGGGTGGGGGTGGGAGGGTGAGATTTGCCGCTGACCTCTCTCTGTAGGTGCAAAACCCACCAGGAGCATTTTCTTCCTTCTGGTCCCTGAAGCCAGCAGGCCCCCCAATGTGAGATCAGCCCCCACACCTGCCGGCAAGGACGGGGAGGGCCAAGCAAGGAAAGACGCTCAACCCGCAATAAATAGAGAGGGGATCTTGCATGAATCGTGAGCAGCCCCTCAGCCGAGAACTCAGGAGCCCCCAGCCCACCACTCTCATTCTCCTCTTCCCGGTTGCCATAGCGGCCACGCAATTCCGGCGGTATTGATGTTCCCCATTGATCTGTGCGGTGGTGCGGTGTCTGGACATGAGGCCCAGCCATTGTGCCGGAGAAGCTGACAGACACCGATCAATGCGCCCTGCCATTTTCCAGCGCTGGCCCACCCCGTCTGCAGGGCTGCTAGCCCTGTGGAGAGACGGCGCATGGGCTGATCCCCGCCGGGTGTGGGGGAAATGGGGAGGGGGGAGAAGGCAGAGGGGGTCGTCTCTTAAAGCAGCAGCCATGGATTCACCTCCCCTGAGGACCCCAGCCTTTCCCCCCTCCTCACCGCCATCCTAAACCTGGCCCAGGTTTTGGAGAAGGGAGGGAGGTGGCCTGCCACGGCACCTTTGCCAGGTGGAAGGGCAGGAGGTGTGGCCATGTAGATGAAGGGGCGGGGCCAGGCAGCCGGGTACCACTTCCCCTGTCTCGTGGATGGGCCAAGCAAAGTCAGGCCGGGTCCCATCAGCCACAGCCCCATGGGGTCCCTACGGGGAGGGCAGGCCTGATGTGTGAATTTGTGGAGAATTGCGGAGGGAAAAAAGCGAGATTTTTGCCTGCTGAATGCTTGTGGATCCAGGAGGTAGGAGGGGGTGGAGCACGGGGATGGGGGGAGGAATGCCCTTTGCCCATGCTCTGGGGCACAAGCAAAACCAAAAAGTAGTTTCCGATCGCCCCCTCGTGCCTTTTGGGGTGAGATGCCGTGATTGCCCGGATGGGCGCCTCGTGTTGCCCTTTGCAACCCCGGATCGGGGCTTAGGGCCACCTGGCCGCCACTCGTGCTTGGAGAGACCAGGATAGGCACGTGGGCCTTGGCAGAGCCGGGGAGGGGGCCCAAGGCTGGTCCCGGGAGCTCTGCTGCACCTGCCGGGAGGCGCCTCGTCCGGCACCATCTCCGCCGGCAGCTGGACCAGTGCGGAAGCGCGCGGACGCCCCCTGGCGGCCCATCCCGGGACTGCAGCCGGGTACCGGCCACGGGGTTAGGCGGAGCTCTTCCGCGTGGGGGGGAAGGGCGTGGGGAGGGTCCTCGTGGGGTCCGGGGCGAGGAGGAGGAGGGGGCTCGCGGGGGCTTCCTTAGCCCGGGCTGTTCCTAGACTCTGGATCTGCTGGGCAGAGGAGGAGGGAAGCCCTGGGCGCGTGCTTTGTGGCTTGCAGAGGCAGTCTGTCCATTCTCAGAGGACCCCTTTGCAGCAAAAGGGCCGAGCACTGTGCCTACGCTCAGGGGGCATCGCGCCGGAGGCAACGGGTGATGTTCTGATTGCCTCTGGCTCAAGGAGGCTGTTCGCCCACCTTCTGTAATTCTTATTGGCTGGGGCGATGCCCGTCTAATTCGAATCTTTTTCCCGCCTTTCGCCGCCTGTCAATCACCGCACAGAAACCGAGTGCCCGATTGGTCGGCCGCGATATCGCCCGCCTGCCGGCGCTGCCCCGGTGATTCGCTGCGCGGCTAGTGGCTCCGCCCCGTGAGCGGGGAATAGTGAAGCGAGGGGGCGGAGGAGGCGGCGGCCATTTTGGCTCTCCGCTGACAGGGGCAGGCGAGCGGGAAAGAGGGCGCCGGCCGTGCCTGGCCCCAGCGCTTCCACCCTCGCTTTCCTCGGGCCGCCCCGTTCGGCTCCTCGCGCCTCGCCATGTCGGACACGCGCGGCGGCAGTGACAGCCGTCCCGACGAGACCGGCGTCGAGAAACAGGTGAGGGCGGGGAGGGGCCGAGGAGCGCTGGTGGGGGGGGAAATGTGTGCAGAACGGAGAAGGCTGATTGGTCTACTGCTCCGCCACTCAGCGCGGAGGTGCCTCCTGATTGGCTGAACCCGAGGAATGCCCGGGGGCTCATTGGTCGGCGAGCTCTCCGGCGTTCGGGCCCGTGGGGAACCATAGAGAGGAGCAAGCGCGGCTACCCGCAACCTGAACTTCCGGTTTGAAACTGCTCCCCCTCTTGCCCGCGCTTCTTTATGGTGGATGCGCTTGATAGGGAAAATCGCGCGTGGGAAGCCGGCACTGAGCGTTTGAATGGGGCTCGTTCCGTGTCGAGCGAGCCTTTTGAGAGAGCAGCACTTCTTCCTCTGTCGTCTTGCGGAAAGGCGTCGGAATACAATTCCCATCACCTCCCCAGGCAGGGGATGATGGGCCCTGGCCATGCATCCCTCCTGGGTGATTCGATCTCTTCCTGGAGGTCGAAGGGTGGAGGGGAGAGCACCATGGGTTCTGTGGTAGCCCAGATGCTCTTTAGAAGAGGAATTCCGTCCTTGGAGCCTGCCTGGCTGGGGAATTCTGGGAGTTGGAAGTCCGCGGGTGGCCAAGGGGCCAGGGTTGCTGACCCCTGGGCTAGCCCCGAAGAGAGAAAGCCTCTTTGGAGCCCTAAGGCAGCCTTTCCCCAGACAGGCAGCCTTCAATCCCCTGAATCGGCTGGGGGATTCTGGGAGTTGAAGTCCGCCCCTCTTGAAGTGGAGAAACGCTGCCGAAGACCTCGCTGGACCTTTTCCCCCTGGCTGAGTAGAGCATCTTGACAGAATAACAGAGTTGGAAGGGGCCTCGGAGGTCATCTAGTCCAACCCCCTGCTCACCATACAGAATAACAGTGTTGGAAGGACCTTGGAGGTCATCTAGTCCAACCCTGGCTCAAGCAATAGACCCAAGGCCATTTCAGACAAAACGGTTATCCAATTTCTTCTTGAAAACCTCCAATAATGGAGCATCTACAGTTTCTGGAGGGAAGCCGCTCCACTGATTAATTCTTCTAAGCTTCGGGGACAGGAAGGTGCCCGCTGTAGATAACATGCTGGCACGTGGTCCTGCTGCCTGGGGGGGGGGATGAGACCTCCCTAGCAAATCACCCTTGTCTGCCTGCATGTGTGATTGACTGAACTTTCTGCCCCAAAGACCTCCAGTTCAAGCAAAGAGAGGATGTTGCACCTGATGAGGCCCATCAAGCTTAGGTTACTGGCTGCTCCAAATAAGCCGCCAAGGGCTGGCATCCCTGCAAAGCTCAACCTGGCAGGGACCGGTGGGGTTTGGTTTCAAGCAAGAATAACCTACAGGGCATCCAGCTTGGCAGCAGAGGGGACAATTTAAGGAGCGAGCATCGGAAAATAATACCAGGATGAGATCCGGCTATTATAATGAGAAGAATCTGAGGTTTGTTTGTTTTATTAAAAGGAAGAAAGTCCCATCCATTTAGTATGCTGCCCTCCAACAGGGAAGCTCCTTTGAAATCAGCACAGTCCAATTGCAATATATTACTCTGTTTTTATTTTTCAGCTAGCGTTTTAATGCTTTTATTTCCTGATTTGTGACAGTAATAAAGATGGATTGATTGAAATCAGCACAACCTTCACAGTGTTATCTTAAGAGAGGCAGGAGCTGGCATGGGGTAAAGAAAAGATAAATTCTCCTAGGGGTGGAGGAAAGTTCAAGAATGTAGGCTTGGCTTTCAGATAAGAGTTTGAAAAGTCTGACAGTCTTTTTTTTCCCCATCCAGATATTTACCCTCCTTCTTTGGTTCCTGTTCATCAGCATTCTAGAAATATTTAGCTAGTCCGGGGAGAGGAAGGTCTGGTGCACCCAGAACATAGAAGAAGAAACGGGTGGATGAGCGGGTGAAAGTCAGGGAGGTGTTTCATAATGTTCAAAGCACTGAGGCAGATACTAGGAATTTGGCAACTTTTATTCCTTAGGCTTGTGTTTCGAGCTCCTTTCAAAGAGCTCGGGCTGGCTCTTTTGATACATCAAGGCTTAATGGCTGTTGTTGATTTCCCCCCCCCCTCCTGCCTGCTTTCTTTCAGGACACGCAGGAGAAGGAAACGGGCATCCCTGAGAAAGAAGAGGAGGCCAAATTAAAAGCCAAATACCCCAACATAGGACTTCAGAAGCCCGGGGGGTCTGACTTCTTAATGAAGAGGCTGCAGAAAGGGGTAGGTGAGCCCCAGAGGCCTCTCCCGGAAAGTAGGAGCCCTCTAGGGAAATCAGCTTGGCAGGAAGGAAGGGAAAACTCAGTGGCTGCCCTCTAATAGCCATAAACTGAAGCCTGGCTGGGTGGCTGAAGGTTGGCGGCTGAGAGAATGAATGGGGACGCATCCTTGGCTCGTGGGGCATCTGGGGGAGGGCCATGTCTTGCTAAGACTCCTGGTGTCTGCTTGCAGGATTCCCACCCAGTGGAAAAATCTCCGGTCGAAAGAAATTGTCTAGAAAGCTCTCTGGAGTTCCCGCTCTTTTCTGCCCAAGTCCTTCCCCTATTTTGCCCTGAATGTAACCAGACCAGTTTCCTCTGTAGAAGCAGCAGAGGGAAGACTAGACGGGTCTCCAATGTGGGGCACTTTAAGACTTGTGGACTTGAGGAATTCTGGGAGTTGAAGTCCACGAGTCTTAAAGTGCCCCACGCTGGAGAACCCCGGGCTAAGAGAAACAGCAGGCCCGAAACCTAATTCCTTGTTTTCTTCTCCAGCAAAAGTACTTTGACTCTGGAGATTACAACATGGCCAAAGCCAAAATCAAGAACAAGCAGCTGCCAACAGCAGGTACCGACAAGAACCTGGTGACCGGTGATCACATCCCCACGCCCCAGGATCTGCCCCAGAGAAAGTCTTCCCTCGTCACCAGCAAGCTGGCAGGGTAACCTGCTCTCCTGATGGGATTTCTCTCTCTCTCTCTCTCTCTCTCTCTCTCTCTCTCTCTCTCTCTCTTTCTTTTTTTTCCATTTGGGGGTTTGGGGGATTGGGTTGTTGTTTTTCCCCCCGTTGTCAGACTGAGCTGAACTCTGCTGTAACCCGCATCTGGGACCCACAGAACTTCCACTGTGGCGGATCTCTTTGTAGTAATCAAAGCCAGAAGCCGAGACCTGGACTTGTGTGCCGTTCTGGTGTGTGTTTTCTCGCCACTGTGGGCGGGCAGCATGGATTCTCTGGGGCTGAAACTCGCTTCGCTTTAAATTGCCAACGTGCTGCCCTGCCGATTAATCCTTCACCGCCGGCTCGGAGGGGGCAGGAGGCTGCAGAGGAAGCCGAAAGAGGCAGATGCAGAGTTTAAACGGGAGACACAGCAGTGGGTGACCCTTCCGGGAAACTGCTACCCCTCCATACATTTAGGACAACAAGGCCCATCAGCTACAACCACGGGCTGCGTGGCCACAAGCAATCTGAAACACCCATAAGCCTCCTTGCCTCGAGGGCTTTGCGGGCAGAATTGCGACAACTTGCTGTTGTGTTTTTACTGGTTGAGGAAGAGTAGGGTTCTTCCGAGGTCCCGGAGAAGCCCTTTTGCAGGGCTGGGAGTTCACAGGCAAAAGTCTTCCAAACTCAAAAGCTTTTCTCGGCCATCTTGTCCGATGCCAGCTGCCAGGCCCAGCCTTCCCTGAATCTGCAGAAGCTCTAAAATTGACGGATAGAAACCAAGCAGTGCGTTCAGGCAAGCCAGCCCATGTCTCAAGTTGAGGCACGCGGCTGGATCGAAGCGTTCCCCCTCCCCTTGGCTGTTTCCCATCCCCCCTACCCGCCTGATTGGCGTGGATCTTCCACCTAGCCTAAGCATGCCTGGCTGGAACCCTTTGGAAGAGAGATCCGGCATGTAAAATCCCCTTAGCCAGGAAAAAGATCTTATTGGATCATCTTGGTAACGGAGAGGGACACCAAAGGTTGGCCAATGCGGGCTGGTCTTGCCTCCATCTTGAAAACGTGGTCCCTGAGAGTCTGGGAAGCAGATGCTGGCTTGAGGTTGGAAAGGCTGATGCCGTGGGGAGCAGAGGACGCTGGACGGCCCTGAATTCTGAACTGAAGGCGCTGGAGATGACCGGACAGTTGGCCTTTGAAGCATCCCGCCACAATTCACGGCGAGGAATTTGGTGTGTGAGAGAGAGACCTCTGCCTCTCTTAAAACGAAGAGCATTTAAAGCAGGGCTGTCCCACTTAGCCACTTTAAGACCGGTGAACTTCAACTCCCAGAATTGAATTCAACTCCCAGTCAGCAATTCTGGGAGTTGAAGGCCACCGGTCTTAAAGTGGGCAAGGTTGGACACCCCCAATTTAAAGCATCTAGGATGATTCCCTCCCATCAATAGAACAAGTAACGAAACTTACCATTCTGAATTAAGACGGGCGGCTGCAGAAATCGAAGGGATGAATCGATCAATAAAACGATAAGCAGGATCCTCTGGGCAACCCAAGGAAAGCAGGTCCCCTCGCTCAGAGTCAACCCCCACCCCACCCTTTGGGGCACGCTTGGAATCCTGGGAGCTTCTCAAGGAGGCTCCCAAGAGGCCACAGAGAGAGGCCTGGCCGTGCGGAGGGTCTCCAAGAAGTCTGGGTGAGGAACAAAGAGAGTAGGGTCCTCCAAGGTCTGCCGGGCGCCCTTCCCACACTCCCCCGCCTCATCTCCAAAAGAACAGAAGCCTGCATTTTGGAATGGGGGGCGTCCCCTCTCCACGGCAGCAGTCGGCCAGTTGCAAAACCTTATGCGGGAGGGGGCCCCTCACACACCCCACATACACCCTGTCATGCTGGGGGCTTGTAACCCCAAGAGATGTGTCTGCAGGTGCATCGGCCCAGCCGCTGCCTCTTTTCCAGGTGGAACATCCTGGATAATCCCAGCCACGGCCCAGCTGTACTAGATGGCTTAGTGCTGGGCAGGAATAGGTTTTCTGCTTCTCCCTCTTTTTTACCCCCCAAAGGCGCAGCTGCTCTTTCCGAATCCCTGCGGTGCTTTGAGACACCCCCCCAGCCCTACTGTAAATAGACCCCGAGTCATTCATTCTCTCATATATATATATATATATATATATATATATATATATATATATATATTATATATATATATATATATATACACACACACATGTATATGTGTAGGTATGTAGGTCTTTGGTTATTCGGGTTTTCTCCCGCATCAAATTGGAAGTGTCTTGGCGACGTTTTGACAAAGTCCCATTCGTCATCTTCAGGCTGGTGTTTTCAGCTTCTTGCTCCTAAAAGCAAGAAAACATCAGTCTGAAGACGACAAAACGTCACCAAGACACTTCCAATTTGACGCGGGAGAAAACCCGAATAACCAAAGACCTACATACAAACACCCGCGAAAACCTCAGAAAACGTGTGTGTGTGTGTATACATGCACACACACACACACACACACACACACACACACATATAATTTTTTATATTGTCTTCATCCTTCTGGTGCTTGCCTTTTTTCTAAAAAAAAAAGGCAACCCCCCCCCCAAGTATGAACATGCACACATAATTCTCTCTCTCTCTCTCCAAACTTCCAACCTGCTGTTTACAGATCTGCTCTTCTGTTTGTCCTTCCTGCAAACCAGCTTGGTGCTTAAAAGCTGCTGCTTAGATGGGGGGAGGGAATCGTGTCCTCTGGCTTTGGGGGGGCAGCAATTCCGGGTGGTGGGCTATGACAAAGAAAGAGAAAAAAGCGGGGGGGGGGAGTGAACACTGGACTGATAAACCTTTGACAATAAAAGGACCCTTGTTTCAACCCAGAAATCGGATGTCTGTTGTGTGGCCTCTCGGGGGGCACCGATCGTGGTTCCCCCCACCTGCTGGCACTAACGTGGTTTACTTGGGCTGGTTTTTCAGTTAGGGCACTATGCAAAGCACTGTGGTTAGCCACGTAAACGTGGCTTGGAGGCTTAGTAAGTTATGTGAACCTGGTTTATTCTAGCTAACTTGACAAATCCAAGTTAGGTTGTGGCGTAGCATGGGGTGTGAACCAAGCGGTTGCATTTGGCTGGTTTCTGTCATTTTATACCTGCTTCTACCTTGTTAACCTCTGCCTGCGGTGGGGCGTTTCTCAATTTTGGCAACTTGAAGGAAGGTGGACTTCAACTCCCAGAATTCCCCAGTTCTGAGGAATTCTGGGACTTGAAGTCCACTTGTCTTTTGTCCCGTTGAAATATTCCGAGCGGCCCGTTGGGAAAACCGCACCAAACTCATAATAAGCAAACGGAGCCCACCAATTTACAACCACACACACACACACACACACCCCGTGGTGTTGTCCTGGCCCCCGGTTGTGTGAAGGCGGCTTGCTGGCCAGGTCATTCCCTCTGTGGCCAGGGGGGGGTGGAAGAGGCCTTCCAGTTCTGTCAGTCCCAAATGGGGGGGTGGAGAAAGAGAGAGAAGCAGCGTGAACTGGATGTTCCTTTTGCATTTCCAAACGTTGAGATCATTGCAAAGCGTGGGAATGCCGAGCGGGGGGGGAGGGGGGGGAAGGAAGGAGCCCAGAGCATTATGGTTTGTTTGCAGTAGGGGCTGGGCACGAAGCCGAAGCCTCTTTCCCAACAGGCCCCACCCAGCCCTCCGTTCGAAACCAGACAGGCACATTCAGAGCTTGCTGGGCCTGTCAAACTGTTCGATCACGGGTAGAAGCATGTATGTATGTGTGTAAGTTTTTCTTTTTCTGGCCAGGTCCCCCCAGTTGCTGAAAGGCTTCTAGGCTTCCCCCAAAAGTCTCCCCTGAGTTCTGCTCCCAGAATTGTGTTTTCTCAGCCGGGCTCGGCAGGCCATCGGTGTTTTCAACACAAACCTGGTCTGTTTGCTTTGGAAAGTTTAATTGCTGTTTTCCTTCCTCCAGCTGCTTCTTGGGCTGGGCTGTTTACCTGGGCTCGTAAACGTTGGCGTTGCCTTTCCTTGTGGAGGGTCAGAGGTCAGAGGGGGCATTTGCAGGAAGGGGGGGACACACAGTCTGGCCGGAAGAGTTTGACACCCGCAGGGCCCCAGGCCCCTTCAAGGCTGCCGGGTTTAGGCTGACCTGCCTGCCTCCCTCTGCCCTCATGGGGGAGACCCACACAAGTAGAGGCCAGCCCTAAATTGCTCCTGGTTAGCATAACCCTTCCTTCATTCTGCGTGGCTGAGCTTGTCCACTTGCCTGGCTCTCCCCTCTGGGTGTGAGAGGCAGCAATGTATTAGTATGTTTTGGGGTGCTGGCTTGTGCCCCAGAGAGATCCGGGCAAGAGGGAGAGTTGGTGGACTATTTTTAGGTTACCCCACTGTCTTGGTTCAGGGGGGCTGCTCGGTTTCCAAATACAGAGAATGTTTGGGAGAGGACCTCCCCCAGTGGGTTAGCTGGAGCAAGAGATCGAAGCGTTGCGAGTCCCGGCTCTGTTGTGGATTTGGTCTCAGCCCGAGTTGAGCCCGTAAGGAAAATTTTTTTTATCTGTGTAGCAGCTCGTTTGGGAAGACTGGTAGAGCAGGGGTCTGCAACCTTGATCACTTTAAGACGTGTGGACTTCAGCTCCCAGAATTCCCCAGCCAGAGTTCACAGGTCTTAAAAGTGGCTAAGGTTGCTGGCTAGGGGATTCTGGGAGTTGAAGCCCACACGTCTTAAAGTGGCCATGGTTGGACACTCTTGATCTAAAATCTACTTCTTAATCCTTAATGGAAAGGATCCCTCCTCTCTTGGCTTTTAAACCTGGGCCTTTATCATGAGAGCCAATGGGGGAAGTTCCCTTCAGTGCTCTTTTTGTGAGATATGTGGGTCAGGAGCTCTTTCTGAAAATCATATTTTCCACCCCATGTGGGGGAGAGCTAATTTTCCATTCAGAGAAATAGGCCGCAAGTCTCAAAACTGTTTCCTCCTTCTCAAATACAAGGATGCTCTATCCACAAGGAAGGACCTTGCCTTTAGCTGGATCCCATCCCATCCCCTTGATCTCCCTGCCCTCAAGAGGACTAGAGACTTGGGGCCACCCCTTTCTGATGAAATTTTAAGATTCCCTGCTTAAAAGATAATTCGTGCGGTTTGACCTTTGGGGTTACGTCCTTAAAGCGTTGTTATGATGGTTACGTTTGGGTCAGTTGTGAGCTTTGCTTGGTGTGTCTGCGTGATTGACACCATGTAGGCACCAGGTCAACAATTCAGGCTGGGCCTTGGTATTGCTGACATCTGAAGACAAGATGTACTTTCCAGAAGCCTTCTACGTCAGCTGTGTTTTCTTCCTCTTTCTTAAGTCATCCTTCACAATAGATTTATTACACAATCTCCAGCGTGATTACGCAATGGGGATGTTTGGGTGTTTGGGCTGCCATTGGGGTTGAGGTTGGGTGGGCGGGCAGGTGGACTCTGAATAGAGACGGGTCTGTGTACTCAGGATTTCACTTTTGAATTTCATGTCACTTTGTTTTTTTCCCCACCAGTGAAAGTGGCTTTAATGTGGGGAGGGTATCCTTGGTCACTTATATGCCACCACTTTCAAAGACTCCAACTGATTTACAAGAGAAACACACGTACATCTGTGAGAAATAATCCTCCATCTGCAGAATCCAGCCCCTTCTTAGTCATTAAAGGCTGGGGGTCTCCAGGAAAATAGACAGGGAGGGGACCCCCTCACGCAGATGAGGCCAGCCCGTGAGGTCCTGTCTTTCGGGGCAAAAATTAGCCTGCTTCTGCTCGATGGGGAGAATTGTTTGGGTCAGGCCTTTTTAGTTTTCCTGCTGACATTCTTCCCAAACATTTAAAAAGACGTTTTCCCATAACGTCATGCTAAGAATGGAGAGGGGGAAAAAACCTTAAGCAGCTTTTTTAAAAACATCCTCTGGTTTTTGTGGGGTTTTTTGGGTTTTTTTTTTTTTAAACTTATTACTGAGGTTTGAAATGTGCAAACCTCATCCCTGGTTCCTAAGGCACAGCTCATTGGAAAGAGTGATTTCATTCAGTTATCCTTGGCTCCGGGCCCTCCAGTCAGCATGCCAAACCCAGGCCAGCCCTTTGGCTGCAGAAAAACATCTCTGCGGGTTGGTCTAGACAACCCCAAACTGCTTAATCTGGGAACATTCAGGGTTTTGCCCCGCTGACGTCATGGGAGACGTGGTCTTCTTTGCGGGCTCGGCCTGGGTTCCTGCGAAGAAGTCAGCTGGGCTGCTGAGGTTTTTTTGCAGGAGAAAAACGAAAATATGCTGTGTGGGGATTGCACAGACTTTTGAAATCTTGTCATTTGCTGCGTGACATCCTGTTATGCTCAAGAAAGACGCTGAGCTTTTCGTTTCAAAGAAAGCAGGACCCCCCCCTTTTTTTTTTTTGCTGAATTCTGCTCATGGGGAGGCTGGGTGCCTTGCCTTAGAAAGCAGCCCAGGTTTTTATTTGTTTCTATCCTGCCTTTATTGTTTTTGTAAATAACTCAAGGCAGCGAACATATCCAACCCACCTTCCTCTTCCTATTTGCCTTACCACAACAGCCCTGGGAGGTTGGCCAGACCAAGGGGGGGGGAATTGGCTCAAAGTCATCCAGCAGGCTTTCATGCCTCAAGCAGAACTACAACACCCATCGGGGCGCTTTGGGGGGGGCATAATGGAGGCAGCAGGTGTTGCCAGCCAGCATTAACCTCAGCTTCACTGCCAGAGATCCAAAAGTGGCCTGGGGGCGGGTGGGAACAGATGGACGGGGGGGGGGCAGACCTCTGCCTTGCAGGAGGAGAAAACCCCCAAGAGCATCTAGTCCAAGCTTAGCCACTTTTAAGGCGTGTGGACTTCAATTCCCAGAATTCACTATGCACGGCTAGCTGGGGAATTCTGGGAGTTGAAAGTCCACAGGTCTTAAAAGTGGCCAAGCTTGGTTTCCCCCCCCCCCATCTAGTCCGTAGCTGGGTGAGACGGGAGGGGCTCCAGGCAGCCGAGGCCGACCCCCTGGCCTAGGAGGGGAGTCGGGGTCAACCCAGGACTCCGCCGGCGCCCGCGGGTTCCGCTTTGCAACTCCGGGCTCCAGACCTCTGCGTGCCCTCCCTCCCTCCCGGAAATTTCCCCCATCCGCTTTTGCTTTCCCGCCGGGCGCTCCCACACCTCTCTCCCCCCCCCCCTTTCCCAAAGCAGAAATGCGCCCGTCCATCCTGGGTGGGAAGATGAAAGAGGGCGAAAAAAAACACCACCAAATTCCAGCCGTAGCCCGGCTCTGATTGGCTGCGCGCAGAACCTCCCACTCCCGGAGTCCCCGCCCCCTTCTGCCCTGTACCGCGCCAATCGCCTCTCGCGGGCCCCGCCCCTTCCCTCTTTCCCCCTCCCTCGCCGCCGTCACTCCGTGACGTCACACGCGGGCGGCATATATACCGGGCGCGCGCCACTCCCCTTAGACGCGCGAGGCTGGCCGCCATGTTCAACAAGAAGACGATGGTCCTCTACTGCGGGGGATCCCCCGGCTTGGCGCCCGCCGCCCCGCAATCCCCAGGCGCAGGAGGAGGAGGAGGCAGCGGCGAGGGCGGACTGGCCCTCCTGCCCGTCTTGCCCGCCGGCGGTCGGGCAGGCCTGGCCGGGGGGCTGTGCTGGCCCCCGGCCGGCTGCGCTGAGGGGCCTCGAGGTCTGATTGGCGCCGGGCCCCTGTCGCTGATTGGGCCCCCGGACGCGGCTGCGCGCGCGCTGATTGGCCAGGCGGCGACCCCCGAAGAAGAGCTGGACGGCTGCGAGCCGGAGCCGGAGAACGAAGCGGAGGCGGCCGCCGCCCCCTCGCCGCCCGGGGCGGACCCGCTGCGCCAGGTGACGCTGGAGCTGGTGGCCTCGTACCTGCGGGAGGCGGCCGACCAGGAGCCCGCCAAGCAGGGCTGCGGCGGCGGCGGGAAGTTCCTGCAGGGCCTGCTGGGCCGCTTCGGGCCCTGCCCGCCCGGCCAGGCGGAGACGGCGGCGCGGGCGCTGGAGACGCTGCGGAGGGTCTGCGACGACATCATGGAGAAGCACCAGCTGGCCTTCCAAGGTGGGCGGCGAATCCCGCCGTTCGGGTGCTGCGCTGCTGCTCCTGATGGGGCTTGGAGTCCCCAGAGGGGAGGGGGGTGCAAATATTGAGAAGCTGCAATGCAAACGGAAGGTTCCTCTTATTAGCCTCCCCCTCCCTCCCTCCCTCCCGAAAAAGCCTGGGATTGCAAGGGTGCAAAGGTTGAATTGCGATGCAAACAGAGGGCTAGTCTAGTTAGCCCCCCTCCGGAAAGGGCAGCAAGCAGGGAGGCTTGATGGGATGCAAGGAAGGGATCTAAAATAGACCTCGTTATATTCAGGGGTTATCTCCCCTCCCCATTTGCCTCCTGCTGGGGATGTGTGTGTGTGAGTTGGGGAGGAAGGGGCTCTTGGTCCCGATTGGCTGTACAGCAGCTGCATCTCGGGAGCCCACCCTGGTGGCTGGGAGTCTGTGTGTGGCCAGGGCTGCTGCAGGCCAGCCTGGCTTCTCTCTTTCCTTCTCTGCCCCCCTCCCTCTCCTCTGTTTTTGCTACAAGCAGTCATTGTGAAAGTGTCAGGCTGCAGCAGAAAGGAAGCTGCACTTTGTATTGTGGGGGAGGGGGGCAACCTTGCAGGCAGGCAGAAAAGAAAAAAAAATCTCATTATAGATTAGCTTTATCAGTGGCTTGTATCCTGCTGGGCCCAGCAAATGAAAAATAGCTCATTGTAAACAGGGTGATGTTAAAAAAAAAAAAAAAAAAACCAGAAGCTTCTCTAGCCAGGGTTTTTAACTTCCTTTGCTGTAGAACAAGTCGGTTGTGCTTTGCCTTTGGAGTGATTTTAGCAAAGCATTTGAAGTTTGTCAGCTTTTAAGTTTTCTTGATAAATGGGGGATGGTTGCTGATGAGTTTCTGGGATGATGTACTAGTGGAAGGACATCCTCTGCCTGTTCTGTGTCACAGTCCTCACTTCAAAGCATGATAGCCAAGGCGTTCCTTCATCTGTGATTCCTAAAGGAGTCTGATTTGGTTGATTCTTTCAATTCCCTGGTAACAGATTTCATCAGCACCTGTTTACTGGGAGGCTTAAAGCCTTCCGAATAATCCAATTATACTGTAGGGACTCTTTCTAACTTCCTGAAGCTTTGAAATCAACTGGTGAATCCAGTTCTGCCTTTGCATCTTACGTGGCATCATTTAGCAATCTGAACTGAGAGTTGCATCCGGCTTTACTTGGGAAATCACTGGGCTGAGAGTTATATATTGTACATAAAATATGCTGTTTCCTTTCTGGTTGCTATTTGGATGAACTTTAGCAGCACTGCCCATGTTTCTGAGGGTTTGTTTTTTTTTTCCCCCTGGAGCAGGGAAATGGCCAGACAAAACCAAAGATTGTTGCCAATATTTTTATTCCTCTTTAACATTCTGTGGTGCTTTGCTTAAAGTCCTTCCTTCCCTTCTTCATTCAGGAATGCTAAGGAAAGTGCAGATCAACAAAGCAGATGACTTGAAACTTATGTCGGAAGTTGCAACACAAGTTTTCAACGATGGCATAACAAACTGGGGGCGAATTGTGACTCTCATTTCTTTTGGTGCCTTTGTTGCCAAACACTTGAAGAGCATAAATCAGGAAAGCGGCATCAACACTTTAGCAGAGATTATCACAGAGGTTCTGGTGACAGAGAAGAGAGAGTGGCTGCTGCATCATAACGCCTGGGTAAGTGACGTTCCTGGCCTTTGGGGTGATTCAGCTGCTCTTGAGGCTAGTTGTCCAGACACAAGAATACTGCTTAAACCCCTGGATGATGGTGTCTCCCTCATGTTAAATCAAGATCAAAACATGAGCTGGTATTCCTTGATATGTAGGCAGAGATTGCATGACTCTAGAGGGGGTGGGCTTCTCCTTTTTTATGACAGACTTAAGTTCTCCTCTGCAGGTGTTTGAGATACAGGCCATATTGTGTAGGCCCAGTTTCTGGAATGTGCTGCTTTCTCCACGCGAAATGTGCTTTGCTTGCTTTCTGTGAATTCTCTAAAGCTGCCAGGTGCTGCTGCTACTGGTGTCAAAGCCATTAACGGTGCCGTTCTTTCTTTTAGGAGGGCTTTGTTAAATTCTTCCATGTAGAGGACCTGGAAGGCAGCATCAGAAACATTCTGGTGGCTTTTGCAAGCGTGGCTGGTCTAGGAGCGAGCTTGGCTTACTTGATCCGGTGAGCCAAAAAAGTGGGGCTCTCCCAAGTGGAGCTTAGCTTGGACTCCTCCGTTCCTGCTGTGAATACAAAACTGAGCTGTTCTCCTCTTGCAACCGAGCGGGAAGCAGGACGGCTGGAATTCACCAGGAAGGGAGGACTGCTGTGAACTGTCCAGGATAGAAGGTAAGCCAGCAAAGGACATCTTACAAACAGAAGTCGGTTTTCCAAGGGAAGAAGCGTGCACTCTGGTTCACTCACACGAAGCAAAGAGGACTGAAAACCTGTGCAGGATGTGTGCTTGGACTGGCGGGCTTGGGAGAAAGACCGCTGGATGCACTGAGCAGTGATTGCGCAGGGCGACAATTGTGCCTCCTCCCATCTTTTGGAGATAGCGCTGGTGCAGAGGTTTGGGTCCAGTGTCACCCTCAAGACTTCCAGGTGATCTCTGGGATATGCCTTGAACTTTTGGTGGAAGACGGCAAAAGTATTTGTTTTGCCCCATCACTAAGAGAAAAGGCCCGGCGTCCTTCAGGCTCTCATCAACCCATCGTATTCAAAAGGACTGCCTGTATTATTATTTTTTCATCTTTCCTTCCATTGCCTTCCCTTTGAAAGCGTTACACTGCCAATAAGCCCCCCTGGATCGCACCAAGCTGCTCCCTGCTCAGGGAGCTCAGTCTGCACCACGATAAACATCATTTGGAACTGATGTCAGTCCCTGTTTGAAACCTGCAGGATATGTGTGCACTCTTGAAGACATCTTTGAGAAAAGGTTGCAAAGAGTTTTTTTTTATTTTTTTGCTTTTTTAAAAACATGATTCAGTTTGGATTTGGTGACTCTTGATTCATTTCCCCCATCTACGTATGCAAGGCATTTCAGAAAAACCTTTCTATCCAAGTCAACAAGGTTATCCATGGGACTGTAGTGACCACCTAAAATAGAGTGTTTTGAAAACCCCTCTTTTGGCAAGGAAAAGGATTCCTGGGAGAGGCGGTCTTCAATCGCCCTGCTTTTATTTTTGATTTTCGAATGGAGTTAAAGGATGCTTTTAAAAAAAAAAAAAAAAGCTAAACTTGCACATGAATGTCACTTATCCTGAAAGAAAGCAAAATAACTTGTGTGAATTAGCAGTGTGGGATATAACGTGGTACACACACACACACACACACACTAATGTGAGCAGCCTCCTGGGCGCCCTCCAGAGGTTTTCAGCCTGGAGGGTGCCTGATGGCCTTTTCTAAACCCTTGAGGATGAAACAGTTCATAAGCTGAATTTCCTTGATTTTTTTTTCTTTTTATTCAGGAGAATGGCTTCAGTTAATAGGAGCAGGAGTTTTAATTTGCAATCTAGATTGCTTTTAGCTTTCCCTGTGCAGCAGTCTAGAACAGGAGTATCCAGCCATGGCCCCCTTAAGAACCGTGGACTTCAACTCCCAGAATTGTCCAGCCAGCACAGCTGGCTGGGGAATTCTGGGAGTTGAAGTCCACAAGTCTTACAGTGGCCAAAGTTGGACACCCCTGTTCTAGACCAAATAAGGGCAGAGGTTAAAAAAAAAAAAAAAAAAAAACTTGGCGTGGTGCTGGCAGACCTGCTTGTTTACATAAACTGTCTAATAAAACCCATTCACTGATTCTTGCAACGTGAGGTCCTTCTGTTAATACAGAAACCTGAAATGTTTGTTTTCATCTTGTGACTGAATGATTGTCCCCTGTTCGTTATTTTTTCTCTCTCCTTTAACGTAGCCAGGCGATTCCTTGGTAGATGAGGCTTGGAAGCCTGGCCTTGCTTTTGTCTTTTTAGTGGGGAAATGTAGAGGCCAGGCCAGAGACCACAATCTTCCTTCTTAAGGGGTAGAACTAGCCAGCTTCAGGAATTGGGACTAAGCCTTGTTTCTTCCTTCAGGGGGCTCTGAATCCTGGGCTGGGTCCCAGGGCTGTCTGATCTGGGACTTGCACACCTCATGGTTTCCGAATTTCTGTTCTGTGGGCACTGAGGTGGTGAAAGAGAGATTACAGTGAGGTGCAAGGACATTAACTATTTTATGCAGGAAAGGCGGCTTAGGAAGTAAAACTGAGAGAAGGCTAGGCAAGTATTTTCATAGGGGCTAATAGAATTAACCTATTGTATTGCCTTGTGTGGGTTTTTTTGGCAGAGTATGCAAAACGTTTCCTTAGAAATATGCAAAATGGCACTTCCCCAAAGTTCTGTTTATAAACACCAATGCACTGTACGCGTGTCAGCCGTGGTTCCCCATTTTCATCCGAGCAGCAAACAGACTCCCAAGTGAGGCCTGTCCTTGTTCCTCTGTCCCCTTGGAATAGAACTTGACTCAAACTCCCAGTGGCTGTGAATCTCTTTCCTGAGCACATCCAGAAGAAACGCTGGCATTTTATATTTCAGTAGGGCCCTGATCCTGGATCCCTTCTGACTTCCTGGCAGATCAGAAGGACCAGTCACAAACCATGTGAGATCTGTTTTCATCCTACATCCTCTTGGCTGCTAGACTGCTGGGCTAACTCCTCTTTTTCTGGTAGGAAGAAAGGGAACAGATGTTTACTCTGAAGACCTTGACTTTAATAAAAGCCCACGCTTGCCAGCAACACAGGAGGCCTTACTCATTCCTACCCTGCCCACACTCCTCCCAAGCAGAATCACTGTTTTGCAATCTAGCAATGAAGTGTTTAATATATGTGCTTGAATGTCCACCCTAATTAAATTAATTTAACCCTTAACTGTTCAAGTTGTCGGTAATGTTACACTTCGGGCCAGCCCCCCCCCCCCGACTTCTTAAAATGTCCTGCTTTGATGAAGCAGAGGAATGTATTTGTCTGAATATTGCAAACTGTTCTTTTGGGAATTAACCACAAAAAGTTCGTGTATCGGCAGATTTTTAATCCAATGAGGGTTCTTTGAACTTTTTTTTTTCCCCTGGAGCTTTTACCGTTCCTTGGTGTAACTGACAGACTTGTGCTTTTTCCTCTGATCTGATATTTATAAATTTCTCAGTTTTGCAATAAGCAGATGGGTGTGTTGGAAATCACTGTTGGGTGTGATGCTGTGACTTTTTTCTAGCAAAGGTCATACTTTTTTAAAGGAGAAAACACCTTTGCCGAATGCCAGTCAGTGGGGCTTCATTCTTGGTTCACCTTTTAGAGAAAATAAAGGTTACTTTTGCTACAGCTCAGAAAAAGATTTGACTGGAGCGACAGTGGGCGGTGTTCACCCTCATGAATAGAAGGAAACCATATTAAGGAACTGCAGCAACAATTGCAAGATAACCATTTCCCCTTTCTGCTTGCTATTCATGTGCTCACACACCCAATTCACGGTAGGAAGAGTCAGCTGAAGGTGTAAATGAAAAGGAAAAAAAAAACCCACACTCAGTGGCAGTCAGCCAAACCAAACGGAAGAACTGATGTCCGATTTTAGGGCTTGGGAAAAAAAAAAAGTTGAACTTCAGAAAGAACAAACCATTCAAGAGTAGCTGAAATGCAGTAAAGCCAAACCCCTTTCTTGGACGTTCTAGTGAGGCTAAAGCTTAAATCATTGGGTCACACAATGCCAAGGAACCTCTGGAGAAGAAGATCCCCCGTTTCTTGGACAAATTGATTTGTCGAAAGGACTCTGTTAGGCCCCAGAGAGTCTGAACAACAACTTTTTCTATTTCATAAACAGGTCCCTGGGATTCTGAATGGAGCTTTGCTATTAAAAGTACCCGCCTTTCTTAATCTCTGAAAGCGAAGTGTAATTCAGCATTGTTGTTTATTTCACAGCTCTCCTCTGGATTTTCTAGCCCAGATCAAAAATAGAAATAGGGTGGAGCCGAGGGTTGTTTTCCCCGATTAATTCCCATCCCTTTTATTGGGGAAAACATGACGGGGAGGCTGGCCCCTCTGGTGAGAACATCCATGGGAACAATGTGGGTGGCCTCTTCCATTTCACTGGCTCTTGTCCCAAAACTTCCAGCAACATCCTCATTGGAGTTGTTCTAGAAAGAGGCGATAATGATAATAAACTTAGAAAATCTTGTTGTTTTTTTTAATGAAACGTTTTTTTTAATGAAACGCTGCAAAACTCAACTTCCTTGCTCCCCTGTGGCTTTTAACGGCTCCTGTGATTCTTTGGATCTAAAACTGAGCAGATGGCTGACCCAGCCCTTTCCCAAACTCAGCCTGTGCTTTCCCACCATTTCCTCTTCTTTGCCTCTCTGATCCAAGGTTCAAGACAATTCATAAAAGATCCCTATCTTTGTCATGGCGACTTAGGCCAGCTGCTTTTCACTTTCCATTCCTAAAAGGGGAATAATAAAAATTTAAAAAAAAACAAAGCTGGGCAAATGTTTGAGGCCATTCCTGCCTGGTGAAGTCATCTCTGGTGGCTTTTCCTGTAATAAGAGGCCTTGCAAGTAAATAAATGAAAGGGAAGCTTTATATCCCAGGGAAGGGAAGGGAAATTGGGGGGGGGGAGGGCTCAGCTAGTCCTCCAGGACAGCTGCCTCAAGAGAGGGGAACTTCCTTGCTGGACTCAGTTCCCCCTTTAGCTTTAGTCTGGGTTGGTATTTCCCCCTGGGATTCCTTGACCCCCCCCCCCATCCTGAAACTTTAATTCAGCATTTGCTTTGTCTCACGGATTGCTGAGAGGCGTGCTTTTATTTTAAAAAGCCTCCCTGCTCAGCCGGTCTGCTGCCTTTGTGATAGCAGAAGTTGAAAGCAGAAATGGGACCGGAGGGGGGGGGGGAAACTGGCTGTTAGGGGAACTGACCTTTGAGATCTAGCAGACTCCATTGTAAAATAATGGAAGTTTTCTGTTCAAGCTTCCTCTGAAAGAGCCATTCAGAACGAGCTGCTCGGATTGGGGGGGGGAGTTCCTTTGCCACTTCCCCTTTTGCGCTTCTCTTTTAAAAGATGCGATAGCCTTTTTTTTCCATCCTACAACCTGCTTCCTCGGCTTCACAAATGCCAATCACGCAACACACAAATCCTCACTGACCAGCCACAAGGGCTGGTGCCTTCCCCTGATACCACAAAGAGCACGCCGGCTGAAGCACCCCGAAGGTTCAGAAGGGCCAGGCCCCCAAAAGATACCCTCCCGTGGTTTTGTAGTTTTTCTGATCTTCGAGTGTCTCTTTTGGGCTGGTGCTGCCCTTCATCTTGTGGGGTAAAGAAAATAGTGAGGTTTTTCTACTTCTATTTGACTCCTGACTGAAAGTTGCCAGCATCCAGGTGTTTTATAGGGCAAATGCTTTGGGGGGGGGCTGATACCCTTCCAAGAAGTGTTTAGCGAGCTCCCCCTGCGGCTTTTAAGCCTTTTTCCAAATAGCGAAGAGGTGCGTCCTCAGAAATAGGAATTATTAATTGCGTAACCATCACATCTTTAAAAGGAAAAAAACGCACCCCAGAAAGACTGACTGAACCTTTGAAGGTTTTCAAAAGGGTCTCTGGGCAGACAGCATTCTGCAGCCATGAACTCATTCTTGAACCCTGTCTAGGTCTCAAAAAAGTTTGAGGTGGGAGGGTGGGGGTGGTCCAAGGTCTGCCTTTCTGTGTATCATTAACAGACGGACCTGGGAAATGAATCTTGGCTGTTTTCTTGAAGTTGTGTTGTGGGTCACTGCCTTTTCCAGTGCCTGGGCCTTTCATCAGCCCCTTGCTTCGATATTCTGACAGTCTCCTTTGTTTTTCAGTCTCTTCTTCCTTGGAAATTCGCACATCTGTTTTAAGAAGTTGCTTATATTTTTTCCTTCCTTGGACAGACCTGGATCTCCTTTCTTGTCGCCAGATTCTCTAGCCAAGAGATCACACACAGCTTGCAAAAGAGTGCAGGATAAGTATTCAGGGAGAAATGATGGATCCAATTAAGGAAGTGACAGAGCTTAAACCATATCTAAGCCATAATTGGCTGGGTGTACATCGCACATTAAGCCATAAAAAGCAGCCTTATCAGCCACAGTGTGGAATTCTGTGACCTTGCCCTGTGGTTCCTTCCACAGACACCCCCCCCCATATAATGTAATAAACACGTTAAACTTTTACAGCTGTGCACCAGCCCAGGTGCAAAGTGCCACAGGGTGAGCCCAGTCCGTTGCCTTTCTCATAAGATCTGACCATATCTGAACTTCTCTGGGAACCGAAACTCTGTCCTTTCTTGATCCCTCCCAGACATAGCTTGAAAAAATGCCAAAGTTTGGGTTGGTTCTCTTCTGGGGGGGGGGGGGAATAAAACTTTATGATGTTTGTTACTTTAGCATTTCTTCCCACGCAGAAAAGTTTTTCTTCCTTAAAGCAAACTGACGCTTCCCAATCTGAAACCGGACTGAAGAATGTGCAACTATTCAGGGTTAAAGTCCTTGCTGAACAGGCAATCTTTTGTCTGTGTGTTTTCTTCTATTTTGCTTTAACGTCTTTTTCTTCTTCTTCTTTTAAATTGGAGACGGGAAAATGCAGTTCAGGCATAATGCTGACAGGGTTATCTAACATGTCCATAAATCACTCAAGCAAAGGCAATTAAATTTCCTTGTGTATTTCCCTTCAGTGGGAAAAATCTGGAAAAAGCCCGTGAAGCTCTTGCAGGAGGTAGGCTTTTCTCCGCAAAAATGAAAACGTTGCATTCAGAAGAAGAAGAAAAATGGCAAATTTTGGACCAAATTTCTGCCATTCGGCCTGTTCGGAGGGGATATTGATCTGAATTCTAAGCAATGTAGTCCCAACAGACCTGGATTTTGAGACAAACATCTCTGTAGAATAAAACATTGAGGGATCAGGTTGGGACTGGTGTGTGTTGACAGTTTAAAAAAACCCTCATCATTCCACATTTGTGCATTAAATCCCTTTTAATTCACCGAAGGTTGGTTGTGTCGGGCAGAGTTCCACTTTAGACCTCTGTAGAGAAAGCCTGAGAAACGTAAGGAGAAATTTAGCTGGGCATGACTAGTTAAATACTAGGATCAATGACTGGTAGTTGTGATGTTTTAATCATCTCCAAGTTGATATCTAACCCCTGGAAAAATTCCTTAACAAAGAATCTCACCTCTGCCCATCCTTTTCATGTCTCCCACCCAGCGGGAGTTTGCAAAATAATAATTACGATGGTGATGTGGAAGGCAGATAGTAATTTACAAAAACCCACAAGTATGCTGGGGATTGCACAGAATACATCAACCTGACAGAGAAGCAACCTTTCTACACACTGGTTGTCGGGATCCAGCTCGTGTGGTTGAACTGAGAGATACAAAAAAAAAAAAAGAGCTTGCCATGCGTACTCCCAGGAGTTTAATAGAACGTCGCTCCTTCCCAAATTGGACTGTCCGTTTCGGAGAATGAATCTCCAGAGTGCCAAGTCTGGGCATTTCCTCGAATTTATAGGAGTTAGAAGAACATCTTTTTTCTCAGAAGTGTTTAGGTGTCTGGAAAGACAACAACATTTCATTTCGGGGAACTGTCTCAAGGAAGCTTATCAGGCAGGCCCAGGAGATCACTACTAGGAAGAGCGGAGCTGTGGAAAGAGGACCCAGCCAGATTGGGGCCACCGTGACGCTGCAGGAAGCCGCCAAGTGGCTCAAGATGGCATCGTTGCCATCACTCCTTGCCCCTTGCCCGCGTGGGCTGAGGCCAAAAGGAGCAGAACGCTCCAGAGTGCATTCGTTCTTGTTAACCCAGAACGTCAAAGAGGGTGCGGTGGCAGATCGCACCCGGATGGCCTCTGAGTCAGAAGGGGTGCAAAGTCTCTGGCCTCCATCACGCAGTGGGAAAAACTGAGTTTCTCACACTTATTTTGTTCTAGACTGAAATGATGCGCTCTCTTATTTCCTGTGACTCAGGAAATGCAAAAGTTCCCACCTTGGCAGCGCTTCCTGCCGCGCGAGTAGGTGGAGGGCTGCCTCGGTTTCGTGTGGGTTTCTTCTCTTTTGCTCCTTCATGGCGAAGAGGACATGTTGGCGAGGGGAGCAAACAGGTGACTTTTCGAGAGCCGAGTTTATTTCTCGGAAAGGCGAGATGCTGAAAACCACAGGTTTCAGTTGTGGGTCCGAGGGAGCCAAGTGTGCTTTTGTGCTTCCCTGCCATCTGTTCCCCCAACAGGCCCTTCCTCTGCCCACAGCTGGCTGCGTCTCGGGCAGCTGGTCCTTCTGTTTTGGCACCCGGGCAGCCTCCGTCCGTTGGGTGCTTCCTCCTCGACAGAAAAAAAACAAACAAAAAACATCTCTGAAACATTATCGTTGGCTTGGACTTGTCCATGCAGAGAGCAAGTGTGTTTGTGTTTGCATATGTGGGTATTACTAATTGGCCAGTAATTCTGCAGGGCAGAAACCCTTGGTGCCTATAGAGTATAAACGCAGGCAGCACTCAAAAAGCGCGTTACTAACTTAACCACTGCAGCGATTCCCTTAAGTGGCAAGGAAAGTCATAAAACGGAGCAAAACTCATTTAAGGAACATTTCAGTCAGCAACAGAAACTTTGGGCTCAGTTGTGGTTGTGTGTCGAAGACTTCCTGTAGTATACAAATCAAAATACGAGCCAAAATGGGGAGAAGAGCCCTTGAAAGCGATAATGTGATTAAAAGCTTTCCTGAACAAAATTGTCTCCCCACACTTGCGCAGTCCACCTGCCCCTCTGGATCTTTTCAAATGCGCTGGCTTCTTTCCAGCCATAGCTACCATCGTACAACCGGGAGATTGTAGAGTTGCAAGGCTCATCTTACAAGTGGCCAAGTCTGAAAAACAACGGCTCTTTGGGCCAACTTTCTGCTCCCTTCTGTGGCAGACGGTAAAAATTCAAGGCAAAAAGGTGCCATCAAACTGAACAGCTGTGCAGGACAGAAGCGGTTTGCGCTGGCTTCTTTTGAGTCTACCAGCTGTGAATGGAACTGGAATACAGCTGTTGAGCGTTGTGTGTGCGAATCCAGCGCTGGGCTGCCACAAAAGCCTTGCTCTGCTAGACTGGTTGCAACCAGCGAGCTTGACCAGGGTTCTTGGCACAGGCTGGTTGCCTGCCTGTGGAGGTGTAACACCTGCCCACCCAGCCTGTTTAGGCGTAAAATGCTCCACCCGCCTCGTAAGGAATATCCCCCTCCTCTGCACGCTGACAGAGGGATGCCCCCCTCCCACTTATGACAACGTGAGAGCTGGAATGCAACCTTTGGGCCTTCTCCCAAGTGGCCTGCCTACGTGAGCTGGGAGATTAATTCAGGGTGGGGGTCAGATGGGTTTCTGTGAGAGTTGCTTTTCCCTCCCCCCAGCCCAGGACCCTGATTTTCCCTGGGGAGGGGGATTTATTTGCTCTCTGGGAGGACCCTCCTCTTCAAATGTGTTTGCTCTCCGCCTGGCTTCCTCTTCTCTAAACTCTGCAAAGTTTACCAAGCAGTAATGCCGCTAGTCTCTGTGTACTTTACTTCCTGTTTCCCCAGAAAAGAAACTTAAAGTAAGACGAGCCCTTCTCCGCCATGGAGGCCTGGGTGATTTGAGACCCACAGTCCAGACTGGCTTATTTTGAAATAGACTTATTCTGTGTTGGACTGCCGATGCTGGGGGCTTCTCATTGGGCGGGTTTGTAATTTGCAGGTACTACCCCAAAATAACTTCATTTTAGACTGGTATTTTAGACCCTCTGATGTGCTCTGTTTTGATGGGAGTTTCTGTGGTCAGCAAAGTCAGGTGGAAATTGCAATAGCCATTCTCAGCCCAAACTTCTCAGTCCTGGCCCCCTTTTTTTTTCTGCAACTTTTTTTGCCTCTTTCAGTTTCTTCCTTAAATCTCTGACTGCTTTCCCCTGCCCTCCCTAATTCCCAAGGCTCGTGGGGGAGTTAAAGTCTCATGCTTAAGCTAGTGCAAACATCACCTGCTCTTTGGGCAAATGATTCATTGCCCTGCAGAACGAGCAGCTTCCTCCACGCACAAATATTTGGGGTTGCTGTTGGCAATGGGAGGGAAACTCCTTCCTTCCTTTTCAAAAGCACCAGAGGATCTTGGGATTCCTGTTTGTGGCCATCACCGAAATGTGGTTGTTGAATAAGAAACAAAACAAGTCTGGATTTAGACCAGGGACAGTCCTTGCCGGACAGTCCTTGTGCTTGCAAAGCAGTGACTCAGTCGCACCTGGGTATACCTGCCATCCTCATCCTCCGTGTGTGTTTGTGTGTGTGTCTTCTGCAACTCTCATCCCCAGCATGCTCAGCCAAGGTACAAGGGAGCCGGCAAAGAGGACGGATGGGGCAGTCTGTCTTCAAAGGTGGATGGTTTGTTCTTGAAGGTCCAGAACAAATTGGGGCAATAAATTGGAGGTTGCCACCAAAACCAATTTTTTAAACTACCATGGGTCTTCCTTGCTGCAACTATTCAGTTGCTCATTGTATCCAGAGCTGTGTTCCCTCCCTCCCTCCCTCTCAGTGGTGTGCAAGGAACCCAGGCAATGATGGCTCATTCTGCAAACCCTGGTTAAAGCCAGGATTTGGTGCCTAAACCCACAAACCAGATTCCTGTTTGCATGTGCAGCCGAGGGCTGCAAAGAAGCTCCTCGGAAGGGTTTGCCCAGAATGAAAATCGGTTGCCTAAATCTGCCTCTTACACAATCAAATTGCCCATGAAGAGCCTGCCTTGGCTGACTCCCCTTTTTGGAGCAGTCTTTCCCGTCCTTTTCCTGGTTTCAAGGTGTGCTTCTGTGCAGGATCCATCCCAGAGGAGATGCTTTCCAAGGCTGCCCCTGATCCAGCGTTGGGTTCCCGTCTCCCCCACACTGAACCGTCGCACACAACTTCAGATGATGCTGGGTGGCGAGGCGGAGGAAGTCGCTGTGGGCGAGATGTGGGTTTTCCGCGAAATGCTTTTGCTGCATCCGGCCCTGTTGCTGGGCAGAAAAAGCCAGGCAGCCCGGCCCTCTCAGCCAAGGCGCACCTTCCCCTTCGGAGGATTTTTCCGCAGGAGAAGATTTTGGGACTTGCAGTGACTCATGAGCATGAGGACTAGGAGACTCAGCTGGCCTTGCAGAAATCCTGACCCGTCTCCCTTGTGTTTTGGCCTTGCCTTACTATTATGCCACTGGCACCGTTCCTGCATTTCTAACAGACTTTTAAATCTGCAACAATTAAGCTTTTGGGACGCTAACAGGAAACCCAAGGGTCCATTGTCCCGTGGTGAAGGCAGATTTCTTCCGTCCCTCCTTCCCTCCCCTCCCCCTCTATTCCTTCCTTCCTTCCTTCCTTCCTGGTTGTGGCAGGTTGTGTTCTGCATGAGCCCTTTCACAAGTGCTTACTCCTCCTGGTGACTCTCACTCAGTTCTGCTTGGTTTGGCTTTCAGACTTATTTCAGCCGCATGGCTTACCAAAGGGGTTACCATGTTGGTTTAAGCGGATTTTACCCCCCTTTCCAAGCTATGAGGGGTGCCTGGCCGGGACCAAGAAACGGGAAGGCCACTTCCTTTGCATCCTGCTTGCATGTTTTTCCCCCATGGGGGAAAGAGGATAAGGGCCCACTGTTCTCTGAGCCTGGCTGCCACAGTGTCCTCTCTGTGGGACTTCCCTTCTTGGCTTTAATTTGAATCTGAGCAAAGATAGGTAGTTTATAACTTCCAGCCAGGAAGCGAAGTGGGGACAAATACATAAAATCTGGGGTTTTTTTTGCAACCGGCCATCCTCATTCAAGAGTCAGCATTTGTCCAAAAGCTGGTTTCCCCTCTGGAGCCTTGGAGATGTACTAAATGAATCCCTTTAGGACTTAGCTAAATCAGGTTTTGGCACCTTGATTCTGGTTAGTGCCTCGATGCAGACTGCCCCACCAATGCGCCTGGTGGAGCTCATTCCTGGCATTTTTCCCCCACTGGGTTGTTAGCAAGAAGACTAAAAAAAGCCTCATTGTTCTTGCAAACCTTGGGTGATTCACACCCGTTGCTTAGTCAGGCCTCAGTTATCTTGCTGACTGTTAAGGGGTGGGGGGAGAAGATAGCTCTGCGTTTCTTAATCCTTGTACCTCCAGACCCCAGACCACCTTAACCAGTTTTCTTTTCCCCAGCAGTTTCAGCAAACAAACCCTTGTCTCCCCCCTTTTTTCTTTGAGCTTTGAGAGAGGGAATAACTCAAACATTCCTAGCATAGCAACCCTGAACCGTTGCGGTAATATTTACCTTTAGCAAATTGCTCTGGGCCCCAAGCAGAAATTCTTGCTTTTTTGCTGTCTAGCAAGAAGGACAAGTAAGAGGATTAAAGGCCTGGAGACTAAAACGTGAAGAACGGTTGTAGGATTTGGGAATGGGCAGTCTAGAGAAAAGAAGGACTGGGGGGGGGGACATGATAGCAATCTTCCAGTATTTGAGGGGCTGCCACAGAGAAGAGGAGGGGGTCAACCTGTACCCCAAAGCACCGGAAGGCAGGACAAGAAGCAACGAATGGAAAGTAATCAAGGAGAGAAGCAACTTGGAATTAAGGAAAAACTTCCTAACAGTGAGAACAATTAACCAGTGGAACAACTTGCCACCAGAAGTTGCGGATGCTCCAACACTGGAAGCTTTTAAGAAGAGACTGGACAACCATTTGTCTGGAATGGTATAGGGTTTCCTGCCTGAGCAGGGGGTTGGACTAGATGACCTCCAAGGTCCCTTCCAGCTCTTTTCTGATTTGCTTGAAAAAAGTTCTCAAGTTGAGTTTTGTACACTTAGTCTGTTTGTTCCCACTCATCCCTGTGTGGGAATGTGGGTTGCCTGGCTTAGGATCAGGAGCGGGGGGGGGGGAATCCAGTATTGACAGTTGTTCTTTGTCCCTTCCCATTTGGTCCAAAGCAAAGTGAAATCGTTTGAAACGGTCGTGTTTTCCAGTGTTTTCCGTTTGTTTCCAAGGTGGAGCCTTTGCACAACGCACAGAGATACAGCCGGCCTTGGCTTAAGGGCAGCTAAGGCAATGAAGGGGGATTTTAATTTTTTTATTACGTTTTATAATGAAAGGGAAGGCCGACCTCTGGTTCAGGGAAACAAACAGATAACGACGGGGAAAGGACTTTTGATCAATTATATCCTTGCACTTTGTGGTTAGAAGGTACAAGCTGGGTCCGATGGACAAAATCTTCTTTTGATCAGCGAATCAGCTCTGCAGCCTCCGGGACAGGCGAGCGTGCTAATCTCCACAAGCGTCTTTTCTGCATGTTGGAACTTGCCCCTGTCCAACCCCGACTCCGGGTTCAGGTATCAGCCAAGCAGGAATCCAATCCCAGAGGCTTGTTTACCTTCAATCTGGCAGGATAACCAGCCCTGACTCAGGAGCCTGGAATGTCCCGCACATAATGTCCCAGCCGGGCTTGGAAGCCGCACCAGCCTGGCTGGATCTGGATGACTTCAGCAGTTCTCTGGGCTTCATTCCATTCTGTTATTCCCGGCAGCAGGAATGACACAGACTCAGGCGTTTTATTATCCCCAGGCCTGACTAAAGTCCCTTGTCCTCATTGGAGGCTTGGTTTCATCCTTGCCCAGCTGAGGTTTTCTTGTATAATCCATTGAGGATCAGAACTGAAGAAGCTTCTCAGAGGAGAAGCAAAACGTCTTCGGGGGGGGGGGGGAAACCCTTGAAAAGCACACCTTTGGGACAATCATGACCTGGAGGATTTGAGAATCCTGATAGCTATTGAGGATCAAGGAGTCTTGTTCCACTTGGACTTTCTCTTGTTCCCTGGGCATGTGCAGAGTTGCTTGGGGATGGGGCTGTGTCCCCCCAAAACACCCCAGTTGTGGTACAGACCAAAAGGAAATGAGCTTCCACCCACCACCTCAATCAAGAAAATTCAGTTTTGCTGAGAATCTGCTCTTTGGAAATCCTACTTCTCCCCCCTGCCTCAGTTGCGTCAAAACACAACAGGATCACGTTTTTCTTTTGTCACTTCCTCCCGTTTTTGTCCCGTGGCTCAGTCCAAATTAGGAATGGCTGGACAGAGGGATCTGCTGGTCACCAGATCTGCTGGTCAGCACCACCACCACCATCATCCAAAGCAAAGGCTCAGAGCTCACCTGCTGGTGTCACAGCGACCCCTAGTGGTCAAAAAGGCAGCGCCTTTGCGACCAACGCAACAACACACCTAAAGTCTCTGAGCCGTCTTAACCTTGTGGACTAGTAGTCTATGTGGCTTTCTTGGCAAGGGCCCAGAAAGGTCTTTCTTTTCGACTCCCTGGCTTTCCCTGTGGTCTCCCATCCTTGTACTAACCAGATCTCGCAAGTTCAAAGTCACCCCCCTCAACTGGGCTATTAAAGAATAAAAGTGTATGTCCATAGCCTGGGCTCCCAATGCTTTCACAGGTGAAAAAAATTCCCAAAAGTCACGTTTGTCTCTGGCTGAGGAGGATGGCAGGTGTAGTCCAAGACTGAAACTGAGGGAAGCTGTTCCTCGATTTAAGTTCGCTGTTTGGCCCTGATCAGAGACGAGAGGGAGGAGGATCCTGGCCCTGTCTAAAACTTCCTAGGGGGCTGAGCGAGAGCAGGGTTCTGGTGTTCTTTGGGTTTTGTCCTAACTTGACAAAAGAAATAGAGTCCTTTTTTTAAGAAAAGAAAAACTCTGCATAACTTTATTCAGGATTGACAAACAAAGCAATAAATGGAAAAGGGAGGGTGAGGAAGAGAGAAAGAGCAAAAAAAGCCTAGACTTCCAACAGAATCAGGCGTGAAGTGAAACTGTCCCCGGTTTTTAAACTTCAGCTTGGAAGCACCACAAAGCAGAACGGGAGAGCAAAATCTTTGGGAAGCTGGCTGTGAAATGATTGTCTCTATAAACACAAAAGGCTGCTGGTGTCCACAGGATTTCCGCATGAAATGCCACAACACCCCCCCCCTCCAGCTCCCTCCCAGGTGAAATATAAGCCCCCCCCAAATGTCAAACTCTGGGAATGAAGCTTCTCCTCCTCCTCCTCCTCGTTCTGCCTCTAGCAAAGAAGGGGATTTCTAGGAGCGCTGCCCACGGTTTTCCTGAAGACCGCTTTGCTCTTCCCCGTGCCTTGACTTGGCGGCTGCTGAAGCCCCCCCCCCTTTGCCTTTCCCACCTGGAGCCTTTGGAGAAGAGAAGCATCGGTGATCAAATGAGGTGGAGGGAAGCGTCTTGCAGGCTCATGCTCTTCCGCATTCCCTTTCTACACACGTGCGCTGGGGTTTGTCTTTGGGAGAAACGTGGACGGACGCAGGCCGGGAACGGGGAGAGGTATCAGCTGGGGCCTTGCCTTGTCGCCCCTGAGCTGCCAGCCGCCTCTGCCGACTTTTTGCGGTCTGAGCCAATCCACTGCAAACGTCCTGTGGCCGCCCAGGAGCCTGAGCCTGTCGGATAGTCCTTGGATAGTGGCGGACGAGACTTAAGGGAAAGATCCGTGGGCTGCAGATCGTCTTCGGAGGAGTCGTGCCTGTCTGCCTGGTCCAGTGGCGGGGACTCTGGTAAAGCCCGTCCGAAGGGCGGCGGCGGTGGCAGGATTAGGGGACTCGACATCCTGGTTCGGATGACGCTGAGGTGGTAGGGCGAAATCTTCCTGGGGGCAGCCACAATGAGGTTCCTGGTCCCGACCGGGGCTTCCTCCCTCAGTTGCTCGGGGGCTGGTTTCTTGGGCTCCAATCCCAGGGGGCCCTCTGCCTGGGAACTCTCTTTTCTCAAGGTCTGGGGGGGAGAGTTCGAAGCCACGGGGGGCTCTTTCCCGCCTGCAGACACCACGACGGGCTCTGACTCCGCCTTGCCTTTGGAGAGCTCTTTCTGGAGGATGCTGTTCTCCGGAGGATGCTGAGGCTCGTCCGGCTTTTTCCGCGGGCGGCCACGCTTCCTCTTCACGGTCACCTCCCCGGGTCGGTCTGCTGGCCGCTTGGTCGGGCTCCTGATTTTCTGCGGTTCACAAGGGCTCCGCCCGGCTTCAGTGCTGGACACTGCACTGGCTCCTCCAGAGGTGTTTTTGGGCTTTGGCCGGTTGTCGGCTACGGGTGGGACCGCCACATTGATGACCGGCACCATGTTGATGACCGGCACAGCGGCCGGCTGGCTGACCAGGCTGGTGGGTCCATTCACGGCCGAGGCTAGCAGAGTGGAAGGGGGTGTCCCCACAGACAGCGCCATTTTAACCGTCCCCCCCACCGGGGTGGGGGTAAGCTTAGGAGCCAGGACGGGGTGGGGAGAGTGGACAGCCGCCGTCCCAGGAGACACCACCAAGCGGTCCCCGGGCTGGACTTGCACACGGGGAAGCAACAAAGGGAGACGGGCCACCAAGGCGTTGACCTGCGGGCTGCTGGCCTTCTTGGGGGGCACGTCCGCCGGCTTCTTGGCTTCGCTCCGTGGGGAGGGGGCCGAGGGCTTGGGCGCGTTGTCTGGTTTAGCCTGAAATGCAAAGATCAGAGAGGAAGGATGAGAGAAGCCGCCAGCTCCTTCAGTTCCTTTGTGTGGCTACTTGGACCCCACATTGAGAAGTAACATAGCTGGGAAATGGCGGTCTTTGTTTGCCTGTCGTTTCCTTCCTTCCAGATGTGTGGGTTTTCTTGAGGTTCCTGGTTTGGTCCTTTAATCGTGAGCTGGGTCTGGGGTCTACATCGCCCACCGTTTGTCAGATCTGATTTATACAAAGCACATTTTGGGATTCCTCTGCCTGGTCCACTTGGCCTGTCTCCCAGCCTCCTGTTTCTCCTGGGGTGGCTAATTCCCCCCCCCCCAACACACAGAGATACACGCCACACTCTCATACCTGAGGTTGTGTTTTGGCTGCATTTTCCACGGCTTCAGGCTCGCTTTTCTTTGGGGGAGGACGCTTGCCCCACGAGCTCTCGGGATGCTCTGCAAGCGGGGCACATTGAACCAAAGGAATATCAGCCAATTGGGGATTTTAGGGGAGGGGTTGCAGGCAGAGAGGTGGGGAAGGGGACAGCCTCAGCCCCAAAGAGGATCCCAGTGTGAAGCCGTGGGGGTCTCAAGTTCTTCCACCCTGCCCTGGCACTAAGTCAGGACCAAAGGCAGGCCAGCCCATCCCGCCGTGCCCCAGCCCAATCTCCAGGTCCCACCTGTGACTACGGTGGCCATGATTAGGTCGGCCTGGGCCGAGCGGGAGCTGATCAGGTGCTGCTGGAGGAGGAACTGGGCCACCTCCACGATGCTGTCGAAGGAGCGCTTGAGGATCTTCTCGGCCCAGTTGCAGGTCAGGGTGCAGGCTGCTTCCATCACCTTGTCGTTGTAGGAGGGGGCGGCCTCCGTTCGCTCCAGCTGCAGGGACACGGAATTGGCCTCAGCCGTGGATCGGCTGCTGCCACCTCTTCCCGGGTCTTCTCGAGCTGCCTTCCCCAACCCCTGGAGCCCCCCCCCAAACACAGCTGGAAGGGAAGGTCACACACAGAATAACAGAGCTGGAAGGGAGCCTGGAGATCCTCCAGTCCAACCCCCTGCTCAAGCAGGAGACCCTATACATTCTGGACAAACGGCTCTCCACTCTCTTCTTGAAAAGCCCCAATGATGGGGCCCTTCTGGGCGCAACTTCCATTCCCCTGATTAATGGTTCATTGAACTAAAAATGCAAGCGTGTCATTCTTGATCAGGAGACGGGTGCCACAAAGGAGACCCCAGCCCGTGGCTGAAAACCACTCCACCCGAGCTGCATTACAGCAGGAAAGCTTTAAAAAGGTTATGGAAAAAGCCAGCTGGAAAGGCCTCCTGGGGGCTACATGGAACCTCCAGCTGCAGGGACAGTCTGCCTCTTCAGGGAGAAAGCTACGAGCTCCAGCTGCCTTGTCTGTCTCAGTTCGATCTCAGTTCCCAAGAAGGCAGCAGGCGCTTCACGAGCGAGTCCACACAGCTTACGGTCTCTGTTTCTTTAAGGTCCAGGCTGGGCAGCGGAGACATGTTGACCACTGTTTTGCGACGGATCCCACTATAGCAATATGTTGGAAGAGAATTAAGGAGCAACGAAGGGGGACGTTGGAGTCCAAAGGGCCAGGTGAAAACAAGGCAGGCCGAAAATTCTTGGGGACCCCCTCCAAGGTGGAGAGAAGGGCCCCCACCCACCCTCCAGTCCCTCCATCGTAGGAAAAAAGGATATTTGGATTGCCCACGTCCCCCCAATCTTCTCGCCTTGATGTTCGGGAAGATCTCTCTGATGATCTTGCCAAAGTTGGCTGCGCTCAGCGAGCGGCTGCAGAGGTTGTCGCAGTAGCGCCTGCGGAGAGAGATGAAGGGCGGCCATGTTTTCTTCCGGGGCACCCACCCCGCCGTGGCCTGCCAGCCCAGGACTGCTACAGTTGGGACACCCAAGGGAGCCAGCCCCCTGGGAGAAAGGCCGTAGCTCTCCCCAGATTACTCACTTGTAAGCATCGTATACGTCTTGCTTCGGCAAGCAGGTGTCGAGATACTCCTCCAGGTGGTTCCGTATCCAGGTACAGGCGTGCATCTGTTCTGCTGAATTGAGAGAAATGAGGTCCAAGCTGGGGAAATAAAATGAATTGGATCAGAAAGAGAATCACTCTCTCTATCTACGTGTCTATCATCTCTTTCTTTCCCTCCCTCCCTTTAGAGCAGGGGTCCTCCAACTTGGCCCTTTGCGGACTTGTGGACTTCACCTCCTGTCCCAAGTCCTCAAAGGGCCAAGTTGGAAGACCCCTGCTTTAGAGGCTGCCCGGTTCCCCCACAGAATGGCTCTGATGTCTTCCAAATGGTTCTTCTCTTGTACACACACACACGTTCAGGGACCACAAAGCCTACAGAAGCTGATGCTTATTTACCTTTTTTCTCCTGAACTTGGCCCAGAAGGCAGCTGAAGATACAGATAAAGTTTGGCGTAGTCTGAAAACTTCTGGACATCTTGCTGTTACGGCAAACGCCGGGAGAAAGAGAGAGGGAGAAAACTGAGGATCGGTAGGAAGCGAAACCCCAAGACAGGAGCTGCGCTCAGTGAGCAGACCCTTATGGCACCCCAAAATGTTTTACTTGCTGTTTATCTCTATCATTGCAAGGAGCCTCACGCATGGAGTCCAGTGGAGGGATCAGGAACTTACCAAGATGGAGTCCACTTTGCTCTGGATAGACTTTCTGTTGGAAAAACGGGAAAAATGCATTGCGTTAGGGCAAAAATTCTGCTTTGAAGGGAGCTCAGCGCCTGGAGGATGAGCTTTGCTTCCTGGCCAGCAGTAGGGAAGGGGTTGGGATGGAATGGGGGTCCCCGTCTATTCCTGGTGGCCTCCCATCCTATAACTGACCAGGCCTGACTGTCCTTAGCTAAGAACATACTTGGACGGGCAATTTATCTACTTTTCTTTTTCCAACAGCAATCAGAATGACTGCCCTAAACTTAATTCTAGAAAAATTGCCCCTGGTCTTTCAAAATACCTCTTGCAATCATGTCTTTCAGATTCAAACACTTGTGGCAGGGAGTTCCACAGATTAAGCAGAACATTTTGTGGAGAAGCGCCGACTACGGCAGCCTTGGAGTTTTAAAATATTAACTGTACGAGGCTAGGAATTTAGTTTCCGTCTGCGCTCTCCTCATCTTCCTTAACTGGACCCAGGACTCTTGAGTTTCCGAGACCCAAGAGAAAAATCAGAAAATCACGTCTCCCTTACGAGATGGCGCTCTTCAGCTTCTGCAGCAAGGTGTTCGGCTCTGTGCTGCAGTCTCCCTGCGCCTCGGCCTCCAAAATTTCACTCCCGTTTTCCACAATCTTTGCCAACAGGCCGCTGTCATCCGCCATGGCATCGGTGCCCTTGAACGAGATGGAGAGAAGGAGCCCGACCTCCTTAGTCTTTTATTTTTATTTAATTTCATATGAAACCTCCAGTTTCAAGCACTGCAGGTTTTTTTTTTTTACTTTGTTCTTAGTTGAGTAAATCTCGTGGCACCGAATAATAGCTTTTAATCAATGGAAAACTTGGGGGAGGGGGGAGCAGAGATCTTGAATCTGCACCCGGGACTGATAAAAAAAAAAAAAACGTGGCAGAAATAGCTCAGAACTTGAGAAAAGGGATCTATTTTAAACTTTCCTTTCTCCTTAATCCTTCCCACCCGTTTTTTCTTTCCAAGGTGGCTTCCCACATGTGCCACCAAGCCGGGCACAAGAGGGCATCTCTGCATCATCGCGTTTAGCCCTCCTGCCCTGGAGAAGCTCTCCCTGTGCCACCAGGTTTGCATCACCTTTGCAACTTCCTTTGCCCAGGGAAGCCTTTTCTGGGTGCAAAGCCCCCACCTGCCCCCCTCCCGGCACTTTTTCTCCCCCGATGGGGAAGGGAAAAAAAAAAAACCTTAAAACTTCTGGGCTGCTGCAGCTTGGCTGGCAATTAGCTTCCAGGGAGAGGGAAATTCAAATGGATGTTTGATTCTCCCAGAGAGAGGAAAGCTGCGCGTTGTATCTTTCGAAGCTGAAAAATTGCTGCTTCTCTTTCCGCAAAGGAGTTTCGCAATCCTCTTGTTTTTTTAGAAAAGGCTTCCCTTCTCTGGGGGGGCTGCTTTAAACCCCCTCCCCGCCCCCCGGGACTCCCCAGTATGGTTATTTCGATGCATTTTATTGCTTTTAGCTTCCGTTTCCTCCTCCTTTGTCTCTGTTTTTTGCAACTGTAGCCCTTGCAAAGCTTTGCAAATAACAACAATAACAATAATAATAATTGAAAAATCAGCCATTTAGGGTGGCTTTCTGGATGGGACTGACTTACCTATTTCCTCCCCGGGCTGCAAATCCTTCGGCCTGCAACGCTCCGCTCTCCTTAGACGGCTCGATCCAATTGCAAACAGAAAAGGAGCATTTTGCACGCCGGAAAAGAAGCACCAAAACAGAAGGGAAGCCCCCGGAAGTGCCTGGCTCCCTGCAAAGGGTTAAGGGGTCCCCCTCTTTGCTCGGGCGGCTCCCGGAGAGCAAAATCCCGGCCGCGTCTCTGCCCCGCCGCGCATCTCGGCCACTTTCGGTCTCGAAAATAAAAGAGAAAAAGAAAGTGGGTCTCGGGCGAGAGGCAGACTCGGCTTTTCTTTTTCCCTGATTGGCCAGCCCGTGCCAGGTCTGCCCGGATACTGGCGGTTGCTGTAATGCAAATGGCTGCCTCTGGTTTTTTCCACCCGGATACAAGCCGGGCGCGGCCGCCGATTGGTTGAAGGGGCTGGGAAGTCTGCCTGGCAACATGTCGGCAATTGGTCGGGGCTCTGTCAGTTTAGAAGCGAACTAGGAAGAAGGAGGCGGGGGGGGGGAGAAAAAGGCTTCAGATAGACTGGGCTGATCCACGGAGAATTACAGCTGGTTGTGGCTCTTCCTCCGGGGTGGATCATCTCCTTTTGCAGAAGGGGTGTACGTGTGCAAGTGGCATCTCCACGGTTCGAAGCCAAGGAGCTGTTTTCTTCTCTGCCTGGGTTGGTACTCCACCTCCCATCATCCAGGGCTGTTGTGTATTGCGGCTAGTCACAATCAAAGAATGAGGATTCCATAGGCTTTTAATTGCTTCCCAGGGTGAGAAGATTTGCACTCCACCCAGAGAGGAGATTTGGCAGCCAAGGAACCAGAAGGAGCAAAATTTTCACTGCCCAAACTTAAATTTGGTGTGTTTCTCTCCTTTGCAGAATTTTCCGTGGATTCAGTTTTAGAATCACCCCCTTCCCTCCCATCTTTCAGTTGTTGTATATTTTTGGAGTTTTATTATTTTTTTTTATTCCTCTCCTCCTTTTGATAGGTTAGACTCTGCATTGGTCCCCAGGAAAGTAGGATTCGGTCTGGTGTTCAGGGTCAAACCCCCACCCACCCACCGAGCAAGTTTGGGCTCAGTTCAGAGGAAGTGTCAAGCATTTAACCCTATCAGGAAATTGGTTGCTCCCGAAATCTGTAGAATGAACAATCACTCATTTTGGGGGAAACAGGAAAAAAAGATTTTGGCTGCTCTTTGATTGATTTAATCAACTACTCTGCCTTAATCATGGTGATGGTGAATCTGAGACTAACATTAATTAGTGTGTGGCCTAACTTATGGATGGAGAGCCAGTTTGATGCTGGATTAGACCCTGGGAGACCCTGGATTTTAATCCCGTTTTAGGCATGAAAGCCAAGGTGAACAACGTTGAGTCAGCCCTTCCGTCAGCCCTGGGAAAAAGGAGTTGGTCAAAATAAATTGCCTGAGAGAGACAGAGACTTGGTCAACTGGTAATTTCATTTGAAATAAGATTGTCCTCAAGAATCTGCATTGCCAAGAAAATAATTTATTATAATATATTTAATTTCTTTGTTTGCATCGTCTTCAGATGTGGATATCTTGCTACTCTACAAGCCAATATTCTGGTTTTGACTTGCTCCACAGCCCACTTCCTGCCCCCTGAATGCTAGCTTAGCAAACTCGGAGGAGTGCCTCAGTTCCAGATGTCCGAGGTACAGTCTCCTCCCGGGTAACGCATTTCGTTTGCACGAGCAGGACCCCACGGATCCTTCCCGAAATCCACCAGGAAGTCTGGGTTCACACAAAGACCCCCTCTCTCGGTGTCCACATCAATCTGGAGCATGACTGACCCGTCCCTGCAAAGGAAGAAGAATCCAGGGGTAGAAAAGAAGGTCTCCATAAAGTTAGAACAGCTGATTAGGGAACTCTAGAAAGGAGAACAAATTATAAAATTCTGATACAAATGGAGAACTAATGACAAAGTAATAGAAAGTAGGGATAGGTTTGGCATGTAATACAAAGAGGAAGAGTAGGAGGAGGAGAGCAAAATTTGCAAATATGGTATGAGTATTAAGACCAAAGACTTCGTACCTGACCATTTGTGGGTAAAACTGCTTGTCCCACGGTGTGCAGAGACTGTTGGTGACATAAAGCCTCTTTCCATCCAAGCTGAGCTGCAGCATTTGGGGTCCCCCGTGGACTCTCCTCCCCTGAGGTGAAGAAAAGCGAGGAGTGGTCAAGAAATGTAGGCGGTCCATAAAGGGGTACCTATGGCTCCTTAGTTCTAGTCTAATTTAGTCTAATTTCAAGGTGTCCCGCTGAGAAGGAAGAATCCACACTGTCCATTTATGCCCAGCACATTTCCCGTGAGTGTCTCGAACCCGGAATCCCTCTGAGAAAAGAGAGGCTCACCTGGAGCATGAACGGATCTGGTTGGCATTCGAGCTCATCATCGTGAATCACGGTCACTGCTCCGCCTTTCTGGATGCTGCCTCCTACAAACACCTGCAGGACCCAAAGGGTGGGTCAGTTCAGGCCGAAGGGCAGTCTCCCCTTCCCCAAGCTGCAGTTTTTCTCTGCCCAAACAGAGGTATTTGAAGGTGGATCCCGTCTGAATATGGAGGTTCTCCCAGCACGTGCCAGTAAACGGGGCCTGGATTAACCCAACGTCTGCTTAACCCAACATCCTGGTTCTGATGGTGGAAGAAGGAACTTTTGGAAGGACCCCGAGCCTTCCTCACGGTTGCAGGGCATTCCAATGGGAGGAAGCTCACCTGGCCTGTCAACCGAGGGCAGTGGGGGTCGCTGATGTCGTACTGTCGAATGTCGCCGTGGAACCAGTTGCTCAGGTACAGGAAACGGTCATCCAGCGAAATGACAGTGGCTGTGAGGAACGCTGGAGAGCAGAAGGTGCCGAGAAATAAGGTCGGGAAGAAGGGAGGATTCTTTTAATTCCATGGCATGGAAAGTTTTGGACGTCTCCAAAATGTGCAGATCTCTCAGCCATGAGGCACTCAGCCCGTTCTCCAAAGATGCTAAAAATCCTTAACGGGGTGTGAACTCCAGCACAATACAAAGGTGGAGGATGGAGACCAAAGTACATAAAGCTCCCCTGAACTTTATTTACTCACATGTCATTTCAGGTTGGTACCAGCCAGTGACCACCTTCTTTGGAATCTGGATTACCTTCTCCGTGGCCCACGATCCATCCTGCAAGAGACACACAAGGCCGGTTGGGACGTGGAAAGCTCTCCCTCCCAAGCCTATTTGCACCAGCCCTTCCGCTTCCTGTTGTGTTTGCCTCCTAATTGGATGCCTTTCAATGAGATTTGAAACATCTCTGCAGTTTCTGAGTTCCACTCTCTGCCAGCCTCTGGCTCTTTCAGCTTCTGTGGGGTCCTTGGGCTCTCTAAATTCTCTTTTGGCCCCCTTTCTTCTCAGTAGGAATTGTTTCTCTGCCATAAAAAGAAAATGAACTAGTGGATCTCTGCAGGGGTAGGCAACCTTGGCTCTTTTATGACTCGTGGACCTCAACTCCCAGAATTCCTGAGCCAGCTATGAAGTCCACGAGTCATAAAAGAGCCAAGGTTGCCTACCCCTGCCTTAGGGGGATCCCCTTTGTCCCCAAATCTCCCAGGGTAGTCTTCTGACTTTGCGGTTCAACATTCAGGTTCCTGTTGCTAATGATTTCCATATTGTCATGATAATGGTAGACGAATTGCAGGTAGTCCTCAGCTTACAGCCATTCATTAAGTGAATTATGACCCCTGTCCCCATGGTCGTGTGGTCAAAATTCGGCACTTGGCAACAGGCCTGTATTTAGGACACTTGCAGTGTCACACGGTCCTCATTCACGACCTCCCCAGAGGTCTTTTGAGGAGCGAAGTCAACGAGGCTGGATTTCCTTAATGACCAGGTGATTCGCTTAACAACTGTGGCAAAAAGTGGGTAAAAATCAGATATGACTCACTTCCGCTTAGCAATGGAAGTTCCTGTCCCAATCCTGGTCATAAGTCGAGAACTACCTGTCGTATGTTGGGTTGTTTTAACGCTGCACTTTATCCATTAATTCTGTAATTTATTCTAAGCTGAAGCCTCGGGGGCCAGTTCTTTCTCACGGAAAGGCGGGGAAAGAAGTCCTACTTGTGTTCACCTGCTTTCTGAAAATGTGGTGCAAAGCGCCTTCAAGGGCGCAGCCCACAAAGCCATGTGGGGAATCTGGGTTGTGCAGGAAACGGACATGCAGGGGGCCAGAATCCTCCCCCAGGTCAAGAGACTGGACAAGGCAGTGGGTGGTCAGGTCCCACACATTCAGGCAGCGTCCATAGCGGCCTACAGAGGAAAAGAGAAGAATCAGCTTAATTTCTTCCGGCGAGTAGGAATGCTTCCTGCTAGAAAGTACCCCTGAACCCCCGGCCGGTGGACCGGCACCAGGCCGCGGCATGCCAGAAACTTGTCCGTGCAAACAAGCAAAGCCCCATCTGTGGGATGCAGACAGTACATGAAACCAGGCCCCCTCCGTTCCACGGAAAACCCTCTCCCCACAGAAACGGCCCATGGTGCCCAAAAGGTTGGGGGCCTCTGCCTTTGAGAAGATGGTGGCTCTCTTAGGTTGGGGGCCTCCAAGCAGAAGCTGAAGGGCCACCCCTTGGGGAAGGGGTGGACAAGGGGGTTGGGTAGGGGGCCACCAGCACCCCCTCAGCGTCCTATTTCCTCCCTCCTTACGGTGGAGCGCAGACCTGCAGGGTTTTGAATTTGCAACATGCCAGAAGTCGGCATAGTCCTGGCATCTCACCTTTATTCAGATCTTCAGGGTTGAACCCATTCAGAAAGAATTTGGGGTCTCCTGCTTCACTGCTGACCAGGACATTATGCCTGGGTTGGAACCAGAAGTCGTATCCTTTTGCAGCCGCATCCCCGGGGGCGTTCCAGGTGCCTTTCACGTCCCACGTTTCCGCATCCAGAACAACAAATGCTCCTGCGATTGGGGTGCGTGGGGGGGGAAGGGGGAGAATGCAAATGAATTCAAGCAGGTGTCGATGAGTCCCAGGAAGGGTTGGCTGAAAGGATAAGGACCCTGCCCGGTGATACCTTTCCCATTGCCATATAGGTCCGCGAGGGAGCCGATCAAGACATCTCCGGGGGGCATAAAGTGTACGGTGCGTAATGTAGCCACGTTGGCTTTACAGAAGACCTCTCTGGGCTCAATCACCTGTCGGGGTTGGGGAGGGGGAGAGAAAAAAAAATAAAAACCCTTGCATTGCAAGTCTGCTTTCCTCCTTTCCACCTCTGCAGAATGCTTTTGTCTGAAAACTCCAAAGCCCCTGTGAAAATGGACCACAGGATCAGTAGTGGTGGTGTACCCGCAGCTTTCAAGTCCCCCCACATCACAGGGGCCTTTGGGGAACCCTTTCCAGACCAATTCCCTGACTTGCACCCTCTGTCAATGGGGGGCCTACCTTAAACAGGCAGGGAGCTTTGGGGTCAGTCTCAGTGTCCACAATATAAATCCGCGAAGAGTTGAAACCCGGAAGGACCAGCCGATTACGTTTCTTGGTGGGGTCTCCGAAGCAGCTGCTTCCAGTGTCCCAGCCCATGCCGTGAAGCTCGTCATTAATGCAAGGCATTTGCAGCCGGTGAATAACCTGGTGGGGGAAGATTGGGGTGGCAGAGATTAAACAAGCATGATTCATCTCGTCGCCTGGAGTTGGGTTTCTCCCTGTGATTCCCAAGAGTTTGTGATCTGCATATATCTTTGGATGCAAAGGTGGAATGGAACTTTGTTAGTGAGTCTACTTCTGCTTGGAGGAAGGTCGTGTTCGTTGTGGATTGTTGCTGGCAGAGTGCACGGTTTCTCCCACTTACCGGCAAGCAGAACCTCACCAACACACCACATGTTCCTCTCTTTCCCACAACATTGCTACACCATTGGCATTGAAAGCTGCCGACAGGTTGAGACGAGGAGTTGAAGTCCTCGCGTGTGTGAATGCAAGGGCCGGCGTCTGAGCATCGCCCGCTTATTCCGTGGATTCTGAGCAAGCCCAGGGCATTATAGCCCAGGAGTCTGTGGTACCAGCTAATGATTCTTTAGGCTTCCTGCAGCTCTCCCAGGATGGTTCCGGCCTCAGCTGCACCTGGTTAAGGTGTCTGTGGTAGGCGTAACTGACCACGACTCTGCCGACACAAAAATGTGAACATGGCAGATCCACCTGAAGATACTCATTAGACCCCGAGGAACAGAACGGCTGGAAACAGTCCAGAAGCTTTGTTGGGCTTAGAACAAAGGGATCCCTTAATTTGATTAAAGTAAATTGTTCCCAGCTTGATTTCGTTATTCTAGTCATTAGTAAAAAGTGTCTTAGAAATTGAAAATATCTCTGGACATGTTGTAAATAGCACAGATTGCCCTTCACCTAGGGCAACAATTGCAACCGGAAACCTGATCAGTGAGTGAAGCAGTCATTAAGTGAACTGACTATTTCCCTAAATTACTTCAATTCCAACATCTCTGGTTTCAGTCTGCAAGCGATCTTCTGGTTTGCTAAGATGCAGTGAAAGCTGCCTCTGAGTTCAGCTTCTGAAACATCTCTCAGCCTTTAGGTCTATCTGGAGCATTACAAAGCAGCGTTTTATCTTCCACCCCACCCACAGACCCTGAATTGGACATGCAAGGTATTAAACAGAGACCCAAGGAAAAGGAAACCGAACAAGCGTTCACACGTTCCCAAAGAAGTAAGTGCTGTCATACTTGGCAAAAATAGGGAGATCGAGGATTAACATCCAACGTGGCGAGATAATCTGGCATCTGGGTCCCTGTGTCAGTTAAGATGCAAGTCACGTACATCAGCGTCTCTCGCGGTCCTGGAGAAAAAAATATATCCACGTTTTAGGATCTTGGACCTTGAACCTTAACATGGTTTCGTTTGAGCTACATCTTGCTAGACTTACATTTGCCCGTCCTGTTAAGGTTGGTTACTGGATTAACTTGTGCTATGGATTTAATCATTGTTCAAGGATCTTGATACCAGACTGGAAGTCTTATGCCCGACTACTTTGTTAAGCTTGTTCCACACTTCACACTTCAATCGAGGTGGCTTAATACTAAGGGTGAGCCCACAACTCATCTCTGCAGCTCTGCCTGGACTCAACAACCATTACCCTGCTCTGCTCTTGAGGAGAGGACCACCCCTTCTTACCTTTCATGGCATCCAAGGGCGTTGGGTATCCAGGGCCTGGATAGCAACATACTTCTCCCTCTTGAAAAAGGAAAGAGAGAGAGAGAGAGATTTAGCCTCTTGGCAGCATGAGGGAGAAAGAAGGCGTAGGTGTTTTAAGGAAGCTTGTAGACAGGTGCCGTTGGAGGAAAAGATCAACTTCCGACCTTTGCTTGGCGTCTTTTCAGGTGCCTTCTCCTCATCTCTTGCTCGTTGCTTGTGCACGTCTTTCTCTTTCTTTAGCATTGCCTCGGCTTGCATACTTGAGATTCTCCAGCTTGCTGGCACCCGGTTTATATAACCCATGAGACCTGACCAAATCTGTTGCATCCCCGGAGGGCGCACGCCAAGGAAGTCATTAAGAAAAGAGCTGATCCCTGAAAACCCAGAGGCTCTCTCCCTTCATCCCATATCGGAGCAGCCCAGCAAGCTGATTCCACACCCTTTGGGATTGCTCAGAAAGAAATACGTCTGTTTCATCTCTTTCTCCTCACACGCTTTTGATTGTATCCTCAGAACAATTTATCTCAACCCACATTGCATCTTCTGATTTTGTCGTTTTGCTGACTCAAATCCGAATAACCAGATTCACAGGGCAAAAGCAGTTCAGCGCACACAGATTGAGAATAGCCAACTAGAGAGGGAACACTGTAAGGAACAGAAGCCAGAAAATTTGGAGATGGTTTCGTGTTTTGAGGGCTTTGCAAATGGAACGGAGGCCTGTCTGCATATCTGCGGCTCTGCGGAGTAAAGCAAAGAGTTTTGAGTTGGTTTGCAATCTCAAGAAGTTAGAATTCCAAGAAAATATCTCTTCTCCAAACTCCAAGAAAACTCTATGGCTCAGAAAGTGGGTCCAGCAAGCATTGCAGGATGTGCCCTAGTCCAGACAGTTTTTATTTTCATGTGGTAACATTAATCTTACCGCTGCGTTATGAATTTGTCTGAATTATGCCTGCTAAGCTCTTCCCGATGCTGCCAGCCACTTAATGCCCTTTGATGACTCTAGGGCTGGAATTGCTGGTCTTGCCTCTCCCCCCTCACCAAGTCCTCTTCAAGTCTCCTTTCTTAGCTAGAGTTTTACAACTTTTTCAACTTTCTTGCTTCCTCCTGATCTTCATAGAGGTTTTACCCTTCTGCCCTCCCGTCGATTGTTGGGCTTTTAGAAAATGGAGCTCTACCCACCAACATTCCTGGGACCTCGAGATAGCATCTTCCTGAATGAGGGACCAAGAACTCCCAGTCAGATCCATCTGCATTCCCACACCAGACAAGGGAGTTAGTCTAGGTCAGGGGTAGGGAATCTTGGCTCTTTTATGACTTGTGGACTTCAACTCCCAGAATTCCTGAACCAGCCATGCTGACTCAGGAATTCTGGGAGTTGAAGTCCACAAGTCATAAAAGAGCCAAGGTTGCCTACCCCTGCTCTTAGGTGATCTACCAAGGCCCTTTTTCCAACCCTCACATTCTATGGACTTGGACTGTTCAAAGTTTGATCCAGGTTCTGTGGAGGAAGCCGAACGGGGCAATGGTTGTTGGATGCGATAATGCAAAAGGCAGTCTCACGCATTCCAAAGTTCCATCACTTTACCAAATGAAGGCTTGTTAAATTCCTGAAGGTAAAGACAAATGAGCTTCATATTAAGGGCTCAGAGGGAAATTAAGGCTTATTTTGTTTCCTTTGTAGATTAAAGTGCCAGACTGGATTTCAGAGTTTAAAATGAAAGTGTGAACACTGCTAAAAAGCCTAAAAACATTCAGGTTTCAGACCTGGCAGACTCACACATTGTATGAGAGACAATCCTTTCTCTCCTTTTCCCACCTTCCCTTAGTGTTGTGACTAAAGGTGCGATCACTGACGGCTTTGCTGCTGCTGGATATTTGTTTTGGATGCAGGGATCCTTCAAATCCTGGGTTAGGGCTACCCTACAGAAAGATGATGACTCTGCTTAGGTGCAGTCTTAGGTGTCCCTTTGTGGCCAAACAGGGCATGCCACACACACACCAGGCAAGAAACAAGTAGCATCTCAAGGAAAAAGCAATTCTAAACTTTTTGTTGTTTGCATGATACACTATCTGCAGACAGCGATTTTTAAAAACACACTATGACTCTAACTTTTTGTTAATTTGTAAGCTTTGAGTAGGAGTGTAAGACCAGGTGCGAAGATGTAGAAGGAATCAAAAGTTCAGTATGGTTCAGGGCTTCTCTTGCGTCAAGTTAAAGTTGCATTTGTGATGCCCTGATGCAGTCAAAGCTAGGGAGTTTGTTAGATCCCGATATCAAATGTAGTGTTGCTGCTGAGAGAAGGGTCTTCAAATTTTCTTTGTTTTAAGCTGCCTTTCTCGGTGTCAACGTTTGATTCATAACATTACAGAGCCTTTACTGAGAAGAGAGGGTGAACCAGAGTTGTTTTCACCACGTTTTTTTTCTGTGATAATTAGTGTTATGAAACTTGAAGATCAATGGATTCCAAGAACTCACTGCCAAGGGTTCATTCCTTGGCAGTGTGTTTGGAATTGTTTTAATTGCCATCATTTTTCTCGTGGCAGTGCTTTTCACAGGTGTTATCCTATTTCATAAAGGCAGGAAAGGCCCCACCACATCAAGGATTGCTGAATCCCTCAGCCAAATAATATCACGGAAGACGGACAAAATGCAGTTCGTAGAACCATAAGTTTAATACAATGAGATGCCTTCACATCTTTTGTCACAACATTAAGACAAGTTGGGCAGCTTCTGGCCTGCATTGGCCAGGTTTGCCTTCATGGACTTTGTAACTCTCCATGATTCTTGGTGTCCACCTGGGGGAGAGTCAAATTTCGTGTTCAGAATTTCCCCCCCTGTGGAAGGCAGAGAAAACACGAGCAAGAAATGATGACAGATTCAGAAGACTTTCCAAAGGGAAATTTGGTGACGTGGTGGTTGTTTTGGCCCCTCATGGTGATGGGAGTGATCCACCTTCCATCTTCTTGTCTTCTGCTGAGGGGAATTTACCTCAGCAGGAAACCCCTGGAGGAGGGGGAGGAGGAGAAGAGGGGAGATTATGGAGGAAGAGTAGCAGCAAGAGGAGGAAAAAAAGAGAAGATGGAGGAGGAGGAGGAGGAGGAGGAGGAGGAGGAGGAGGAGGAGGAGGAGGAGGAGGAGGAGAAGAAAAAGCAAAGTAGAAGATCGTGGAGGAAGAGGAGAAGGCAACACTTTCCCTCCAAATTTAGTCTGGGATTGGGCTGGGCTGTTGAGGGTAATCTCTCTCTCGCTAGTGTATAGTAGGTAGACAACCATACCTCACAATGTGGTGGTGTGTTATTTTCTTCCACAGCACGGTCTCTTTATCAGTCTCTAGTTGGTGTGTCTAAGTGTGTGAGACAGTTTCTTCCACAGCCATTTCACAACTCTTCTGACAGGTATGTGGTGAGACCTCACCACTTACTCCAGCTAAGGAACTTCAGCTTTTCAGTTGGAAACTCATGGATGGATTATAACTGGACTTAGAGGAAGCTCCTTGCTTGGGACTACGCTGTGAGAAACTGGTTCCTCCACGGATTAAAACAAAAATGTGGAGACTCTGGAAAGAGTGCAGAGAAGAGCAACAAAGATGATTAGGGGCCTGGAGGCTAAAACACACAAATTGGAAGAATTGGGCATGTCTAGTCTAATGAAGAGAAGGACTAGGGGTGACATGATAGCAGTCTTCCAATATCTGAGGGGCTGCCACAGAGAAAAGCGCCAGTTGTCCAAAGCCCCTGAAGACAGGACAAGAAGCAATGGATGGAAACAAAGCAAGGAGAGAAGCAACCTTGAACAAAGGAAATATTTCCTGATAGTTAGAAGAATTAATCAGTGGAAGGGCTTGCCTTCAAAAGCTGTGGGTGCTCCAACACTGAAATGGTCTAGAGTCTCCTGCTTGAGTAGGGGGTTGGACTAGAAGACCTCCAACTCTGTTATTCTGTTCAGTTCAGATTTGCTAGCTGACCTTTTGTTGGAGCAAAGACCTTCCATGTTTGGCCTGAATTACTATGGTTGAGATGTGTATCCTTACCAACCTCGCCTGACTGCTGGGAAACCTACATCCAGTGGAGTTAAACGTACTTTTTTGAGAGCTGACATCATTGAACTGTCCGTGCCTAGCGTGTGTTTCAAAGGAAGCCCCCTGCCAAAGTTGTGCCCCTCCCAATTTAAATGGTTTTCTCCCTCCCTCTGCTGAACTCTCATCTTCAAACAAAAGTTAGCCCCAACGAGTCTGTAGTAATAAGAAAATCTTTTATTACAATGGCAATTTTAATTTCTCTGCATCCTCTTCGAACACGGAAATCTGTGCAGTGGGATCAAACTGCAAGCCAACATTCTGGTTTTGAGTTCCAAACCCACTTCCTACCCCCCCCCCAATGCTAGCTTAGCAAGAGGGTGGGCTGGGAGGAGTGCCTCAGGTCCAGATGTCTGAGGTACAGTCTCCTCCTGGGTAACGCATTTGGCATGCACGAGCGGGACCCCACGGATCCTTCCCGAAATCCACCAGGAAGTCTGGATTCACACGGAGACCCCCATCCTCAGTGTCCACGTCAATCTGGAGCATGACTGACCCTTCCCTGCAAAGGAAGAAGAATCCAGGGGTAGAAAGGAGGGTCTTTTGCTTGCTCATTTGGGCCTCCATAATGCTGGAAAAACTGATTAGGGAACTCTAGAAATGGGAATTTGCCTGCAATTCCAGTATAAATGGAGAGGCAATGACAAAGTAAGTATATGATTGATACGGTATGTAATACAAGAAGGAAGAGAACATGGAGAAGCCCACCCACCCCACAAATTTGGTCTGAAGGTTCTTCGTCTGTTGAGAGACTTTCTACCTGAACAGTTTGGGATAAAATTGCTCGTCCCACTGTGTGTAGAGACTATTGGTAACATAAAGTCTTTTTCCATCCAAGCTGAGCTGGAGTATGTATGGTCCCCCGTAGACTCTCCTTCCCTAAGGTGAAAAAAAAGCAAGGCCTCAGGAGAGTCATTTGTGGCACTTCAAGAGGTCCTACAGAGAAGAATCCAGGCTGTCTGTGGAGAATGATTCCTCGAAAGGTTTCCTACAAGTGTCTCCAACCTGGCATCTTTTCTCGGTGTAATGAAAAGTGTGGATGACCTTAGGGAAAGGAGGGGAGAAGCTGCCTAGGAAATAACCAGACGAGAAGAAGGCATCTCCAAGGAGAGAAATCTGGAAAGCACCCTACAGTAATGGGCCAATCAATTAAAAGTGGCCTTGGGAAGTTTGCATTCTCAGACTTGCAAGATTCTCTTAAGGTAGCCTTACAATAAAGTAGAATAAGTTGTGCGGCCTGCCTAGTTTTCCTGGGAGGACTGACGCTTGGAAAAGAGAGGCTCACCTGGATCACGAGGGGATCTGGCTGGCAGTCGAGCTCTTCGTCCTTAATCACAGTCACCACCCCGCCTTTGCAGATGCTGCCTCCTACAAACACCTGCAGGAACCAAAGGGGTTAGGGTCAGTTCAGGCCGAAGGACAGTCTCCCACAAGCTGCAATCTTCCTCTGTCCAGACTGTGGTATTTGGAATGTGGGAGTTCTTTACCAGTAAATGAGGCCTGGATTGGCTTTGTGCTTAACCCAACATCCTGGTTCCAGTGGTGGCAAGAATGAGCTTTTGAAGACCACCCAGCTTTTCCCACAGTTGCAGGGCCTTTGAGTGGGGGGGGGGAGCCTACCTGGCCCATCAGCCGAGGGCAGTGGGGGTCAGTGATGTCATACTGTCGGATATCGCCGTGAAACCAGTTGCTCATGTACAGGAAACGGTCATCCAGCGAAATAACTGAGTAAACGTTGTACGCTGGAGGATAAAGGGCTCACAAATGACTGGCTGAAGGAGGAAAGGTTGCTTACTCCCCTGGCATGCAACCTTTTTCAAGAATTGGCGTCTCCCCCAAAGCTGCAGATCTCTCTTTCAGCCATGAAAAGACTCAGCTTGTTCTCCAAAGATGCTAAAAGACCCTTACTGTTAATATGGAGAAGGCGAACTCCTTTTTTATGTCCCCCTCCAACATTGCTAATTCTCTGTTAATTTTAATGTTATATTTAATGTTTTACACCATTTGTTCTGTCACGTTGTAAGCTGTCCAGGGTTACATGACAGCACATTAATTGAATAAATAAATAAATATCAAATGAGGGCTCCTGGCTGAGCAGACTGAGAGGCTGAGACATATGCATGGGAAAAAAAGCCCCCCCCTCTTTTATTTGCTCACCTGGCATTCCAGGGAAGTACCACCCGCTGACCACCTTCTCTGGAATCTGGATCACCTTCTCCGTCGTCCACGTCCCGTCCTGCAAAAAACACAAGGTTGGTTGGGACATACCACACTTTTGACAACAAAGTCAGTGGGCAAAGCTGGATTTGCTTAATGACCATGTAGCTCATTTAATGATCGTGACAAAGAGATCACGAATCAGGCAGGACTCGTTTAACAAGGGCATTGCTTAGTGGCAGAAGGTTTCGATCCCAGTTTTGGCTATGAGTCGAGGGCTGTCTACGTTACGTTGTCCTTTTAACAGCGCATTTTACCCGTTTCTTTGGTTCTCAGCTGAAGCCTAAAATTGCCAGTTCTTTCTGATGGAAAGATAGGGGAAAGGAGAAAGAAATTCAACATGTTTTCACCTCCTTCTTGAAAATATGATACACGGAGCTTTCGAAGGGACAATTCACGAAGCCGTGTGGGGCATCTGGGTTGTGCAGTAAGCAGACCATCACGGGGAGTGAATCTTCCCCCAGGTCAATGGATTGGACGAGGCAGCGGGTGGTCCAGTCCCACACGTTCAGGCAGCGGCCAAAGTATCCTACGGAGGAAAGGAGAAGAATCATCTTAGCTTGCTCGGGTGAGCAGAGGCTACTCAGGAACTTGTGGAGAGTTTCCTTAGAAAGGTGATGGACTTGCTCATGTTGGAGACCTCCAAGTAGAAGCCGAGGTGCCACCAGCCCCTGGGGAAGGGCTAGCTCTGAATGGACAAGAGGGTTGGGCTGGATGGCCACCAACAGCCCCTCAGCGCCATCCTTCTTCAAAGAATCTTGCATCCATCCCTAGGTTGGAGTGCAACCCCACGGATTTTGAATTCCAATGGGTCGCTAGCTCACGTAGTGCTCTAGCATCTCACCTTTCCCCAGATGTTTTGGGATGAATGCATCCACAATGAATTTAGGAACTGCCAGTTCAGTGCTGAATAAGACGTTGTGCCTTGGTTTGTACCAGAAGTCAAATCCTAGTGGAGCTGCGTCTCCAGGACGATTCCAGGTGCCCTTCACTTCCCATGTTTCCGTATCCACGAGAATGAATTCGCCTGCGGTGTGGGGTGTGCGGGGAGAAGGCAAATTAATTCAAACAGCAGGTGTGGGTGACTCTTAGGAAGGGTTGGCCGAAAGGAGTTTGCCCCACTTGGAGATGTCTAAGAAGTGGCAACCACCTGGAAGAGAGCCCAGGGCTCAAATTTCAGCTTTTGGGAGTTCGTGTGACAGGTTTCCCTCCCAACATCTTCCGAGTCACCCCTGCTCTTACAGCACCTCAATCTGCACCCCCTCTTTGGAAAACCAATCTGCCCGGCGGTACCTTTTCCATTGCCAAATAGGTCCCCTAGGGAGCTGATCATGACCTCTCCGCTGCCCAGACAGCGTGGGGTGAGTATTGAAGCCACGTTGGTTTTACAGAAGACCTCTCTGGGCTCAATCACCTGTCAAGGATGGGGAGAGGGAGAGAAAATAAAAACTCTAGCACTGCAGTTCTGTTTTCCTTCTCTGCAAATTGCTTTGCTCTAAAAACTCCAGAGCCCATCTGTGGTCAATGCAACCTGGAGGTTGTTGATAGGAATGTGACAGGCGAAGTAAAACATTTTGAAAATTAGTGCGACATCTCTTGCGTAATTGGCTTGTTTGTCAGGATTTCTTTTTATATTGCCACAAATTGCAGATGTGGGTATGGCAAGCTAATTTCCACCTTGTGTTGTAGATATTCATCTTGCAAGAGTGAGATCTTTTTTTTTTGGTTTGCTTTTTTCCCCCTTTTCTGTTTAAAATCAGCATGAGCTCCTCCTCCCTTTGATTTTGTTCCCTTCCTTCTACCCATAATTCTGCTCAGCGATTTTGCAGGGAGACATGAGAATCACAGAAATTGGGTGTATGTATTTTTTCGTTAAAAGACCAGGGGCAAAACTAAGGCAAGGTCAAGGGATCCACAGTGGTTATAGTTTTAAAGTCCCTTGGACCTCCTCACAGAGTCCTTTACGATCCATTTCCCTGGCTTGCACCTTCCGAAGGTGGGCGAGCCTACCTTAAACAGGCAGGGAGCCTGGGGGTCAGTCCCAGTGTCCACAACATAAATCCGAGAAGAGTTGAAACCCGGAAGGACCAGCCGGTTGCGTTTCTTGGTGGTGTCTCCGAAGCAGCTGCTTCCAGTATTCCAGCCCATGAAGTGAAGCTCATCATTAAGGTACGGCATTTGCAGCCGGTGAATAACCTGGTGGGGGAAGATTGGGGTGGCAGAGATTAAACAAGCATGATTCATCTCGTCACCTGGAGTTGGGTTTCTCCCTGTGATTCCCAAGAGCTGATGATCTGCATATCTTTAGATGCGGAACACTGCTTGAGGAGTGGAATTTTGTTAGCAGAAAGGTCTACTTCTGCTTGGTGGAAGATCGTGTTGGTTGTGGATAGTTGCTGGCACAATGCAGGGTTTCTCCCACTTCCAACTGGCAAGCAGAACCTCACCGACAGAACGGGCCTCCCTACAACAAGTCTTTTTCTTCCCTTCCCAGAGTTTCGTGCACCCTCTGCGCAACATTGCTACACCATTCCATCCCTTGGCATCGGAAGCTGCAGACAGGTTGAGATGAGGAGTTGAAGTCCTCGCGTGTGTGAATGCAAGAGCCAGCATCTGAGCATCGCCCGCTTATTCCGTGGATTCTGAGCAAGCCCAGGGCATTATAGCCCAGGAGTCTGTGGTACCAGCTAATGATTTTTTAGGTTTCCTGCAGCTCTCCCAGGATGGTTCCGGCCTCAGCTGCACCTGGTTAAGGTGTCTGTGCTAGGCGTAACTGACCACGACTCTGCCGACACAAAAATGTGAACATGGCAGATCCACCTGAAGATACTCATTAGACCCCGAGGAACAGAACGGCTAGAAACAGTCCAGAAGCTTTGTTGGGCTTAGAACAAAGGGATCCCTTAATTTGATTAAAGTAAATTGTTCCCAGGTTTCCAAGTATTTTGGAAACTGAGAATGTATCTTAACAGGTTAGTATAAATGTTCCTCGCCCTGCAATCGCAATGCAAGGTGTTAAAGAGAGGCCCAATGAAAAGGAAGCTGAACAAGCATTCACAACATCACCCCAAAGAACTAAGTATCCTCATACTTGGCAGTAAGTGGGAGATTTGGGATCCACATCCACCGTGGCAAGATAATCAGGCTTCTGGGTTCCTGTCCTGGTTAAGACGCAAAGCACGTACATCAGCTTCTCCTGAGGTCCTAGGAAAGAGATCAAAACTTTTAGGCTTCTGGGCCTGAATCTTAAAACAGTTCCGTCCCAGCTACATCTGGTGTTCACCCAGGCTCTTAGGGTATTGGGGCTGTGGACTAAACCATTGGTCAAGGGATTCCCATACCAGATCAGTCGTCCCACGCCCAATGGCTCAACTTATTTGCTGAGCTTCTTCCACACACAACAACAAGGTGGCTTAAAACGAAGTATGAACCCATCCTTCATCTCTGTGGCTGGACTCAACATCCCCTTCTCTGCCCTGGTCTCCAGAATGGGAGGACATCACCCCCTTCTTACCTTTCATGGCATCCAAGGGTGTTGGGTAGCAACATTCTTCTGTGTCTTCAAAAAGAGAGAAGAGAGAGGTTTAGCTTCTGTGCAGCGGGGGAAAAGAAAGGGGGATGGGGGTATTTTTAAAAAAGGTTGTGGACTGGCGGCCTTGGGGAAAAGTCGGTGCCTCCAATGCACGAGACGGATTGACTTCCTACCTTTGCTCGGGTTCTTTGGAAGCTTCTTCTCGGCGTCTTTTCCTCGTTGTTTGATCATTTCTGTCTCTCTGTCTTGCTCTGCCTCCGCTTGCATACCTGAGGGTTTCCAGCTTCCTTGCAGCCAGTTTATATATCCCACAGGAGCAGACCGAGTCTTGCTCCGCGTCCTTTGAGGCCCTAATGTCTTTGTTTCATCACATTTTCCTCATACTTTTGATTGCATGCTCAGCACAAATTATCTGAACCCCCACCACCTCTTCCGTTTTTAGAGGCTTTCTGACGCAGATCTGAATAACCAGATTCACAGGGCAAATGCAGTTCGGCACACATTGAGAATAGCCCATTAGAGAGGGAATGCTGTTGAGAAACGGAAGCTACAAAATTTGGGGATGGTTTCGTGTTTTGAGGGCTTTGCAAAAGGAATGGAGGCCTGCCTGCATGTCACCTGCCCCTCGGGGTAAATGAGAGGGTTTTGAGTTGGTTTGTACCAAAGGTGCTTTTGCCAAAGACAACCTTACTTCCCTTTTTTTAAAAAAAGACATTTCGCTTCTCATCCAATAAGCATCCTCGCTTCTCGGTTCTTTTGCAGTCTCGAGAAGCTAGAATTGCAAATGTTGTCAGCGCCTTCCCCAAATTCCAAGAAAGCTCGACGCCTCATAACGTGGGTCCAGCCAGCCTTGTCAGCTGTGTCCTAACCTGGATAACTTTTTATTTTCAATAGTGGTAACTTTAAACCTTATCCTTGCCTTTTGAAACTATCCCAGTTTTTGCACTGTGGGGAGAGGGGAAGGGAAGACAATTAAGAGATCTGCTGTTCTGGCAATGAAGCTGGAAAAGCACCAGGAGGACATCAAAAGGAGAAAATTGGGGATCTGCCCTGTGTCTCAGCCCCTTTTCAGGAGCTCAGCGGTTTTTCTTTTGGTGTCTGATGTAGTTTGCGAGATTTATTCTGCTTAGGACGGGTATTCCTTCTCTGAGTTATGCCTGCTAAGCTCTCCTTGTCGCTGAGTGCCAGCCATTCGGAAGAGCCCTTGATGACTCTGGCAAGTTGGAATTACAGAAGTGATTCGCTGGGTCTTCACCTCCTATCCTCTCTCTTTCAAACTCTTTTCTTTCCGCTCTGCCTTCTTAGGTAGAAGAAGGAGGTGTTGACTTCTGATGGCTCGTGATGATAGCTGGTGGCTGCTAGTTAAGGATGCTTAAAATCCTGGATTAGGGCTGTCCCACAACAAAGTGATGGCTGTGCTTGGGCACAGTGCGCGAGCGCCCCCTTGTGGCAGAACAGGGTATCCCCCATCTGGAAGGAAAGAGCAATTTCAGACGCTTCCTTGTCTGCATGATAAGCTTTCGAACAGTGAGTGTTAAAAAGACTCTAGGACTTTCGCTACAATGGGTTAATTTATAAGCCTTCAAGGTAGGACTGGAAGACCAGGTGCCCAGATGCAAAAGGAACCAAAACCTCCTCGGTGAGGTCCAGGTCTTCTGCATCAGGTTAAATGGCCAGAGTTAAAGTCCACTTTTGGGGGGGGGTCCCCTGATGCTCAGGATTGTGAGAAACGTAAGCCGAACTTGGTTCCCCAACAGATTGACTAGTTTCAGTTTCTGTTGGAGCAAAGACCTTTCAGGTTTTTGCCTCAGTTTCTGCGGTTGAGATGCGTGTTCTTTCCAACCTTTTCTGACTGCCCTGAACCTTAACTTAAGTGCAGCTGAACTGGGCTTCCTCAGGTGCATTCATTTTCAGAGCTGACACGATAGAAATGTCATGTGCACAAAGAGGGAAAACAGTCTCCACGTAATTCCTTCCCTGGCTATTAATATCCTCGTAGGTGGAACAGATTGATGTATTTCATAATTTGTCTTCCTTATTGGGCTGTTTGCATTTGTTCCTTCTCTGCCTTCTGGCAGATATCAAGAACAACCTTGGCTATGCAGAAGAGTTCTTTCTAGAATTTGTCAAAATCTGGATAACCAGGAGAGCCAGCAGAGAACCAGCTAGTTTTTCTATGTTCTGTTGGCTGATCACAGAGAGCTCGGTGAAAATCCTTCTCCTGCAGCTAAAATTAATTAATAGCCCAAGTCAGGGATCTCCAAACTTGGCGACTTTAAGACTTGTGGACTTCAACTCCCAGAATTCCCCAGCCTGCATGGGAATTGAAGTCCACAAGTCTTAAAGTTGCCAAGTTTGGAGACACCTGGCCTAAGTTATGGCTGGAGAGCCAGTTTGGTATAACGGTTAAAGGTGCTGGATTAGACAACAGGAAGCCACAAATTTTAACCCTGTTTTAGACTCAAAATCCAGGCTGGGTGACTTTGAGCCAGTCCTTCTTTCTCAGCCCCAGGAATAAGGCGGCGTTGGTCCTTCAGAGGCTTTCAAAATACATTGCGAGAAAAACACACACACAGACTTTTTCCCACAATCCTAGACCTATGTCGTGCGCTCCTAAATTGTGGATTAGGTGATAAATCAGTTGTGAGATTAGGAAGAAACATGGGAGGTGAAGATGGAGATAATTACCTATTGACTGGTGACCAGTCAAGAAAAATAAAAATGTTTGGGTGTGATGCAAACATTCCTTCCTGATTGAGTTGATTAGCACACAAAGCAGGCTAAAAAAATTATCTCTGTATTTAACCGTCCCGTTCAGATCTGAATGGTTCAGGGTGTCAATTTTTGCCCGACAGAAGGCTATTATGGGGGCTGGAATTCCTGAAGATGGCTTACGGGTAGGACTGGGTTATAATGGGAGCCCTACTTTCCATATACCTGGAGGATGATATGGTGGAGATTAGCCACAAATATTGAAGGACGAGATTCCCAGGCAATTTGCTGGATCAAACGCCTTCGTAGGGCCAGCGATGAAATTAGAAAGACTCCAACAATGAAGATATTTAAAGGTTGTGGATGAAGGGTGCAGATGCTCTTCTGCAAAGCTGCAACTACGATAGATCCCTCTCAAAGCACTGCAGTGAATTTTTTTAGGCGACGGCTGTGAATTTGCACACAATACTAGCAACGAGTTTCCAGGTAGAAGATGTGTTCCTGTTTGAGGGCCATGGGGGTCAACCTATTAGCACTCTCCACTTGAAATAAAGAGTCTGTACTACCAAGAAAACTTTTTATTACAATGAGAATTTTATTTCCTCCGTTCGCGTCTTTCTAGAACTGCCAGAAGGGGTTTAATTGGCTCCCCAACAATTTGCAAGAATTGCACCAGAAGACTGACTTGCAAACGTCTGTAGTGTCATGACGAAGCAAAGTGCTTTGAAAGGCATCAACCCCGGCTAGAGTTTTGCACCTGGACAACGGAATGTAGAGGAACTTGCCTCTGAACAGAACTGAGCTCGTAGCACCTGCAGCTAAGCGAGGAGACAAAAGCGATGGAGAAACCAGTGAGTCCTTTAGGTCTGCACTATCGACTGAAGGAAGAGCAAGCAAGCGTATTTCCTGACTGAGCACACTGAGTAAGTGAAAGTGTGGAAATCGGTGCAACGGGATTAAGCTACAAACACCACTCTGGTTTTGAGCTGCTCCCTGCCACACTTCCTGCCCCCCCAAATGCTAGCTTAGCGTAGGGTGGGCTTGGAGGAGGTTCTCAGATCCAGATGTCCGAGGTACAATCTCCTCCCGGGTAACGCATTTCGTGTGTACGAGCGGGGCCCCAGGGCTCATTCCCAAAATCCACCAGGAAGTCTGGGTTCACAAAGAGGCCCCCGTTCTCGGTGTCCACATCAATCTGGAGCATGACTGACCCTTCCCTGCAAAGGAAGAAGAATCCAGGGGTAGAAAGTGGGTTATCTGAGCAAGGGGGGCTTAAAAATAGGGTGGATTTGAGGTGTAACCCAAGGAGAAGGAGAACAACTCCCCCCACCCGGGGCAACTTTGCTCTGAATTTTCTTCAGCTGTCAAGATGACCCTACCTGACCAATTGTGGGTAAAACTGCTTGTCCCACGGTGTGTAGAAACTGTTGGTGACATAAAGCCTCTTTCCATCCAAGCTGAGCTGCAGCATTTGGGGTCCCCCGTAGACTCTCCTCCCCTGAGGTGAAAAAAGCGAGGAGTGGTCAAGAAATGTAGGCGTTCCATAAAGGGGTACCTATGGCTCTTTACTCTCCTTTGCCACAGGAAAGCATTTCAATGTGTCCCACGAGAAGGAAGAATCCACGCTGTCCATTTATGCCCAGCACGTTTCCTGCAAGTGTCTCGAACCCGGAATCCCTCTGAGAAAAGAGAGGCTCACCTGGAGCATGAACGGATCTGGTTGGCATTCGAGCTCGTCATCCTGAATCACAGTCACAACCCCGCCTTTGTAGATGTTGCCTCCTACAAACACCTGCAGGAACCAAAGGGGTTAGGGTCAGTTCAGGCCGAAGGACAGTCCCCCCCCCCTTCCCCAAGCTGCAGTTTTTCTCTGCCCAAACGGCAGTACTTGGAAGTGGGTGATCTTCTGCCAGGTGCTAATGCAGGAGACCCGGATGAGCTTTCTGCTTAACCCAACATCCTGGTTCCAAGGGTGGAAAGAAGCAACGCCTGCAAGGATCCTAAGTAAGGAACCCGGGATTTCCGGGCCTTTGGATGGGAAGGAGCTCACCTGGCCCACCAGCCGAGGGCAGTGGGGGTCGGTGATGTCGTACTGTCGGACATCACCGTGAAGCCAGTTGCTCAGGTAGATGAAGCGGTCATCCAGTGAAATAAGGAAGTCTGCGAGGAACGCTGGAGGAAAGAGAAGGTGGCCAGGAATAAAGTCAGGAAGAGAATTCGATTACCTGAATATCCCGGCACGGACAAGTTTTTCACAAACCGTCCTTCTCCAAAATACGTGGACTTCTCTCAGTTCCTGGAGTACTTGGCCCATTCTCCAAAGATTCTAACCATCCTTAATTTGGGAACAGAAGGTGCGAACTCCAGAGCTCTAGGGCTGAGACAGAAGCATGAGAGCAGAAGCCCTCCTGGACTTTATTTACTTACACGGCATTTCAGAGAAGAACCACCCGGTGACCACCTTGCTTGGAATCTGGATGACCTTCTCCGCTGTCCATGACCCGTCCTGCAATAGACACAAGAAGTTAGCTGGTTGGGTAGTGCAAAGCTCTCCC